CAAAAAGGTTTGGGAAACCACTCCCCCGAAGAAATGAAAAACAACCCTGACTTAGAGAAAGACTATATATTTAAGAGTTTAGTCAAAAGAGACAAACAAGAAAGAATGCCGGGCTTCAAACTTCAGAAAGGAGACAAAGTAAAAATAGAAATACCTAAACGCGACCCATATGAAAATACTATTGACTATGACAACAACAAGTACCCGACAGGTACTCACATTCGTGTTCGTAAAAATAGAAGAAAGTATACAAGAGAATATTATGAAGTTTTAGGCAAACATGGCAAAATGTACAGACTGCAAGCAGAAGATAAAACTACTATTGTCAGACCTCGTTTCAAACTTGTTAAGGTTCAAGGTGGTATACTTTCAAAGACAGTTCCTAACAAATATAAGACAACTCCTGACGAATATGCTAAAGAAGTTGAAAATGACGACTAAGCAATTCTATACCATGCACAAACTGTCATGTAACGTGGCATGTATTTTTTACCTCGTCCTGTAGATGTTGTTGTAAAAGTATGTTGGTGGTTTCCTCCTGGTTCAGTTTGTCGAAAAGTCTTTTTTGCTGAATGGTTATAATCTGGAGATAAAACGTCATAGCCAGCTTCATACTCTGAGTTGTATAATGGGTGGTCTCTTAATGAGTGGCTATGGTCGCCAGAAAAGTTTGTTGTACCAGAATGACTATGTGGTGGCAAGTTGTCGACAGATATCCTTTTGCTTCCACCTGTTTCCTTTGAAGAGTTTGCACAATACAAAAACCTTTCGAGTATTTGAGTCCAAGTTCCAAAACCAAGTACTACTTCTGGTCTGGTAGAGTTCATTGACGTATAAATAGAACCAACCGGGTAAATGGTTTGAAGTATTTCTGTCTTTAATGTTTGAAGCTCTGTTTTGTCTGCTTTCTTGTCATATAAATCTTGAGCAGTGAATTTAACTTTATTTTCATCCTCCATGACATAAACATCTCTACATCTAATGTATCTCATCGTTGTTATGTTTTTATCCGATGTTAAACCTTCTGGAAAGTTAGGAGGTTTCCAATCTAATACATCCCCACCAGTTTCTTCAACCGTTCCTAAAATATTTTCTATACCAACAGTTGTAAAACTTGTATGTGTATGGTTCTTGTCAGCTTTGTCATCTAACTTTTCTTGTAAGTTTGCAATATTTGCAATGGTATGTGTATGTCCAACGTCACTTTTCCTGTTTAAGGTTTCTTGTAAGTTTGCAATATTTGCAATGGTATGTGTATGGTTCTTGTCGGCTTTAAGGTCTAAACATCCTGAAACCCATCCTGTATCGGCTTTCGTTTTTAAAATCTTTGTTGTCCGTTCATGGTACCAGTCAACCCTTTCTTTAATTTCATTGTCTTTTTCATCCACATATTCCTTATATGCCTTCTTCACTAACGCACTAGTCACACATGCTAACTCATCGTCAACATATGTTTTATCTGCTTTCTTTTCAACATCCTCTTTTGTTGCATAAGCTTTGTTAGCTCTTTCTTCTTCTTTTGCTATTGCATCGTCTACATACTCTTTGTCAGCTTTGTTGTCAACATCTGCTTTCAAAAGAAGTTCATCTATAGGTTTCTCGTTTAAAGTTCGTTTTGTTGGATTTATACAAACAGTATGGTTCTTGTTGTCTTGAAACAGAAACTCGTCTGTCATTGGGTTTAATGTCAGTTTTAAGCTTCCTTCTTTCAATGACTCAGATATCTTAGAATAGTTTGAAAAGTTTGTTGTGTTCTTATTTAGAGCTTGTATAATGAGTTGTCGGTTGTGTTGTATTTCTCTCATAGACGCTGTTTCATTTGACATTTTTATTCTAGATAAAATATGCTTCCAATAGAAAAGGAAACTTCTAGAGTTGCTACAACTAAACCATTAGATGAACTTTTTACGAATGTCGGTCAAAAGTTTGAGACAGAGACCGTAAAGCATGAAGGCTATCGTTTTGACTACCCGTTAAGATGGCTAAGAGACCCATCCGTCACAAAAGCTATTGGCTTTCGTAGAATGAAGTTCATTTCAGAAGCCATACATGGTTTCCCATTTACGGTCGGTTTTGAAGTTCGATACTATAACAAAGAAAAACGTACGTATGAGAAATTTGAACAGGGAAAACTTTTACAAGTTGTTTGCTTGTAAACTTAGAAACAACTCTTCAAGCTTTTCAAGAAAAAATAAACGATATCTATCTCGAATATGCAAAACAGTACATTGACGAAGGAGAGTACCATCTCGATATTATATATGACAGGAAAAATGCAACTGTTAAAATCGATAGAATAGAAGACCTTGGAGAAAACGTTTATATTTCTACAAAATATAACAACTTGGCATGGTATAGATTTTTGAGGATGTTAAATCAGCCTGCAGAATATCCAGTACACCCGGACTTTTATGAAGTCGAAAACCCTAATGGAACATATGAAAATGTTTTTCGACTCAGACGCTATTATAGTTCATGCTTCATTTTTCTGGTGCACAAAACTCTTTTTTATGCTTGGCAAATGACTTTTACGAAAAACCTACAAAGCTATATGAACCACCGAGTGGAAGTATTTCAGACTTTCAAGTATGGTTTACAACAGATGGAAGAAAGAGAATAGTTCCATTATACATGCGTTTTTACTTAGAACTTAGTTTCATATACAACTACTATCGAACGGTAAAAATATAATTTTTTAATACGGTTGAGGTGTTGGATTTGGTTGCCAACTAGACTGTGGTGCAGGTTCAGGCTGTTGTATAACAGGAGCTTGTTCTTCTGGTTCAGGGTCTTTAGGTATAATACCAACGAACTGACCTACTCTTTTACCAATATTTTTGACTCCGTTCCAAATTCCTCTTCCGACAGATTTTATTCCATTCCATACCTCTTCCAACATTTCGAAAGAAGTTTCCTATTCTTCCAAAGAAACCCATTTTACTATATGTAAAAATCTAATGTCCGCCTAGTCTCTTACGTTTCCTGTTGAGTTCCATAGCATTCTTTAACTGGAGCTCATACATTCTATTTCTCCTCTGGTAGAAAACATACTCTGGGTCAACTCCTGTGTTCGCGTCATCTGCATAGAGTTGTTTATATCCCACTTCAGGGTTTGTATAAAACTCTTTCCATCTCATATTTGCATACCATGGTGGTAAGCCTAACGCAGCGTCATTTGACATGGCAGTTGCATTTGTACATCTGTTGGCACCTGACCATAGTTTGCCATTGCAGTTTGTATTCTAACTTCATTTGGAATATTCTCTGGGTTTGGTTGTCCAGGTTGCTGTGCATTCGCTAAGTTCTGTGCGTCCATTTAATATTAGATAAAAATATCTCTTACGAGTACATATGCTGAACATTTGCAGACATTGGTTCATCTTCATATTCTCTGTACCTTTCTGCCACGTCAAATAAATAAATGACACAATGGAAAAAACCTAAAACAAGTAGTCCTATTTCAAACCACATTTACTTACTAGTAAAATTTCTTTGTTATGACACTTTTTCCGGTTTATAGGACCTCTCTCATATTCTATCTTGTCATATCTAAAATCATAGTCATGTATGTCCTCTAACCATCTCATAACGGTTTCCAAACCACTTTTATCGGATGTAAAGTAAAAGCATGGATGGTTATGTAAAACGTCTAAAGTTTCTAAAGAGTCTCTCAAAGTCCAGTCTACTTGGTATTGAAAATCGTATGTGTTATAGAACGGTGGGTCTACTATAAAGAAAACATTTTCCTTGTCTTTGTATTTTTCATACAACTCTGTCCAATGACATCTCACAAACTCTATACCCTCAGTATATTTTTCTATGTCCTCTTTGAAAACCTTTGTATAGTTAAGATATAAAACGTTTGACATAAGTGTTTCAATGTCATGAACTCTTATAGAACCACTATATAATAGTCTAGAAGATATACTATCCCAGTCTATATACTCTGCTTTTTTCAAAACCTCTCTGACAATATTTTTCTTATCTAATGGTATACGTTCCATCTTACCTATAGGTATCTTTTCTTTTAACTCACTCAATATTTTGTTTGTGTCTGGTATATGTTTGAGACGGTTCATATAGTTGTCGAAGTCATTGCATATAATCTTTGAGTCAGGAAATACAGTATGGCACAAATGGGATATATAGAAACTTCCACCGAACAAATCTACAAATGTTAGACCATTTGGTAGTTTCTTAAGTTCTCTCAATAGAATATCTTTACATCTACTCTTATTTCCAAAGAAGGGTAACGGTGGTTTTGTAAAATTCATTTTATATATATAATAAAAATGTTTTTTCCTGAAAAGTGACGAAACATGAAAACTACTCGGTCGAAGTCTTGTCAGTTTTGTAAAATAACCGTCCTATCTCATTCTAAAGTTTCTAAAGGGTTTCTCAAAGTATACTTCTTTGAACGCCCGTAACTTTACTGTAGCGACGATAGACCCTTACTTGTCCGGAGATAGTTATACTATTTTGAGTCCTCTACCGAAAAGTCAACAGCAACGACTTTCAAAAATTTTAAGGGCTAGAAGGCACGAAGTGCCTGGAAGCCCGACAACACCCAAAAAAACCTCATTTTATACCACATTGCATACTAAACATCTTTGGGACTAGAGGGCACGAAGTGCCTGGAGGTCCCACTACCTTTTTTTTTTTTTTTTTTTTTATATTTTAATAGGATTTGTTTCTATGGAGAGAATTATTGAAAATCATATAATTTTTCATAAAGATTGTAAAATCTAGTTCTTTTCTAATTGCAATGATTGTCGCTAATAATGGTGGTCCATCAAACAGCCTTTCAATTTGTATCAAAAAATATCAAATACCCAATTGAGTTTAATGTTCAATTTAAGTATTATAATGGCATTGATTCCATTTCTTGCATAATTATGAAAGAAATGCATCAGAAAATCGAATATGCATGAAAAATAATTTAAAATACAAACAAAAACAAAATATATAGATATAACTAAATCAACATAATTGAGTAGGTATCATCGAGGACTGAATCTTGTCCTTTTCAACTGAATTTCCTTTCTTGATAAAGGACGAGTATATTGGCGATGCATAAGTCTTGCAGACTGTGGCATCTTTGGTATTTCTTGCTGCTGAACCTTCTCTGGCTTCTCTTTTTCCTGTTTTGGTTCCTTATTTTCGATAATTCTTCTTGATGTACTAATTGCAAGAGGAAATACGTTTGGAGCATGGCAGAGTTTAATCTCTGGTACAGATTTGCATTTATTAATAGTTGGTGGTAGAGTAAATGTAATTTGAGATTTTGGGTGTTCAAAAATCACAAATCGTTTGGATTCTTTTCGAACCGACATGAAAATATCTATTAGAAAGCATAGTATGAGATCATGATTGTTGTTGCTTTCTATTGCGTTGAAAAAGACTTCAAAATCAAAATAATCAATATGATGGTTTTTCATTGGTAGAATGCATAAATTGTAATTTTTACGTGCATCCTCCTTAAATTGTTCTGTTTCTTCTGAGATTTGATAAATTATTTGTGATTTTTCAATTTCAGAAGGAAAGCATCTTGCAAATATTGCTGCAATATAACTAAAATGTGCTATTGCTTTGAATAAAGGTGTGTTTTCGTTGAGTTTAATTGTACATGGAAATTTTGAAATCCAGGTCAAAAGAGCTTCTTCTCTAAATAGTGATCTTGAAGAAACTGTAAAAAATGATCTTGGGAGTCGTTGTAAATCTGAATAAATGTCATCAATATTAATTGAGAATTCAAAAATGATTTTCAAAAACAAATCAAACAGATTTTCTAAGGAAACTTGGTCATGGTTATCAAGGAGAGTTTCATCACATGGCGGTAAAGGTTTGAAACCGTTTATAAACAAAGTATTTAAAATTGATATATATGAAAATATTAGATTTGAATTAAATATTGCTGATGTCACTATTGCAATTGATCTCAAAGTTATGTCGCAATCGGTTGATCCTTTAAGATCAACATTTGCAATTTCAATACATTTCTTCTGGCAAAAATGTAAGCAAAGTAGTGAAGATGGGTTATTTTTGCATGACAGTATCCGATTGCTTATATTGCGAAACCATTGCTCTTTCACTTCAATTGATTTCATTTTATATAAAAACGATTAAAAAGTGACGCATATCGCGGGAAATAATTGAAAGCGATTTCACTTTTTTTGCGGCAATTTTTTATTTTGAAAATCTTTGTTTGAACAAGAAAAAAAATTCAAAATATGTTTTTGTTTTTCGCTAAAATTGCATTATCATTCGAAGAATACCCCGTTGCACAGATATTGAATGATGATTGGAATGCTGAATTAATCCAAACTGGACCAGATGGCCGCTTTATTTCTCAAAAATTATATTCGGCTAAGATGATTCCAAATGAAAAACAAGATAATATAGTAATAAAAGTTTATGAAGGTGATTTTCCATTCTTTGAAGCTAACGAAACAGATACAAGAACACCAATAATGAATTTGAATTTCGAATTAAAGTCAAAGCAAAATGGAACACTCATTGAATCAGATGACCAATACGAATTGGCCGAAATTAATTTCGTTGATACACTCGGAAGCCATCTTGGCGCGTATGGTTTATTCAATGGTTCCTATAGATATGCCATTGGTATTGTTAATTTAGCCACAATTCATATATCAATATACAGTTATGATCCACAAGAATATTACGAACTTATTTTGACTCGTACACAAAGACCGTCTGGAATTGATTGGTTCTCTAAGTACCAATCATATATAATTGGTGCGGTCTTCTTTGTCCTCGCATTGGGCTACCTAGAACTCGTTCCTATCTTTATGAGGAAGATAGGAAAGAAAGATACAACTCCTTTGGAGAAAAAGATGGAAGAAGATGAAAAGAAGGCAAGAGATGAAAGAAATCCAGTTAAGAAATCAATTGGTAAAAAGACAAAGAAAGAATAATTTTATAAAGTAAATTAAGATTCTATATTAGTTATTATAAAATTCAAAAACATATTTACTAACTCTTATTTCCATAGCTTTCACCTTATAAATCTTCATTTTAAATTTAATCGAAATCAATTAACGCAATAACAGTTAAATGAAGAAAATTATAACGTACATAAGTTGGTTAATAAAAATTCGCTACGTTTGAATGAAATTAGCACGAAAAATTGTCGAAATTTCAAATTGATCATAAGAAAGAGCAAATTTCACTAAAAATGAATCATAAAAGATTCTTTTTCGAACTATTCTATATAATAAGATATTTGATTTTTGAAAAATGCATATTTTTTCAGTTTGGTAAATTCACAAAGTAATATGGCCATATACGATATCAAATATGATGGATAAATGATTCATAGTTATTATTACACTTGAAATTTGACACTCTACGCTTATCATAATAATAAAAAAAAATTTATGTTGTTTTGTGATTCATTTTCTATTTTGACACCCTCGCCACCGAGCAAGAATGCGAAGACTCTAGCTCTTTCTTTGTGGCGTGTGACTCAAAATCCTCTTCGTTCTTCCTTGAAATCGTTATCAAAAGATTCATTAACAAATATCGAAGATCTTCAAAATAACACAATCCTCGCGTTGTTTTCTCTCATAGAAGAGCATAATGATACCAAAAAAGAAATAGATTTCGATTTTCCAGTTGAAGAATTCAAATCTGCTTTTACTCCTGAAGGCTTCTTGCATCCACTGACATTATCAAGTGGATGTGGATTCTGTTTCATTTTATCAGGTACTAACTCATCAATATTAGCCAGGGTAAGATGTATCTCTTTTACGCAAGTTCTCAATTCACGACCAATACAACCCGGTACATTTTTCAAAGTTGATCGAATTTTTGATTTATTTCCCGTTGCTACACAGTTTGCGCTCAGATTCCCCATTGTTGCGCCTCCATTTTCAAGAACATCGTTTTTGCCAAAGAAAAGTCTTACGAAAATTGCAAGCCAGCAAAAAGTTACAGAGCTAAGATGGGAAAAAATCGATAAACAAAGTCGCTGGCGTGAACATTTATCTGAAATTATTCCAAATATCTTTATAGCAAGCGAAGTTGTAGCCAAAAACGGTCCACTTCTTAAACGCAATGGAATTACGCATATCCTTAATACCTGTGAACAAGTCTGCCAATCCGCTGAAGGATTCATCAAATTATCTTTCAGAATGAACGATGGTGGTGGCGATTCTATCTTCAGTTCCATCTGGAAAGCCACAACATTCATCGATGATGCACTTGAAAACAACGGAAAAGTACTTGTTCACTGCCAGGAAGGAGTTTCTCGTTCCACTTCAATTGTCATTGGATATCTCATTATCAGACATGGATATGACTATGCAAAAGCGTTTAAGACTGTCCGCTCTTGCCGCCGTGTGGCATCTCCTAACCCTCGTTTCATTGCACAGCTCCTTCAGCTCTCTGAAGTTTGCGGAACAAATACTTCATCAAAAACTTGTTTCTTCAGCCGTGAAAAACAGTTGCCATTCGAAATCATCGAAAGAAGAGGCGAAATAATACCTGTACCATTATCAGAGAAGGCCCAGGAAAATGATGAAAAGGTATTTGTTGTCGTCGATTTCAACGGAAATGATGATGTCGGAATTTTCGGAGATGGAGATGAAGGAAAAATCATAAAAATGTACGGAAAGAAGGCTTCGGAAGATAAAATACAGGTCGCAGATGAGTTGATTGAGGACCTGAGAAGGTGTTTGAGAGTGGAACAGGATGATGAAGATGAAGACATTGATGAAGAAGAAAATTTATCTGATGATATGTAATTTTTTATTTTATTTCTTTATATTTATTTGTTTTAATAAAATACAACTAATGTTATAATATTTTACATCTTTACTAATGAAGAATTTGATAATAATTTTTTCATAATATTACGATTGGGTCAAAATACCGGAAGAGATGTACAAATATCCACTGGATCATTGCTCAGCAATGTAAGACTTATGTTTTTCTTTTTGATTTCGAAATCTTTTTCAAAAAAAATCATCCTTTGCAGAATTGGAAAATGTGGTTTATTGGTAATTTCATCTAAAAAATCTAGATATGCAACATTTTGATTTAATCGTCTTCTAATGGCTGGCCATCTGTTTAAATTGAATTTTGTGAGAAACTTTTGACTTCACATGATGTCATCGGAAAGTCTCAAAAGCATGGAAACTCAGACTGCTGATGGAGAAAATAAGCATGAATATTCTTTCCAAGTAGATGTAGTAAATCCTGGAATTCGGAGATTGGCCACTTTCTATAACGACAATTTTTGCAAAATTTATATAAATTCAAAGAAAATGGAATGCAAAATGCAATGTGTTATTTCTGCATCTAAAAAGGTGTTTATGTTATCACTTTTAGATAAGATGAGTCGAGAATTTACTTTTAATATCAAAATCCAAAATTTAATGGCAATCGAAATTGCTGAAAGATACTTGCAAACTGGTGAACTTCCTAATTACATTAGTCCAGACTTAATAAATGATCTGTTTGCAATTGGCGATGAACTCGAAATTGAAGATCTAAAAAACCATTGATAAATTTTCAGGAAAATATAGACATTAACTTAGAAAATGCATTCGACCTATTTAAGTTTTTACATTTATACGGAAATACTTCTGATTTATCCAAATTTGTTTCCAAAAACTTTTATCAATTCACAGTCGAGCAGATTGTTGAATTCTTTTGTAATTATGATCTTGAAGTATTGTGCAAGATCGTTAATGATCCAGAATTGATTGTTAAAGATGAAGACCAACTCATAAAATCATTCATTCTTTTATCTCAAAAAGATCCTTCATTCCAAATCGGATTTCAATATCTCAAGTTTGATGCGGCATCTCAAGAAATCATAGATATGTATATTAGATACATGAATGAATATGTTAAAACTGATAAATTATGGGAATCAATGTGGAAATTCTACAAATCAAATATAAAGATCATTACTCCAATAAGTAACTATCATCGAACAATGCATATTGAATGCAATCCAGGCAATCCACTCAAAGGTCTTTGGAGCTTTTTGAAGGATTTTGCCCATGGACAAGAGATTTTGAATATATATGTCAAAGCTTCAAAACCAGATTTATTGAATATAAATAATACCAACGAAAGAACGACTGGTATAAACGATTATTTTTATTTCGAACTTATTAATGCCAGATTTTCAGTTGAAGGATACTCAATAAAGACTGGAAAAAATCAATCAGGCGATTACCATCATTGGGGAAATAGTGTGAAGTTTTCAATTGAAGGAAGTCAAGATGGAGCCTACTGGGCAGAAATAGATACAAGCATTGACAGAACTAATAATTCAAGTACAGTATATACATTCAAGTGCAAGAATGTTTCAGATAAGTATAAATATCTCCGCCTTTATTATAAAAGCGGATCTGGTAATAATTTAGGATTGTACAATATCGAATTTTTCGGTTTTCTCACATGGGAGAAGAACTAGATTGCAAATTAGATCACTATAAAGTATCCAAAGTTTAATATATTATAATTTCTATGAGAATTACAAGATTTGTTTCAAATTATAAAATATAATAAACAAATAATAACTTTTATAATATATAACTCTTTGAATAACATAATAATAAAATATAAATATCTATATGTAATCGTCGTATACTGGAGATATTCCTGCAGTCTTAGACTTAATATTGATCTGTTGTTTGAGTGCTTCAGACAAATCCTGAGCGTGATATTCGTTTAAGCCTAAGAGAGGTGCATTAACTTGGAACAAATCTGCCTCGATGAACATTTCATCGATTGTTTGGTACCATCCATCATCCAATCTCTGGAAGAAGAGGTCCAGGTCCATAGGGAAAGAAAGGTTCTTCCATATTTTGTCTTTGATTTCATCAGATCTCAAAGAAACAAATGGTTTGTATTTCGCAGTTTCTTTGTAATGATTTCCGTAATTTGCCAATGTTCTTCCAAATTGTGCTGTTTCAGAAAGAGGTCCGTCATCAATCTGTATTTCCCAAGGAGAGAATTCGAAGTTTCCGCTTCCTTCATCGAGTTCAACAGTGATTGATGAGTCAGGATTTCTTTCGAAATCACTTCTGACATCAACAATTTTTGCATCGTAAAACTTCAATTTTCCATCTTCACTGAAAGCAACTGAAACAGGATCTCCCTTTTTGAAATTCTTGGCTCTCTCCATTGATCTGTTGAACAAGTCTTCAGGGACTAAGAATGGCTGGCTGTCGTCTTTAGGAAATGCAACAATTCCTTCTTTAATATTTCTCAAATTCAAAAATTCCAAAGAAATAATCAAATAATCAGGATCTATTTGGATTCCTTTGATTCTTGCTTGTGTTATATCAGGCATTGTTCTGTTCTTTCTATACGGAGGTTCATAGATACTTACAGCGCAATCATTCGCCAGTTTCTTATGAATTTCTTTGAGATAAATTACGTTTTCTCCTTTCTGAGGAACGAATTGATACTGAGATCTTTTCGTGTTGTACATCCACGGAGGCATTGGAGTATTAACAACAGGCAAAGCGATAGGAGGTGGAGAATCAGGTATTCTTGTGTTTCTCCTTGTCGCTCTTACCACTTGATGTGTGTCGTAGTCATCAGACAATGAATCACTGTCAATTGACTTTTTGATGTCAAATTCTTCATCATCATTAATGAAATCATCTTTTATGTAGTCATCGTGAGATCTTGAATGTCTTGATCTGTTTCTCGATGACGAAGATGATTTCTTTGGTGATTTAGGAGGTGGTTTCACCGGCATTTCTTCTTCATCAGAAAACATCGCTTCGCTTTCACTTTCGATCAAATCTTGGTCATCATCTTGAATAATGTTGTCATCGTCAACAACAATTGAAGATTGTCTTTGTATTGTTGTTCTTCTCTTCGATCTTGGTCTGATTGTTTCGTCAACAGGACCTGATGATCTTGTCTTAGGAAGAGGAGCTTCTTCTTGTGGAGAGTTGATGGATTCTGATTCATCATCTTCATCAGAAAACTCTTGTTGTATTGCTGCAATGTTGAAATCAGCATCATCATTGTCAATTTGATGTCGAGATGTGGAATTACTGAGTGTTTGTTCTTGTGCAACTTCTTCATCTTCATCCTCTTCTTCCTCTGCATTCCGCTCGTTTGTTTCGTCATCGAAATTGACCTTCCAAACATGTGTATCGCCTCTGATTCCGAATTCTCTGACTTGTGGAAGATTTCGCCATTTCTCGAGAACTTGTTTCTCTTCAACAACGATTCTGGAGTCGGCTTCAGGTCTTTGAACATTGAGCATCATCGATTCAAGGTTGTAATGAACTGGTTGTGGATCTAGAGGAAGTTTGGCCGCATTCAAAATTGGCTCAAAAATGGCTTGTGACGAAACATTGACAATGGCTCTGTCGTCGTCCTGAATAAATACTTGCTGTGTGGTAGTGAATGGCTGCGTGGTATGGCCGTATACTGTAATGCCTCCCATGGCGTCGGCGGCGAAAACATATTGGCCATCAGGCGACCAAATGGCTTCTGTGATGCCGTAGATGGTCTGATCGGCTTGCATCTTGCAGATAGCTTCCATCTTGTTGATATCCCAGATGGATGCGTGTCCGTTGTCGCAGCCAACAAATGCAATTTCTGGTTTCGTAGGATGTAACGCTAGAACTGAACAATGTTCGGTACCGTAGGTTACTGTTTCTGTTAGAGGTGTCGAATATGGGTCTGTCCATGCAACAATTTGTGTTGTTGTGATTGCAACAATTCTTGTTTCGTCGGCGTTCCAGTATGCTTTAATCGGCTTCTGGCGCGTGTTCTGTATATTACGAGGAGCAACATCCCACGTTTCTTGGTAGATTCCGCCCCTTTCTTCGTAAACTCTGATTGATTTTTCTTTTGGAGAATGGGCCAGGAGTTTGCAGCCAGTCTGGCGACTGAACGAAATAGTATCTACATCATCGTCGAGGCCTGAAAGGACTTGATATTTCGGTTCATTTACGTTTACAATAACAATTGAATGTGTAGCTGAAATAAATGAGAAAAATTGTGATCCTGGGCTAAAGCAAACCCAATTTGCCATTTTATGGTCTGGTATTTCGATATTATAATGTATTCCTAAAATTGCACCGGTATATGGATCAATTGGAGATAAACGGACATAACCATCTTCATATGCAGCACAAAGGTATTTTCCATCTGGTGAAAATTTGACGCAATTTATATAATACGAAACTGAGTAAGATTGAATGGCTAAAGTCTTTAAACTTGTAATGCAAATCTGGCAATCTTGTGCAGCAGATGCGAAGAATAGATTGGATGGGTGAATATCAATGTCGTTGATGATATGTCGATGGGCATGGACAGTTGCAATTAAAGTAAGCTCTGGAATTTTCCAGATCTTTATAAGAGAATCATCTGAGCCCGAAATAAGGATTTGTGATGTAATATCGGTTGTTAAACAGTAAATAGAATGAAAATGTCCAACAATTCGATGACTTGGAGTCATTCCATAGCATAAAGGCAATGGTGGTCCAAGTTGTTTTGTAAGAATGTCGGCTATTGATACGTGTTGATCTTTATTTGGAGGAGTTATAAATAAAGATGGGAATTGAGATTTAGGAAGAGCCATTGAAACGAGTCTCATTAATTGGTCGTTTGGAATACCACTCAAAGAGTGTGAATCTAACTCATGGAATGTTGGATTTTTTGAAAATACGCAAGATGGAAAGAGTTTTCTTCGCTCACACTCCTCTATGAACGAATTTCCGATCTCAGGGAAGCTAATTTTGAGGAGTTTTGCAATTAGAAAATATAGCTCACGCTGCGAATCATCATCCATAAATTTTTAGAAAAAAAAGTTTAGGATTTTTTCAAAAATAATTAGAAAAATCTTTAATATTTGATTCATTTTCTTGAAAACGAAAAAAATTTGGAGAAAACAATTTTGCAAAAGTTATTAAATATTCAACCTATTTCTAATTTTAATAATAAAAATGGTTTATCTTAATAATTTTCTTAAATTTCAATTAAAATTTAGTGTAAAAAAACATTTTGTAGTTAAAAACAATGCTAAAAACAAAAGGATTTATTGGAATGACGATCCATCCGGCATTATAAACTCCGAATGTGTTGTAAAACCGATAGAATTTCCCATCGATGATGAAAGATTCATGTTTGTACTATTATTAAGCGGTCTTGAATTATTCATGTCATGAGGAACAGGATCTGGCATATACTCAGGCGGAGGTAATTTTTCTTTCTTTACCTTTGCCTTTTGACGTTTAAGTAGTTCTGCTTTGGAAGGCTCAAGTTTGGCCTCTTCCTTCTTTGGTTGTGGGTTTGACGAAGGTACAAAAGCGTCTTTTATTTCTATGGGCTCATTAACATTCAAATGAGATATTCTCTGTGTAAATTTCTTCATATCGTCCTCTATACTATCTCTTAATACTTTCAATTGTGCATTCGGTTTGAATTGAAGCGATCTTTGTGATTGTCTAAGCGGAGTTCTTGGTTTCAGATCAAAATTAAACGAATCCGGTGTTGAAATTTGTGCAATGTTTACTTCAGGGAATGCAGAAAGTGAAGGTACGTTTGATTGTGTAACTAATCCATCAAATTTTGGAGCATTTATTGGTGTAACAGCAACTGGTTGATAAGAATAGTTAGATGGAGCAGGATCATTTTGATTCATTGGCCTATATTGCTTTTCTGGTGAATACATTGGTGGATTTTGTTGTGGTGGAGGGCGATTTGGCGATCTTTCAACGGGTTGCTGCTGACGAGGTGGTGGATCATCACCAAAAATACTTGATTGCATGATTCTGCGCTTGTTTTCTTCAAGACGAGGCGTGCGAGGAGCTTCTCCCCACCCCTGACTCATTTTTAGAGTACGTTATTAAATTCGGTGTAACCCCCTCTAAAAATAAATTTATAATTTCTTCAATAGCAAATTAAGCTTATTACATACAATATAGTACAATAACATTTCAAAAAATTTCAACTACGAATCCTCTATTAGCAGTTTAATAAAAGAGTTTTGCATTTTGTTGATAATCAATCAAAATTTCAACTAATTTCAAGAAATAAACTCATATTACTACAAAATCTTTTGATCTAATATCCAAATACAGTTCATTAATACCTACGAAAATGCATTCCCTCGATCAAAAATCCGATAAATTTATCATTTTCTCAGCTTTTTTCAACTAGAACATTATTAAACTTTATGATTCTTTTGATATAATATTTTAATATTTATTATTATTTGAATTTATGAATAAATACTATATTTTTTAAAATAAACTACTTCTTTGAGAATGCTGCAATGGCATCCTTAATTGAAGAATATGTACAAAGAATAGCCGCGATTATTCCAAATCCAACAAAGCACATGTGTAAGATTGAAATCCAAGATTTCAATGGATAAGTTTTCATTACTAATCTGCATAAGGATGGGAACACGAATCCTACAATACAGCCACCGAGGGCACCTCCAACACCCAAAATTGGCTTAATATCCTGTAAGAAGATAGCAATGACAAGATTGACTAGGTTGATTGCTGGAATAAGGATAAGTCTATGCTTTGTTGGCATTTCTTCAGGAAGGTTTTCATTCCAGGCCATTCCTCCGATAGAAGCAACCATTGAAACAACAATTGCTGGATAGGAAGCACTGACGGAGATGAACATGCCGATACGTACGAAAACCATCAAAATGTCGTCATCTGGGAATGATGACAAAACGTCTGAAGCCGTTTCTTGTCCGTACATAAGATAACCCAAAAGACCCGGAATAACGATGATAAGGAAGCAACTCATGAAGGTATATCCAATAATGCGTACGCGCTTCCTAACTGATGGGTTGTATGGCGTAATAATTGGCATCATAACAACTTGCAAGGAGAAGGTAAGGGCGTGAACTCCGAAAGCTGTGAAAAGACCCATACCGAAATCTATACCAACGGTATGGTCCGGTGGCATGTCTGGTTTTGATAAAGCTTGAGACGCGCGAATTAATATTGCAATGAAGTATAGAACTACGCCTAAAACTGACGGGATAGCGAATTTTGAAAGACATGACATGTGACGAGGGAATGTCATTAAGCCAGGAAGAACACAAAGGTAAATTATAACAACAAGGGCCCATTTCCATAAACCATCCATGTTAAGCTTGGCAAGCTTGAGCCATGAAACGACCTGGTTGGATCCAATAATTAAATATGCAACTGTGCAGGATAAACAGAAAATTAACTGGAAAATTGAAACTGTGTGCTGGGCCCACTTACCGAGAACTCTGTAAGCCATTTCTGCAATACCTTTCGAACCAGTTTCTCTTTGGATGCCAATTAATGTAACTCCGCCAAAGAAACAAAGGTAAGCACTTAAAATCAAAAGCATTATTGTAGAGCCAACACCACATGATGTGAATGTTGCAGGAACTGATACAATGCCTGCACCTACAAGTGTATTAATCAGATTGAAATACGTTGCTGTCCTACCTATTCTTTGAGCGTGCTGCTCATCAGCTGGAGGGGCATCAGGTTGGTCTACTTTGTCTGCCTCTGATACATTTTGGAAAGTAGGAAGTCCAGACTCGTCAACATTATCTGTCGGAAGATCATCGTGATGAGAGGATAGTGACTTATCATCCTCTAATATAAGAGGGTCGCCATGCTCATCAATTACTGCTGCTTCTGGGGCAGCGATAGGAACATCATCGATTTCTGGCTCCATGAAAAAATATTGAAAGGTAAAATTGTAAACTTAAAAATAAAATGATCGAGATTAGGATATGTCATCAAATGCATACCATCAGTTTAATTTGTAAGATCGATAGCAGATTTGAATTCACCGATAAAAATTTATCCTATTCAAAATGTTTCGAATCTATTGGATATATTTTTATTCTTTAATACATTTCAATGACTTTATTTCTTTTTTTCCAAAATTTTCTGTCATCATTTCACTTTTCCACCTATCAATGAAAATATTTCCTCTCTGAAATTTTTTATCCATCTTTCAACCATGTATCTATCAAATTTAATCTCACAATTTGAATTTTTTTCACAATATTTGTAAAAATCGTTAATCGGACTTTTATACTTAATTGATATACTTTCCTCGTAGAACTAGAATTGTTGAAGAGATACTGCATATAACCAAAAATCCTCAATAATCGGAAATGAAATTGTCGATAATGATCTGCAAATTCTATTGAATTTATTTTTGCCATGCAATTCTTGATTTTCTCACATAATTAATGACGAAAAAGTAAGAGAAAATCCTATCGAATGGTTTTTGATTGTCATTTTAATATTTCTTATATTGCATTATAGTATATCTTGAAACATATATGGTCAATGATTTCACATCAGGCAAAAATATCGCATTTTTAAATAGAATGTTTTCGATCATTACGAAGATCCCTACCAGATCCATTTCCAGTCTCAAACCTATTCAAATGAAACATGTGAAAGATGATAAATTGCCAATTAGTTCTCACTAGTTTGATAATGAATTTGATTTCATATAAAATCAGACATTTCATCATATATAGTTATGAGGAATACACATATATCTTTGAGTAGTAGTCTTTTTTTTTCTTATACATTCGAATGTATACCATATCACAAATTATTCAAACTTTTAGAACTTTTTCAGTCATCAAAATATTCTAAATTTATTTCCTCATACAAGTGTTTGTAAGAATCTAATACACTCACTCTTCAGAGCCAATATGAAGAGATATGATGTTGAATTCATAGTATTAAAAAGAACGAAATAAATACATAGTTCATTTAAACACTCCGTTTACATATAATATAGAAAATTACTTCATATTGTTCATTAATTTTTCAATATCTTCTTCCCAGTTTCTGTTAGCATCAAACTTCTGCAAGAACAAGAAAGATTTCTTAACAGCAAGTTCCCATAACTGAACATCCTTCATTCCTCTTAAATGAAGGCAGCAAATTACGAAAATTGTCAAGAAAACTTCATTTGGAACATCAATTGTTGGTGTTTCAGGGATATCAAATCCACAACAAATCTTAAGTTTGTTCTTATCACTCCAACTTCCGTCTGCATTTTGAATCTGAAGAAGTTTCAAGAGGAAGAAAGGTTTCTTTGATGAAATAGTTCTTTCCAATGCCTCTTTCCTTCTTTTATTCTCCTCGTTAAGCATTTTCTGGTAGTCAATCTTCTTAATTTCGTATTTTTCTTGAGGTTTCTCTTCATCTTTTTTAGGTGGAGGCGGTGGATGTATAATAACGCGATCGCTTGGTAGTTCAGGATGTTCATCAAAATGATCTAACTGAATAATTGCACTTGGATCAAGATTCCTTTGATTAATAGTCCGACCATTTACTGGATAAACATATGGCATTGTGTGAAAGGGAGGATATGGCATTGGACGAGGAAGTGGAACTGGGTTTGGTTGTGGTTCTCCCTTTTTCAGAGTTTTTTCTTCCCATTGTAAACCAACACTTGACATTTTAGTTTGAACAAGGGTGATATCGCCTTCCATTTCTTCATCTCTTTCGATAACTGCAACGCATGGCCTGTCAGGAGTCATAATTGCGTTTATGACATCTTCATCTTCGCTATTTCCGATATATTCCTGCAGAGCCCAGATTGTTCTCACAGCAGGATTATCAGTGTGAGAGATAACAGCGTTTACGAAGATTTCGTTTCCATAATAAAATTCAACTTTTTCGATTTTCGGGGATTGAACTTTATGTGAAAGCGAAAACGCCATGCCAGGAATCAAAGGAGATATTGGGATCTCGTTTCCATCGACAACTAACTTGCAATCACCGATTAATCCGCATCCAGTTATATTAATTACTGATAACAAGGCTCCAACAAGCGATTGCTCGTCGGGAACAGGAAGATAAATCGCATTATTACGCTTGGAGATCTCTTCAATGTTGCCTTGAGAGAAAGGATCGACCATAATAACAATGGAGTCCTCTGGAAGGGTTAGTTGTTCTTCGCATGGAGCACCTATTATTATAAGAACCTTTTCTTGTTGTAAATCTTTAACTTTTTCGGTAGATTTGTTGATAATTTCTTGTAAAGTGGTATGAGCTTCTTCTTTAGGAATCGGATTCCTTGAGAAGTTAAGTGCCTTTGTTCTCATCTCATTGGTATCTAAAACTGCTGGAGTTTCGAACATTGAATTATTATATTTTCCGTAATTGTAAACATTTACAGGGCAATCTGTTGGTAATGAGATCATAAAGAACTCTAAAGCCCTAAGTAATATGGAAAATTCGTTTGGAGTTACATTTGCTGAGTGTTCGACCAATAAACTGAAAACTGAGCTGTGCTGACGAATTCCGTTAGGAGAAGTAGCACTAAAGCGTATATAAGAGTTGTTATTAATTGTTGAAACAAGACATCTGGCGACTAATGGTTCTTGATACTTGATAACAACGTGGAAAGGATGGAAAAGCTTTAAATCACTGGATGTTACCAATCCATTTGGTAAATCGATCTTAGTTTCTGTGAAAGGTGTTGTAATCTGCTCAATCTTCTGTGAATCTTTGATATGAAGATTTAATTCAATTGGAGGAGGATTCAAACCAAGGCATAATATATCCTTGCTGTCAGAAATTGCTGTTGGTAAAATAAGTAAGAAACCGTCTGAAAGTGCTGTCATTCCAATATCGTAGTATAAAGAGAGAATACAATTCTCTGTTGGTCCAAGAGGTCCGATATCGATTCTAAGCTCATTAGTGGATGTAGATTGAACAATTGCTGCAAATTCTGAACTTGCAATAGCGTCATCATACTCTAATTTTGCATCTTCTTTGTCAGAAATCCTAGATGTGACTTTCTTTCCGGCGTATTCGATATCAAAATGTGTAGCGGCTACACCAATGGGGAGTGGGGATGAGAAACTGATTTCAATTGGATCATCCCTTTTATTTTCGAAGAAAACTTTGAAACAAGTTGCGCAAATGCCATCAAATACATCACCATCAATACTTATCTTTTTTATTGGTTGTGATTTGCCTGATATTATAGAAGGTGTTTTGCTCATCTTTTTATAAAAAAATGAAATGAATTTGTAAATTTTTATTTTTCTCTTCATAAAAAAATTTTTTTTTCATGATCAAAAATATTGATTATTTAAGGTTAATTTTCTGAAGGAATCTGTCTTCCTATCAAAGTATGAATAATTAAACATAGAAATTACTTAATACAATGAGTTCTTGCGAAGAGTTGGACCTTCTGACTTTACGTGGCATCAAAAATATTCTCATTTGAACGATTGAGTTAATTCATTAACAAAATATATCTGCTTAGAAGATTACTTATGCTTCTAATAGATGTGATCATTAAAAATTAGATATATCAAATCCTAATATTTAAAACAAAAAAGATTATTCTAAAAATAAGCTGCTGAATACTCAAGTTCTTTGACTTCATTAGCAATTCGTTCATGCTTGCGAGAAGCCTTTCTATGAGTCTCTTCTAGCTGATGATTTTCCTCGATTGCCTTTTCTAATAAGGCCTTAAGTTGCTTTTGTTGGTTTAATAAAGCACCACGCTTTTCTGTTAAACGAGACTCTTCATCTCTGTATGATATGGCCTTTTCATCAAGATCTGCTATGGCAAGATTTAATTTATTAATTTTTTCTTGATATTTGATTTTGGTATCAGACGTTGCTTGCTTTAGTTCATAAGTTTTAGCTTTATTGGCGTTTATTGTTGCCTTTAAATTTTGCATATTATCGTTATATTGAGTTCTGAGAGTTTCTTCTTCATTTTTGTATTGTTTTTCCTGTTGTTGCTTTAAAAATTCATATTCCTGATCTTTTTGCTTTTTCTTAAGAGTTATTCGATCGATTTCGTCACAAATTTCTCTGTATTCAGTCTTTAAATCAAGATTCGTATCTTCTTTATCATGTTCTAAATGCCTAATATTCAATTTAAGCTGTTTGATTTCTGAATCAAGATTTTGCATTTTTTCTACAAAATGACGATGCAATGAATCATCCTCATAATCAAAATCAGGTTCTTCATCAAACTCATAATGACTTTCTAGATCACTGACTCGAAGATCACTTGAGCTGTAAGAACTTTCATCCATCTTTTATATTTCTAAGCACCCAATTTACTTTCGAACCTGTTGAATTTATATTATCCCACAGTATTATAGTATAATCACTAAATTATAATTGACGTTTAGCAATATTCAAAGATATTAGGTCCAATTAATACATTTTTCGCTATTTTACCGAATTACATGAGATATACGGTTAAAAAATACTTTGAAAACATATATTAATGATGGATTGCATGACGATAGAAATGAGACTTTTTTTTCTTTTCTTATTTATGATTTTTACAGAAAATCAAAGAGATTGGTGTATCAAATTAATGAATTATCTATACAAATGGAATTTGACTGCTCCATTTAGGGCAGGTCTTGATCCATCTCAAGAATTATACAAAGAATACAAAGAAAAATCTCTCGAACCAATAGACTTAAATACAGTTAAAGTTGCTCTTTGGGCAGGTAATTACGAAAACATTGATAAATTCCTTGGTGATCTTAAAGCAGTTTTTGAAAATGCGAAAACTTTCCATGGCAGTGGAACAGTCATTTATATGATGGCAGAAGAGATATTAATCTATATTAAAAACCAAGAGCAATATAAAAACATGTCAGAAGACGAAAAATGGCTTTTAGAGCTCATGCAAATTCAAAACCGTCTCGAGGACCATATAAAGAATAAACCAGAAGAATTCTGCCAGTCCTTTATACCAGTTCGCTAAGTATACAGCGTTTATCCAAAAATTGTTTCGATATTTTTTGGTTTCAAATATTTTCACTGTTTTTAATATCGATCCCCTAATCCATTTTATACTTTAAATTCATATGATTATGAATTTGTTTTTGTAATAAAATTATTTTTTCTGAAAATAAGTCATTCTCAATAATTTTATTTGCTACCAGTATAGCCTACAAATTTGTAATACATTTCTTACAAAAATGTTCAGCCATGAAAAGGATTTTGTGGTGAATATAAAAATAATAATGATTTTTATAAGATTATAATATTGGTATAGTTAATTTTTATTTTTAGATTTTGTTCAATCTATTACATCATCAACTAAATTTGAAAGGGAGGCTTTCTCTTTCTTTTGAGTACGCTCTTGAAGAAGTTTAATTGTATCATGACATTCGCATTCCTCAGCCAAATCAAGCGCAGTCATTCCTTCTGAATCCTTTGCTGTAGTATCTGCCCCGCGATCCAAGAGAATTTTTGTAATTTCTGGGTAATCTTCCATTGCACTGACATGAAGAGGAGTTACGTCTAAGTCATCTCTTGCATTTACACGTGCACCATGAGATAAGAGTAGTAACAAGACTTCTTTACTTTTGTGTAATACGGCAACACTAATAACAGGCTGGCATTCTGCATCTTTTACATTAACATTTGCGCCACGTGCAACTAAAATCTTTGCTACTTCGATAGCATTAAATCTTGCAGCATGATGAAGTGGGGTATCTCCATAATCAGCTTTTGCACCTACGCTTGGCCATGCTTAACAAGAATTTCGGCTGCTTCTTTAGAGTCATAATATGCAGCCATGTGAAGTGGCGTATAATAATCAACATCTTTTGAATCAGGTTTAAATCTTATTTTTTCGATCAAGAATTTACATAATTCAGCATTATTACCGGAAGCTGCAAAGTGAAGAAGATTACGACGTTTGGAAGTTATTCTAAGGTAGTCAATATTTTCTTTGGTGATGATATCAAAAGCTTGAGGCCATTCAGCAAACCATGGAATTATAGAGTTTTTGTTCTTTTCGAACATCATAAAAACTGCTTTCAAGTTACGCGCTTTGTTTACATCATCAAAGTCACCATCAAATCTTAATGGATCATATAAATTTTTATCCAAAATAAATTTAAGGAGAGTATTATTATGAGAGCCAACAATATGATCCATGGAAACTTGGTCGAATTTACGAGTCTTCTGTAAACATTTATTGATGATATTAGTATTATTACTAATGACAGCATACTTGAGACATTTTTCAGTTATTGGTTCCTTTAAACTTTCATTTATGAAACTAAAAATATTCAGAGATCCAAAATAACAGGATGTTTCTATTGGACTGAGCTGACCCATGTATAGAAAATATGGACGAAAGTTTTTCAAAGTATTTGCGGCTACATATTCTTTGAATTTATCGATTTGATCATTCATAATAATATATAAAATATCTCCTTCTTTTGGATATGAAGGATCGTCTTCAATTTAATAAACATTATCAGCATTAAGTTTAACATCTACATGAATAGAGTGAAGGGACTCAATTATATTTTGAATTGCTGATGGACTAAATGAATATTCAGATAATAATTTGTTGAATATCCGTGTATAAAGCAAAATGCACCTATATTTGAATCTTATTGCCTCCAGTAAACTATTAACTAGTTCAGTTGTATTAACATTATACTTTGAAATTAAAATTGTTTTTATCTCGTTATAAATGTCTTCCCATGAGTCATTTAGCTTTAAGCGAAACAGCTTATCATACGTTTCAATGTATTGAGCGTATTGTATCATATACGGATTACTCATAGAGAAGATGTGTTTGTTTTTATAAAAATTATTTTTTTTTCCGTATATGAAGCCACAAAAAATAAAGATTCAAAAAAATCATTTAAACATTCGCGAATGCATTGTCGATACTTAACACGCATATTTGATCATTGATATCAGGTTAATTTTAAATGATGATTTCAAATTTCATTAATATTACGAAAATTGTATTAACACATAAATTATGTGGGATGATATAAAAGCATTTATCTCATTTACATTGAATCTTATCTGAATATTGCAAAAAATAGTCGAGATGCTAGTATTTGAAATAAATATCTTTAAACAAACAAATACTTTTATGGAAAGAAATAACAAATTTATCTGATATATCTTTTTGGCTTTGGATTTTTCAAAAATGGATCAATCATCCTATGCTTGATAGCAACTATTCTTAACCTCAAGCTAGAAAAGATAATCAAGACGCAAAGGAGAAGGTAAAACTTCTTCAAATAAGAAATTAAAAATTGCATCTCAATTCCAACCAAATGGAATTCTATAATAGCCATTAGAATTGAAACACTTAAAATAGGTGAAAAAACATTTGGAATTATAAAGGATAATAGAAAAGCAACCAAATTAACTTTGAAATATAACTTTGCACTCATTATATGGTAATGATATTGTCTTTCTAGTTGAAGGATATATGTAACATTACCCCAAGAGTTCTTAAGTGTGTCAAGAACAGTATGAGAGAGTGCTGTACTTTCGAAAACAGTTTTTTCGATTTGCTTTAGGGCTTCTGCGGATTTGAGCGTTTGATTTGTCATTTTAGATGAAAATATGGAAAGGAATTCTGATGAAAAGTTAATGGCATTCAACGTATTATTGAGAATTTGCTCAATCTGATTATATTGTGATAAATGCAAAGATTCATAACATAATTTGTCAATCTGTAGGTAAAATTTGGTGAACGTATCAAAATCAGCATCAGAGAGTTGACTGAGGAACTGGTCGTCGTTATTTCTATATGGTTTTCCTGGTTTTCGGTTATCTTTAGCAAGTTTACAGAGCATCATTTGGATGGCTAAATTCTTCCTTGATGTATGATCTAAACGATGGCAATATGAAATTAAACTCGTATTTAAATTATATGGGCATTTATCTGGCGATGTATTAATGATTTCCAGAATTGCTTCTATCCTTTTTGGATCTGATTCAGAATTTTCTGTATTTTGCTCTTCGCAGAAGACTCTGGAAACTAAAAGAGGGAGAAAAATCATTTTTTTAAACGGCTACTTTCACAATCCTCCCTTTTATTTAAATTAATGACTATTAAGATCTATACCTTTTATAGCAACCCAGACAAAGAGTGTAATGAATGTAATAAGACATCTCAAAATAGTTAATTTAGTAAATCTCCCTTATATTATCTACCATTTTGTCATAATTCTAAATCATATTGAACTGACTTCTATAACTTTGATATTTAATTGTATGTGTTATTTACTTTTTTGACTATTTCCAAAAATGTCATAACAAATGGTAAAGTAATAGAGTGATACAACTTAACAATTTTCATAATTACACATGCACATTATTATATTTCAAGGATATACTTTTAAAATAGTTAAATTAAAAATTCATGAAATTATTTACTATAAATACAAACAAGTTTGTGTCGAACAACACACACGTAGTAAAACTTTGCTAATCTACATCAAGTCCGCAAAGCTTTGAGATGAAATTTGAAATTCCTAATGAAAAAATAAAAATTGGATCAATATCGCATTTTGTATCGATTTCAACGACATTTTCATCAACTTTTCTAAGATAAAAGCACATTCTTTTGATGGATTGCTCGTGAAGAATATTATTTTTAATAGAATTTATATATTTTCGTCCTTCAAAGTCAAATTTAGGGAATTCATCAGATAAATGTTCAGGAATCGTTGATGAAAATCGATAGCAATTCTTACTTCCGTCGTCTGAAAACACGTAGAAAACAATTCTTCGAAAACGAGCTCTGACTTCAGATGCTATTGTATATTTTAGCCCTCCTATTTCAGTACCAGTCATTGTTTTCTCACGAATCGAGAATTGATCGAGATGTTGATCAATAACTAAACAAATAATGGGATCAACATCTTTGAAATGGCATTTTTGTTGATTTGTGATTGGTACATAGTTATGTTTTGGAATATATTTACTAGAAAAAAGTTGTTTCTCTCCTAGAAACATTGTAAATGTGGTAGAACTACCATAAAAGTGGCGGACTATCTTTCTGATAACTTTATAAGTTGTTAACTTTCCTGTATAAGAAAATTTATAATTGATGATATAATTTGAGGAGGTTTTATCTGATTTACTAGAATTTTCAATACTTTCTTCTGATACAACTGCTTCTTCTTTAACTGTTTCAGAATTTTGTTGTACTTGAACAATCGATGGTTGATTAATTTGTTCTCGAATTATGTTCTGAGATTTACGTTGTGTTGTAACGGCTATTTCTTCACCATCGTTTGATTTGTCAACAATATTATCATTATTTTCGTCTTCAAAAACGACAGCCTGACGAGTATTTGGTTTAGAACGAGTTTTTCTTTTAACTTTTGGGTTTGATCTATTCTCTTTCTGTTTTTTCTCTATTATAACTGGTAAATCATCGCTTTCTTCATCGCTTGAGCGCGGATCAAAGGTTATAGTTTTAATCATTTTGAAAATTTTGTAAAAAGAAAATGATTTTTACTTGAGTAAGTATGCAATATCATAATATCTAACTTTGAAAATTTTACAAATCGCCGATATATTTTACGGGCGCAGTCTCAATTATCGAAAAATTTGGTGCTAACGCAATTGTGATATAAGAAACAAATCCATATGCCCAGAGTCATGACACACTTTAAAATTTCATGCATGAATTTAAGTTATCTCATAAAAAGGTTAATCTCATATTTCATTTTCTAGAAACCAACCTGAAAAATAGATTTTTATACTCTAAACTTATAGTATGCCTTACAAACCTTGTATTGCTTGCATTCAAGCCACTGAATAAGACTATTTATACTCTGCTGGAATAGAAATTTAGATAGTTGTCACTTTTATTCCAAAATCCTATGATGTTATTTTTTGCTTCTTTATCATTCTCAGTCACCAGTTCAGATCTTTCTCCTCCATATAAGCAAGACAATGAAGGAAAGATCAATTACTGGGAATTACGAGGTGGAGCTTTATTAGAAGATTCCAGCATCTTGCTTTCACCACCAATTCAATATACACGAGGTGGTGTATGGTCAGTGGTAGAAATCCCCAAGGATGATTTCTCAATCACTTACGATTTCAAGATTTCAGAAGGAACACAAGGCGGCGGCCTTGGCTTTTGGTTTATTTCGGACTACGCAGCTTATGGTGAACTGTTTGGTGGTCCAGATACATTTAATGGATGCGCTCTTCTCGCAGGAATTAAAAAATTAGAATCATCTGATCGATTAGAATTACGCCTTTCATATGCTGAAAATGATGGCACAAAGAAAGTATCAGCAGGAGACTTAGCTGCTGCCGATTATGTTTTACAATTCGATAACAGAAACCATATTATTCTGAAAATTGAATTCTTCCAAAACGAACTAGTCATTTCCGGAACATCTGACGGCAAAATAGAGAATATCGTCGAATTCTTCAGAGTACAACGCAGAATTGACATTACAGAAAATTATTTCGGTGTTACATCACAATCAGACATTTATACAAGCAGATTCGACCTATACTCAGTTTTATTCGATTTATACGAAAAATCAGACTCGCACAAGAGGAAAGCATCAGCTTCTGAGCCAAATCAACAAATGCATTACACGCCTTCAGAAATGGGCAGATACAGATCGCCAATATTCCGAATTACCAACGAAGAAGCTGCTAGAAAAGAAAATGGAATACAAAAAGACGGTTCAAAAGATATAATTTTTGATATGATCGAAGAATTAACAGCTGCATCCCAAGAAGTTGCTTCATTCAAGGATGTCAATAGTATTATACGTAATAAAGTATCTGTTTACGCTTCAAAATGGCAGAAAAGAACAGTTTCTATGTTAGAAAGGGTCCAGAAGTCGAGAAACGTTACAGGAGCAACTTTGGAATTCACAAACCAAATCATGAAATCATTTTCCGAAACACTTCGCCATTCAAGCTTAAAAACTATGAATAGAATTATTGATTTACAGCAACAATTGGCCGATGAAGCCGAAGGAGGTGTTGACCATTACGGAGAACTCGATGCCATCAAGGAATCAGCTACAGCAAGCATTACTAAAAACCTTACTTATATTTCGATCATAGAAATCGTTATTGTAGCGATTGCCTTTGTTCTGTTGCAGCTTCCATCATTCAGAAAGAAATTGACTAATTAATTTTATATTTCTATCAATACTAAACACATAAATTATACATTTTTTCTTATTAATTATTAATTCTGTTTTTGAATGCTAAAGTTGGTATTTTTCGTTTCATTTCAGACTTTATTCTGAACAACAAACTCTCTTGCTTGAGCAGCTAAATGATTACAATATAAATCAAGTAATGATAGCTGAATAGCTGAATTTGATTTAAATCACTTCCAAATTTAAAAATCATATCAGCTCCATCTTATTAATAAATCCCAGTTAATGTCTGTATTTTTTCCTTATTTCACGGAGATTGATTTGTTTTCATCTAGAGTAATTATACAGATTATATACATGAGTCCATATGGGTGCATATTGCTGTAGGAAATTTCCTATAAGTCTTTGTAGATGACCAGATAAAAGCACTTGAATTACCCCATAAATTGTGATGGTATGGATATATAAAACACTAAGTCTGTAAACTGCATTGAAAGATAGTATCACTTACACAACTCCATAAACTCGATATAAAGATTACAACAATCTCTCAATAAAAAGAAAAATCGATTCGGATCAAAACTAATGTTAACACAGTTTGATGAAAGAACATTTGCAAATAGATATTGAGTAGGCTCTAATTGTTATTATTAGGTAATGAACTTTCTTTTTTTAACTTGAGCTTTCGGTAGAATTTTTAAACGGCAACATATTTGGACATAGCTGGGGAAAGTACAACACACAGTTTGAAATTTAATTAAAAACTGATCAGTACAGTATGAAACTTGAATACGACAGATCGGTATGACTCTATTTATAATATATTATTCTTCAACTACAATTTAGATTTCCTTATGCACCACTCTCGGTTCAAAGCTGGTCGACAAAGCAATTCCAGAAACTGATGAAAAATAATCTATAAGCACATGTATTTCATTATTAGTTTTACCTTATATTTTAAAGACAATTTATCGCAATCCAAACTAACAAAACAACATCGAGAACGCTAAATATTATATATGAGAAAGTAAATGCATATGAAATATGCATTGAGCCAAGCGATAATAACAAAAGTTTTAAAAATCACAGCTTTGAAAGCAAGATATGCCATTTATGCTAAGATACACCAGATCAAGTATCGCACAAGATCACCGTTTTTATGACAAATGGATCCTCCATTTATTTTCTACGATCATACTCGGAATAATAATTATTTTTAAACCGCCATTAATATTAAACAAGATGTGCTACAGAAATACTCTTTGATGTTATAGCATATTTTTCAGCGGAACATCGATTTAACGTACTTCAACAAATCTGACGCTAAATTTATCGATAGCAACTATTCGATTTTGTAAAGAAAACGAAATCTATTACCCTAGAAATCTGCGTATTTCGAATCAAAGCCGCATCGAAATTCCCACTTCCCATGATTGAGCACCTTTAACGTACATTTTTCCAAATATTGAAGAACATTACTATCCAAGTTTGACTAACCATGAAAATAAGTGCTTAAAATTTTCTAAGAAAATATTTGAGAACAATGGCGGGCTTTTTGAATTGTCACATTTTTAAGAATGGATGTTACAGCTCTGGCGCCCACAAGAGCGCGTCGTCAAACAGTCCACCTTACAACTAATGCCACATGGACTAAAGAAGAAGATGACCTTCTAACTCAAATCGCTTCATCATCAGAGAATATTGCTTGGAGCGTTGTTGCAAAACTATTCCCAAATAAGACTGCGCCTCAATTAGCAGGTAGATGGGAGAAAGTACTTGATCCTCATTTGATAAAAGGATCATGGACTCGAGAAGAAGATGAAATTATTATTGATTTTGTAGCAAAGAATGGAGATAAAGATTGGGCAAAACTTGCACTTCTTCTCAAAGGTAGAACTGGTAAACAATGCCGTGAGAGATTCAAAAACCACCTCGATCCTAACGTAGCAAAGAATTCTTGGACTGAAGAAGAAGATAACAAACTCATTGAACTTCACGCCAAATTCGGCAACTCATGGACAAAGATTTCGCACTACTTCGAAGGAAGAACAGATAACTGCATCAAGAATAGATGGAACAGTACTCTTAAGAAACGCCTTGAAAGAATAGAAAAAGGTGAACCTCTAGTCATGAAACGCGGTCGTAAACCTAAGAATGTCAAAGTTAATATGCCTAAACCAGATTTATCCTCGACATCGTCAACAGGAAACTCTGTTTGCTCATCACCTTTACGTCCATTTGATGGAAAGCGTATCATTATTGATTTAGTTCCAATTACAGATAATATTTCTATTATTCAAGCACGTTGCGATAGTAATAAATCGCCAAAACCATTAAATAGTCTTGAAGAGAATAGGAAAGGTCTTTTAGCGCTTATTGGAGCTACTACTAATTAATTTCTATTTGTTTTATTCTTATTTTGTTTATCGATTAATAATTTTCACTTCTAAACTTTCTTTTATTATGTTTTTGACTTTAAATGTGATGTTATTTCTAATCATATACTCTCATTCTTCTAATAAGATATTAGATTTTCCTGGAAAAATATGAGTTTCACAAACATCATGCCACAGATGTTAAATTTTGGAGTTTTAATGCTATTTAAATATGCCAGAACTTCAATGGGTTATAAATTGAAACATTGTTTCAATATTGTTTTAATTATAGATGTGTGTAGCTGATTTTATGTTAAAACTCATATAGTTATGCTTATGGATTAGGTTATTTTAGAGATTTTATAGAGAATTTGAAATTTGATTTTTAGAAGTGTATCAACTCTAACCATCATATCTAAGCTAAACTTGTTTCAACGATTAATGTTCATCCATAGAGCATCTTAATAATGCAGTTGTACATATATATTACCTCATAATTTTCTGGATCTTTAGATCAAGTTTCCATTAATACTTCAATACCTACCTGCTTATATATTGGATAATGCATATAAATAAATAGAAAAGAATAAGTATTAACTTTGATCATTGATTTTTGATATTTAGTGAAAATAATATCCCTCTATTAAGGAATAACAATTCTACAAAGTCTGATTATAATAATATATTTTCTAAAGATAGCATCCTATGTAGATAAATATTGTTTAATATTTAGAATTTGGAATTATAAAAATTTGTTTATGCATAAAAACATTTCCAACAAGTTAAAAATACTATATTAGAAATGTTTGGCATTATTTTGTCAAAGACTTAATCAAATTACCAAGATAATTTATGGCAAATATACAATTTGTTCAGTAATTATTTTTTTGGAAAAATACAACTTACACAATCCATGTCGTGAAGGGTGTATGCCAAAATTATAGCATGGATGTTTTTTTATATTATGATGATAGGTATTGGGAATTGTGATGGATCTTATGTGGTGTAAAGTGAATATTATTGTAAATTATTTCTGAGTATGAACTAATAAAAGGAAAATACTATTCAGCCACTAAATTGAAATTCAAAAATTCAATTTCAAGAACTATTATTAAAGACTTGTAAACACTTTCTGATTCTAAAATCATTCTTAGCCAATAAAAAGTTCTTTCAAGAATGTTTCTGCATGAAAGTTCACATTCCCATTTGTAATAAGATTTTTGCACTTTTCTAATTTGCCGCGTCAAATGTCAGGCGGGAGGCTATCAACTAATTAAAGATTATATAATGGTATTATATAATGGATTAAAAATACGATAGAATGTCAGGCGAAAATGAGGGGAAAAGTGAGAAAAAGTGGCTTTTCAGTTTTTAATTTTTAGTTGATACACCTCTTGATTTTTGGATTTGTTTGTGTCTTATATGGATCAATAGATAATTATTTAGAGGAGCTTTAGCTATGCTTAAACATGGTTTCAAATCAAGTAGCCAATCTTCCATCAAACAAAAAATTCCATACAAATCGTGTTATTCCGGAATTGGTAGAGTAAAAATAATTCCCAATAGACAAACTATTTATAATTCACATCAAATTAGGAAATTAAAATCTGGCGTCATCATTTTGCCCTCAAAATTATAGTGAGGCGCTCCGACGATTATTGTAAACCAAATTTTAGAATGTTGAATATCCATTTAACTAATCATACGTTCAAGCCATTCGAGCATAAGATTGAGGAATATCTCCCATTCCAATACTTAGGAGAATGGAGAACGAAATTCGAAACAGAAACAAAGGAAATTCAAATTGTTGACATTTCTTACTCCGAAGCACTCAAAGCTCTTGTTATCTTTACACAAAAAGAGATTCGTATCGTAGAGCTTCACAATGACACAACAATTGTTCCAATTCCAGAAGGCAACGTTGTTTGTGCCGAATTGAACAATGGAGGCGACTTTGCATTCATTTCCACAGATGCACATCCATACCTTGTTGAGCTTGAAACCAAAGAATTTACTAAAATTGAAGGAATTGAAGGCATTATCCAACATATTGCTTTCCGTGACGACAACAAGTTCATTGCCGTTGCCACAGACAAGCAGCTCCTCTCTATTGACCAGAACAAGCAAATCCACGGCAAGCATTCTCAAGATAACATCACAGGAATCACATGGAACCCAGCAGGCACGTGGATTGCAGTTTCTTCAGGCAAGAACGTCAGATTCTTCGAAAAGAACTGCGAACATCGTACAGGAATCGAGTTTGATACAGAATTATCCACAATCCAGTGGGGAAAGGAGAAAGACATTGTTGCAGTCGGTGATAAAACAGGCTACATACACTTCCTCTATACAAAGAACCGCAAATGGTACAAGAAATTCATGATTAATACTTCATTTGTCGGATATCTTAACTGGAGCACTCCATACGTCCTTGAATACCGTAACCAACAAGGTATTGGCCATCTTACCATCAACAACGTTGTCGACAGCAACGAAAACGACATATTTGTTGTTGAATCTAACAATGTCTTCATTTCACATTGGTCCAAGGCCCTGATTCCTCCACCACTCGCCCACGAATCCAGGGAATTCGATTCCCAAGTCACTTGTTTGGGAATTTCCAATGAAAAAGTTGCTGTTTTCACTATGCACAAATTACAGTTCATTGATGACACAGAGACATATGATTTACCAATGGCTCCTGTCCAAACAGCAACTTTCCGTGGTGGAAAATTGCTATTTGCCGCTGATTCCCATTTATTCGAATTTGACAATGGAAAGATCACAGAACTTAACAATACTAATGGCTTCATCTCATTCCTCACACCGAACTACACAGTTTACAAGGGCGCGAAGCTTGTAAACGCATCTGACAACAAATTCACCATTTTAGCAGATTATATATACGCATTTACAGACAACGATGGTCAGAAGGTCATGCAAATGATGCTTGGCGACCTCATTGTCGATGGTGCAACAGAATCATCGAATGTCTACTCGTATCTTGCTACAGGCAAGCTTATCGCATACACACACGACATCAGCAAGTTCACTGTTAAGTACTACGATGAAAAGCATACACGCGGAATCGAGAATTACGCTCATGTTTTGTATTTCAACCGTAAACTGTATTCCATTGTTACTCAGATGCAGCGCGGTAACACGGAGACCAACGCCCCACACGTAATTGTCGAGCACGAGGTCAAATCCCTCATCAAAGAGCACAAATACAACGATACCTTGTTTATCTCTAAGAGATACCAAGTTCCGTTCACCCGTATCATCAGGTTAGGCGAAGTCAGTATCCCAGAGCTCCTCCAGCAAGTTCCAGATTCAAAGCTCAGACCATTTATCTCAGTCTTAACTTGCATTCCTCCAAAAAGTGACACCCCACCAAAAAGTGACGAAGAACACAAAGAACGCGAGAGAGAAATTATGGAATGTGCTGAAAACAAATCCTTTGTGTACAAGATCCTCAGCCACCTGTTTTCCATTGAATTCAACGACAAAACAGAATGGAAACCAGAATTCGCTGAATCGAAACTTGCAATTTCATTTTTCTCTGTTGCATCCATCTGTTTCGTTCTCCTAGACAAGAGTGTCAATGCCGTAGCCTTCGCTTGCCAAATGAAAGACCCGCAAACTTCAAAACAAGCATTGGATTTCCTTTTGACACTTTTCGACGCCGATAACTTATTTGACATTTCCATGAGAACATACGATACAAAGACCATTGCAACAGTTGGCCATTACACAATGAGAGAGCCAAGTTTGTTCATTCCAATGCTTGAGAAATTCAACAAAATGCCACGTGATCTTATGATCGCCAAGATCCACAACAAACTCGGTGATTACGGAACAGCTGTGAAGTACTACGCGAAACTCGATGACCAGAGATACGTCACAAAGGCAAGGGATATCTGTCTCAGAGAGAAATGCTTCGACGAAGGATTGGAATCCTTCAAGAGAGGTTCAGAAGAATGGTTAGAAATTCTCAAACAAAAACTCGAACAACTCGAGGCAGACAAGAAGTACAAAGAAGTTGCAATCCAAGCAATTTCTTCCAACAACGAAGATATCATCCTTAAATACATCAACGCTATTTGTTTGGCAGGAAATCACGAACTCGCTCGCAGAAGAATTTCCAAAGAAAACTACAATAAAATTTTCGAAGTCTTGAAGAAACAAAAGAAGACTGAAGAAGCGGCATTCTTCTGTTTGAACTATTTGGATGACCAACCAACAGCAGGAGGATTATTCTTGAGTGCACAGATGTACGACATGGCTGAGAAATGCGGAGTTCCTGTTGAGAAAATCGCAGATTCCGCTTACAAGTACTTGAGTAATCTCTACAAGAGAAATGCAAAACTCGCACAAGATTTGCATGAACAGTTTGAACAGACAAAGAAGAAAGAGGAAACACATCATCCTGACAGTTCAAAGCGTAGTGGAAAGAAGAAAGAAAGTAGAGGTCTTCCTGCAATCATCTCTAAGTTGGAGCCATTGTTACCAACACAGAAAGATGACGAAAGATTAACTCTCGCTCAAACTTATTTGACAATGGTCGACAGAAATGATGACGCAAAGGAACTCAAGCAGCTCTACAACGCAATGGCAAGAGCTGTCTATCCAATACCTTCTTTGCCTGAAGGTCAAAAACCTTTAGTTCCTGAATACCTCAAACCAACTTTTGGTTATAGTTGAAACCAAAAATTTATATATATATATATTAGAATTTTATTTTTATTATTTTCTTTTTTTGATAAAAAAAATTATTTTATTTAAAGGTGCACTTTAACCTACTATATATATTGTTGTAAACAGAAATTCATCAAAAGTGACACCTCAGAAAAGCTAAAATATTGAATTTTTGGAACTTTTGATAGAGCACGTTTTTAAATATTAATTAAAGTAAATGTATATTTTGTAAAGATTCTTTTTAATAAAAAAATAAAATTTTGAAGAAGAACACAAAATCTTCTGAAAAATAATATCACATAAACTCATATTATTTTCTAATATATAACTATTTTATATAAAAATCAAATTCAATGATCTTAAAAGCGAAGGATAAACCTCAAAATTTACGAATATAATGAGTGGGAATATAATGCTTATCTATCATAAAACCATATGAAATATCAATTTTTGCTTTACGCCTATTCCCACTCATTATATTCGTAAATTTTGAGGTTTATCCTTCGCTTTTAAGATCATTGAATTTGATTTTTATATAAAATAGTTATATATTAGAAAATAATATGAGTTTATGTGATATTATTTTTCAGAAGATTTCATTCTATATGCCTATGAAAAGTACTCTCAAAACTAACTTTTCCTAATTATAATTAAATCTAGAATATTGTATTATGCTTAGTATTATTTCATTTTTCTCATTCAATTTAGAATTTACAAATGTCAAAAAATTGAGAGCTGTCACTTTTGATGAATTTCTGTTTATTACAATATATCTATTTTAATAGCAGAAAAGTATAGTGATTTATGATTACTTTTTCCCGATCAAAATTATTAGCTTCTGATCTTAGAAAATTGTATTTGATTCAAAAGAGGCTGCTTAGTTAGCAATAGATAGTCTTAACAATCATCTATTTTGAGGATGTAACTTGAATGTATAACCGAAGAGTGAAAATAGCCCAGGAATTGAAATACAAAAACTTGCTGAAGCATGCGAAGAAGGAAATATTGAACTTGTGTGTCAAAAAAAAATTGAGAGAATGTCAGAAAGTGGTAAGTACACCTCTCTTCTTTTTCCTATGGTGTACTTTTTTTTATTTCTGAGATGATCATAAAAACAACAAATCCTTGCTTTGATAGTAAAATACTATAATAACCACATTCGTTACTAATAATAATAATGTGTCTGTAAAACACTGTACATGGTGGTTTTTAATAACTTTTTACAGACAACAAATATCAGCTTTTCACCTAATCAATCAAGAAGTATAGTTAGATATGTCAAAAAATTTCATGCAATTATCACTTTCTGACAAGATCATAAAGAATCAATATATCTTTATTTTAATAGCAGGAAAGCATTACAGCCATACTAGGTACTATATAATGATTCTTGATTACTTTTTCCAGACCAAAAATATTAATTTCTCATCTTATTTATAAAGCTTGAGTGTCAAAAAAATTGAGAGAATGTCAAAAAGAATTTAACATATTTTCCCGGACTTTTCAGAGAATTGAGCTCAGGCTCAATTCTCTGAAACAGTCCGAAGAAATATGAAAGTCTGTCATAGCTTTCAATGATTAGCTCGATTTTAACGGAACCTTAAAATCGAGCATTGAAAAGTCTAGACAGACTTTCTATTTTGAATTTTCACATCAACATATCAAAAGAAAACCATTCTGTGAGTTCATACACACTATTACTATACTTCATATGTTAAGAATAATAGGAACAATTTTGGTCGATAACTTTGTCTGTGGACAAAGTTCCCTTTTTTAACATATCTTTATTTTAATAACAAAAAAGTACACTGTTATTAGTGATTTATAATAACTTTTCTCAGATCAAAAATATTATACTAGGGAAGTAGTATATGTTGAAGGGTTTAGTGACTTTTTTTGTGACGTCTATATATAGATGAAGGTATATTTTCACATCTTCTATATATAGATGATATAAAAATTTTTCTTACGTTTTTTAAGTCATGAATTCGTAAGAAAGCGCGACATTATTAAATAAATTAGTAATAAATATTATATACTAAACACATTTTAAAAAATTAACATTAATTTTAAAATAATTTATTTTTTTATCTTTTATAAAAGAAGCTATATATAGATGATGTCAGATATCCCGCGATTAATTAAACATCGTTTAAATCCTGAATGGGTTAAACTTCAGTTTAAAAATGAAGATTGTGAATTATTAAATGAATATGAAAGCCAAAATAAGCTAATGAGGTATAAATATAATGATAAAGAATATTTAATTTCATGGAATCAATGGAGTCATAATCAAAGACCTCATAAACGAGAAGAAGAAATTGAAAATAATGAAATGGAAATCATTGATGACATTAAAGAGGATGGTGTTCCTAAATTCTGTAGAAAAACCTTTAGAACTAAGTTAGGAGCATATAAACGTAGAGTATTAAATCCTGAATATCTTAAACATCAATTTAAAAAGGAAGACTGTGAATTATTAAACGCTAATGAATATGAAAATGCTAAATCAAAACTGAGATATAAGCCGGATTATAAAGAAAAATTTATACAAAATATAAAACCTCTTGTTGATGATTGGAATAACACATACTTAAAGAAACCCCACAAATCAGAAGAAATAGGGGCGGCGACAAATTTGCCCAGCCAGTAAAGTATTCAATTTTTTTTTTGCATTTTTTTTAAAGCTTCTTATCTTAAATCATGGAATGTCTCAAAGACAAAAGTAGCATACAGCATGTAAAGCTAAAGAAAGATAATCATAATTAATACCTTAATTTTTAATATTACGCATTTTTAGGTGCAAAATTTAAAAACATTCTAATACAATAGAGCAGTTTCCAAAAGTAGCATACAGCATGTAAAGCTAAAGAAAGATAATCATAATTAATACCTTAATTTTTAATATTACGCATTTTTAGGTGCAAAATTTAAAAACATTCTAATACAATAGAGCAGTTTCCAAAAGTAGCATACAGCATGTAAAGCTAAAGAAAGATAATCATAATTAATACCTTTAAAGTTTAAAATCTTGATTTTTTTTAAAATCAAATATTTATAACTTTAATACATACAGCTTAAACCTTATACTTGTTTTCTCTTGTGAGAAAGCAATCTTACAAAGCTAACAATCCTAAAAAAAAAGAATTAAAATTTAATAATTTAATCTAACAAAATTTCTCTCTTTATCCTTTTGCACTCTTTATATGCAACTCAAATCCATCATATAATATTCCTATAATACTCTTGCCTCAAACAATGACGAACAAACTGCTATTCTCATTTAATTACAGACCAAATCTATTCAAATTTCTGAATTTTTAATTTTCATTTCAATTTCAAATGGAATTAGAAGAAGAAACTATCTTTACTGTTAAGGATCTTTGTAAATTTGGAGTTAAACAAGAAATACAAGCACAGTATGGATATGGTGAACGTGTCAGGAAAGAAAGATCTCAGATTTCATTCCACTGCAAATATCCAAAATGTCCTGCACATTTTAATGTTGCAATCTTGGATCAAAATAAATACAAACTAATCAAAATAGTTGAAGAACATGATCATTCCGCCCCAAATGACAAAAGTCAATATTCGTCTGTCTTTTATCGCAAATATTTAGAACATTACTTCCAAACAGATGACAATCAAAGAGCGATAGCACAGCTAAATGCATTCAAAGATCTTGAAATTCCTCTTACAGGTCCGTCCATTCCAGAGATGTACGCTCAAAAACCACGTGCAATCAAACGATTTGCAGAGAGAATACATGCTCTTCAAACTAGATATTCTCCTGACGATGTTGTGTCATTGCAAATCTTTGTTCAGACAGTACAAGAAGAATCTCCAGATGATCTCATTGCATTTGAAGTCTCAGACAATAATATGTGTTTCTATTACGCGCCTTTTGAAGGCAAAGCTTATGCGCATAGTATCAAGACATTTCATATAGACAGCACCTTTAAATTGTTGCGATCAAACATTCCATTGTATGCATTTACTGGCAAAATCAAAGATTTTCACATTTTCCCTTTTTTATATTTCTTTTGTCAACCAGACACTTATCAAAACATTCAAGTTTGCGTGTGCGCCTATCTCAGATGGGTAACAATTGAGCCAGAATACATTAGCATGGACTGTGCTCCACAGATAGCTCAAGCAATAGAAGAAAGCATTCCACAAGCTCAAATACTTTGGTGCGGAGTACATGTTCTTCGTGCAATTCTTCGCAAATCAAATAAGTTTTCTTCTCAAGAAAAATTTGAACAATTCTATAATTTGATGAAGGATTTAGTCTTCAAATTAGATGCAGAACATGAGGAAGAAGCAAATGCTGCCTATGATCAAGTTCTGGAGTTGCTCGACACAGATCCAACAGCATCTCAATACTTTAACAGACAATGGCGTTACAACATATCAAGATGGATTGCTCGTGACAGGCGTGAAGGCGACGCAACTAACAATATTGCCGAAGCTCATTTTAGAACACTCAAACATGACTATTTTCCTGATCGAAAAAATCTCAGAATTGATGATGTTATTATAGAAATTTATACAAAAGTGATACCATCTTTCGTTATCAAACTCAAAATTGATCAAAATCCATCAGATGACCATGTTATTAGGATCATGGAAAAAGCAACTAACGCAGAAATTGATGTAAAAAGACAAAGAAAAATCGAGAATATTTCAATGCTCAATAGATTGCTCAATGCTGTTAGTGATGACTCAATAGATCCCACTAAAATATATCCTACCTTGAAAGTATTATTACAAAGAACTCATTTTATTTAATTTTGATTTTAATTTTAGATTAAATTATTAAATTTTAATTCTTTATTTTTTAGGATTGTTAGCTTTGTAAGATTGCTTTCTCACAAGAGAAAACAAGTATAAGGTTTAAGCTGTATGTATTAAAGTTATAAATATTTGATTTTAAAAAAAATCAAGATTTTAAACTTTAAAGGTATTAATTATGATTATCTTTCTTTAGCTTTACATGCTGTATGCTACTTTTGGAAACTGCTCTATTGTATTAGAATGTTTTTAAATTTTGCACCTAAAAATGCGTAATATTAAAAATTAAGGTATTAATTATGATTATCTTTCTTTAGCTTTACATGCTGTATGCTACTTTTGTCTTTGAGACATTCCATGGTTTAAGTTAAGAAGCTTAAAAAAAAGAAAAAAAAATGTAATAAAATAAAAAATTTTTAGTATCGATAATCTGAAATATGTTGTTTACTTAAGCCGCGAGCGAAGCGAGGGGCTTAGTTTCGTAGTTTCATACAATTATTTTTCGAATTTGTTCTTTTTGTCAACCGCGAGCGAAGCGAGTGGCTTTTTATTTTTTAAAATTTTTTTTTCTTTCTTACTTTTTTTCCCTTTACTTACAAATTTGATAGTAACTTACCAAATTTCTCTATCATATAATAATAAATTAATCCATTTTTTGTTTCAAATCTAACACTTTACCTTTCTGACATGTAAACCTGTCACTTTTCACTTCACCTCACTGGGCAAGTTTGTGCCCCCTCGAAGAAATAGAAAATGATGACACGTCTGATGAATTTTTCATTTATGAAGGTGATGTTTATAGATTAAATGAAAAGGCTTTATATAAAGATTATATACGGGGTAAGAAAAAATTAGATGAATTTTATAAAGCTTGTGTCTTGAATTATTAAAAATAAACTTCTTACGAAAAATTAAAACTTAGTTATATTTATTATTTTATTTTTTTTATTTTGTATGAAATGAGCGTCAAACTAACAACGTTAAAAAATTAGGATTCACAAACGAGGAAATAAAGGATATATTAGAGGAGGTAGGTTATGAAGTTAATAAATATTATTTAAGAAATTGTCAAAAATTTGCCGAGTTATTAAATGATTTAGATTATGATGGAAAAATGAATAAAGATGATGTTATAAATTTCTTATATCCCACATCTGAAGAAGAAAAACCTAAAGAACCTGATGTTTTCCCTGAATATTATGAAGAACGGATTAAAGATGATGAATAACAATGAAATTGAAAGACTGAAAAAAATAAGAGATGAAATAGATGAAAAATTAAGGAATTAAGAGAAGTTGAAAAATATAATGAAAATGAAGTAGAGGGTTTAATGAATATCCCAGCTTCAGAATCAGAAGTTCAGAAATCTCATGAAGAAAGATATAAAAATTATGTCTCAGAATCAACACAAAATTTATTAGATGGTGAAATAGACGAAACACTTTCAGAAGAAGGTACTAAATTTATTCGTAAACATAAGTTACAATTTATTGATAATGAAGAATACCCCTGTATCCTACTTTCACCACCTTTAGATTCCGAAAAATTCAAAAAAGCTCTTAAAAACGTAACTTATGCAACTAATACAATTAAGAAAGAAGATCATGATATTTACACAAATTATTATTTAAATAAATGCACAGGTGTTGATAAAGTTTTTGATTTATTAGATAAAATATCAAAAGAAACCATTGGAACCTATAAAATTTTGTGTGATTGCGGTTTCATTGTTGAAGATACCAATAATGTTTCATATGAAAGAACAGCACCGAAGGAAGACGAAGTTGAAAGGTCTATACCATTCGTTATTAAGAACATAAAAGATATGAAAACTTATAAACATTATATTTATTCATTTATTTCAGAAAAAATGGAAGCAACCCATAAAACATCTTCTCATCATTTTATAGCTATTCATACATTCCTTTTCAAAGTTGTGAAATTAAATAAGACAGGAATTAGATTTAATGTATCAGGGTACGCATTCTTGAGTAAATTAAAATGTATTCGTCACGTCGCAGATGATAAAAATTTATGTGTTCTTAATTCATTTTATGGGCTTTAAAAAATAAACTTTATTTTTATTTATTTTTTAATTTTTTATTCTTACATAAATGAACAAAAACGGAACAGCTAAAATGAATGATAATCAAATTAGAGCAGAAGGTAGAAGGTTATTTAAACGCTTCTATAACATTCCTGATGGTGTTAATCCTAAAACTCGTAGAAGCTATTTAAATGAAGCAATAGATGCATATGAAGGGTTTGACATTTCATCAGAAAGTGAGAGATTAGCGAGAATGTTAAATGTTAATATTGATTTCTATTATTGTGATCCTCAACCAGAAGACGTGGACATAAATAAGGTAGACTTTCCATTAGTGGAATCAATAATGATAGATCCAGAATTTGAAACAGTAAATATTTTATTAACACAGAGTCCATGTGGAAAACTTCACGCTGACAGAATAACAGACGTTGAAGCACTCACCGGCTATAAAGTTTGTCCATATTGTAAAGAAGAAGTTTATTCTATCCGTGATGATCCAGAAAGGAAAAACCAAAGAAGATTTTTAAAGCATTGTGAGAAATGTAAAGAAAATAATGGAAGATTAATTCAAGACGTTCAATTGCAAAAGACCCAGCAACCATATGCACCACATATTACGAAACAGAAGATATATCAGTGGTTATTAGCTCACAATTTGCAGAAATATTATAAACCGACAAGATATTATATTACTTTTGACTTCGAAACATTAGAGACTAAAGAAGAATTACAACTTTCTGAGTGTGCAACTTTGAACGCTTACTTAAAACCATTCATGGTATCATCAACGGTTAAATTAAATGATAAAACGTATACGAGGAATTTTTGCTTAACTTCGAGTGATTCTTTTATTTCTGATTGGATTGAGTTTTTATTTTCAACCTGTTCATTAGTTGTTGAATCAAATATTGAACAATATGAAGAATTAATGAAGCCGCAAACGGCGGGGACTTTGTCCCATACATTAAATGAAAAACAGAAGGAAGCATTTAAAGAACTTCTAGATGAGGAATTCAATAAAGTGAATATCATAGGTTTTAATTCGGGAAAGTTTGATTTAAATTTAATTCTTCGTGATTTAAACACTGCAAAATGGAAAATAAAATCAATGCTGGGTTCATCTTCACAATTTAAGCAAATCATTGTAAAGAAAACAAACGTTCCATATGAATTGAGATTTATTGACATCAGAAATTATATAGCGGGTGGGACATTAGACCAATTCACTCAAGATTTCGGAAACAATAAATCACGTGTTAAATCCTTTTTCCCTTATCAATTCATCACGTGGGAAATTACGAAGAAGAATTATATAAAGTGGAACCATTCATCAAGATTCATTTTATTCAGCATTAACTCAAGAAACTATATCAGATAGTGATTATCAAATATATCTCAATGATGCTAAAAATTTAAGAATAGATTAGAATATTTTATTCATTATTGCAATAAAGATGTTGAAATTATGATTGACCCAATCGATAAAATTATTGAAGAAACATTTGTTTATAAAATTGACATGCTTCATAATCTTTCTTTATCATCGAATGCTTCAATGATTCGTTACGCTTTAGCATATAAAGACTTTAATCCTAATGAAAAATATCCTGAGGAAGAGATAGAATCAAGTTTTGAATTAACGAAAAAGTATTGGAAATATAAAATTGAATCATATAAGAAACAAGATGAAAAAGCAGAAAGAGATACTAAAAATAATGTTTCAATGGATGATTTTCAATACTATCACGATTTAATCCTTTCATCTAAATGCAAAATGTGTGGTAAAGCGTTTACATATGCAAATAAACCAACATTGGATAGAATCGATAATGAAAAACCACATACCAAAGAAAATTGTCAGTTAATGTGTTGTTATTGCAATGTCGTAAAATCAAATAAAGATGAAGATGTTCAACGTTTAAGAATCAATTTAAGAAATTATGCATTAAAAAATAATTTACCAATGACTTTAGATTCAGTTGAAGCTTATCACATTCTCCGTAATGGAATTACTGGTGGTCTATCAAATGTTCAACATCGTGTTAATCTTAAAGGAATCACGCACATTAATAAACTTTCATATAGTCCAGAAACTAAAACTGTATCAAATGAGGACACTTCCAACATCATGACTCATTTCGTTGGTGTTGATTTTAATTCATTATATCCTTCATCATTTTCATCTAATCCTCATGATTTCATTCAATATACTGACCATAAAATGTATATGCCGGGAAGATTGAATGGTGTTATCATTTGTGATACAGCAACAAAGAAAGCAAAAGCACTGGGAATAATTAAGAAGAAAAATACTTTATTCGTGGCTGAAGTAAAGGGTCACATTGATGAAAAATACATTAATGATTACATAAACTTTTTACCGATAATAAGAAACTTAGATATTATCACAGATGAAAAAACAATTGGCAGTTTTATGTATAATTACATGAAATCAAACAATCTACCAGTTGACCAGAAACAGAGGAAATTAACTCAGTTAGCATCAACACACAACCAATATCAACCATTTTCTTCTTATTATCTTTGGTATCTAATAGACAGATTTCATTTTATCATCGATGATATTCAATCAATTTTAACATTTACGAAAAACACTTGTTTTAATGAATTTGCGAACGAATTTATGAACGAAAGACAAAAGGCTGAATTAGAAGGAAATAAAGGAAAAAGTTTATTTTGCAAGATTTCACTTAATGGATCATATGGTTACGATGCAATGAATACGCAAAATTACGCAAAGACTAAAATAATGAATGCACAGAAGGCACGCGTTGCATGTATGTCAAATAAGTTTAAAAACATAAGAGAAATAGGTGAGATACATATCAAGTGATGCTTAAAGATAGATTTTATAGATGTGATACATGTTTACAAGAGGCATTCTTCACTTTAGATAATGCTAAATACTGGTATTTGGTTTTCATTTATGATTTTATGTATAAATGCATGAATGTTAATCGTTTTCATTTCATTGAAGGTGATACTGATTCATCTTATTGGGCAATCGCTGGCGACCCAAATCTTCCTAACACTCAAGCATTTCAAGCAATTGTTACCGATAAACAATTTTATGATAAAAACATTTTCAAATTCGCACCATTTGATTTCTTCTGTTTTGATGAGAAATTTAAACCTAAATTAAAGAATAAAGCTGAAGAAAAAGCACATGAGAAGAAGTTATTGGGTTTAGCAATTGAGAAACAAGGTGATAACATGGTTGCTTTATGCCCTAAGTGTTATACATCATTCAACGGTTCAATTGATGGAAGTGATTTTAAAAAGATTGCACAAAAAATGAAAGGTGTTAGTTTACGACAAAATAAACAATTAACACCTAAAAATTATTTGGATATAATAAATGATAAAGTGATATTTGATGGTCAGAATATTAATTTACAACTTAAAAACGGGTCAATGACTCGCTTAACAATCGGTAAGACTGCATTAACAGGAGCACACACTAAGGCTGTATGTTGTGAAAATGGATGTTGTATGCCATTTATTTAATACAATTTAAAAACGTAGGGGTTGAGTCATGAATTTAAAATTTTATTTTTAATAAAATGCCACAGAAGAGACAAAAGGAACCGAATAGATTTATACCAAATGGTTTTAACTTTCAGATTCCAAATAATCAACCGCAACGAATTTTTCAAATCCCACCACAGCATCAACAGCAGCAACAACGACCACCACCACAACGTCAACGGAGAAGAACATTCACCCCTGAAGAAAGAAATTTCAATAATTTGATGCGTCAACAAAATCAAGGTTTGAGATTTTATCCGGGCAGTAATGGTATACATATAAGGCATCCAAATTTAGATAGAAGATATACCGCTGAGATTCATATTTTACCTAATAATACGATTAATTTTGCTGGATTTTATGATCATCATCAGGAAATCTGGACTCCACCATTTGATACCGTTTTAGAAGGAGGAACCGTTAATGATGCGATTCAATATGTAAATAATGGTTTTGATACTATGATTCAAAGAGGTGGGCACCATTAAAACATTTATTTTATTTTTATATAAATGGATAACGCAAATTTAGAAAATTTAATTGATGATTTAGTACTTAATCAAAATTTTCTTAATTATTATGAATTAAAATCATATCTCCAAAAACATAATAAAAATATAACAGGTGATGATATGGATTATTATTATTCATATTATAAAAATGAAATTTTGAAATATCATGATAAAATAATTTCTGAAATTAAAGACAAAATTAAAAATAATGAATATACAAAGGGAAAAACTAAATCACAACTTAAACAGTTGAAAGATTTCAAAAATAAAGTATTAACAGAAGAAGATATTGATGAATTATATAAATTATATAATCCTGAGCCGCAAAAGCCAAAGGAACAAAAACAAAAGGAACAAAACGCCCAGGTCCTTCAGACCATAAATGATGCACAAGTTTTAATTTATGATTCATTAGTTAAACCATATTCAGCCCGACTTTTAAATGAAGATCAACTTTTGGAATTCATCCTTCAACATAAACTCGAAGCGGGAAAGTATATCAAACCTTTATATACAGCATATTTAAAACAAATGAATAGAATACATCCAGAATTAATGAAAGGAAAATCAACAACTAAAACTTCATCATCCAAAATCAAAGCAGATAAAATTAAACCACTTGCAATACCAAAACCTCCAACGACAGTACCTCCTCCTCCTTCAGTTAATCCTTCATCATTCACTTTATTATATCCATTTCAAACATTAAAGAATCAAAAAGATTTTAAAAAGGATTTCAAGATATTAAATAAACCAATTGACCCGAAAATTCAACCGTTAAAGGAAAAATTTAGTCGCCCTTCATTTGCTCCATATCCATATTCATACGAAATAGATCATTTAGAATATTCAAAAGGAAACGTTACTTATTTATTTGCCATTAACATTAACACTAGATATTTATATTGCATTCCGGTGAAAGGGAAAACAGAACAGGAAACAAGAAGAGCTATTCAGTACTTACTAGATCATGAAAGAGTAGATAATATAAGGGGTGATGGTGATAAAGGATTTCAGGCAGCTATGACTCATTATTTCCCACAAATTAATTTTTTCTTTTCATCCTCTCCATATACGTTTCATAATAAAATAGTTGATGCGGTAATGAGAACTCTTAGAGATGCGTTAGGGGTTAACGGTCAGATATACTGGGATGGAAATCATGACTCCATCATACAACAGTTAGTATATTATTACAATAATACATGGCATAGAACTATAAACATGAAACCAGTGGAAATGAAAAATGATATTTCAAAAGAATGGGAATATATTAGAAAACAAATGGAAAGGTTGAATGATGTTAAACGTGAACAAATTAATTCGGGGCTCATGAATTTTAAACAAGGGGATAAAGTTTTGATTCATCTCGATTATGGAAAAACTGATAAATCAATGACAAAAAGAAGACGAAGATTTGACACAATAGCTGAATTTGTTAGATATATTAACGGCAATGCATTAGTTGAAGTTGACAATAAATTAATAAACATTCCGATTTATTTTATTACTCCATTATATTTAAATAATATTTAATTTTTTTATTTCGTAAGAAATGAGTGACAACGAAGCATCCAAGAGTCCTGATTCAATTAAGATTCAGAGTCCAGACGATGAATATAAAAAGAAACTAAACAGAATTAAATCAAAAATATGCTATTACAAAAAGAAGCCGCAATGCAGCGGGGCTGATGCCCATAAAACTAAAGGAACTGAGAATGATAAAGAGAGGAAAGAAATAATCGAAAAATTAGAAACTTACCGTTCAATCCTTAAACTGAGTGAAGCAAAAATAAAAGAATTTAATAGAATAAATAAATTGATTGGAAGAGATGAATTTAATAAAGATGAATTTTTAAACTCAATCCAAATTTAATTTTTATTCCTCTTCGACATTCTTTCCATCATTACTGCATAACCGCATCTTCTCGGTTTTCGTGGTTTGTTGTTTTTAATTCGTTCTTGCATCATTTTTATCATTTCCTCCCTTGTTATGATTCGTGGTAAATTTTGAGCTTGTGGAGTATTCATTTATATTAAAAATAAAATTTTATTATCAGTTATTTTATCATCATTTTATTAAGTTCATCTTTAGTTAATAATTTGAATGGATTCGCTAATGTTCCACCTTGAGCCACAACACTTGCCCCAGCTAATTGCGAAGAACCTGGGATAAGTACTCCATGAAATGATTTCATTGGTATCATTAATTTAGAAATAGTTGGCTTAATTAATTTTGTCATTTATGTTAAAAATAAAATGTTAAATTATTCAACTTCATTTTCTCATTTCTCATTTTTTCTCTTTTTCATCCTGTTTTGGTTTCAGCAACTTTTCAAGTTGTTGTCTTGTCAGTAACTTTAATTTTAACTTTGGATCAAATATTGGGTTTCCATCTTTATCTCTTCCAATAACACCATATGGTAGAATCTTCATTTATACTAAAATAAAAATTTAAATTATGCCATTCTAAAGTTTGTGCAACAAACATTGAGCGTTCATTGAACGCGAAACCATACATAAACTGTCATATAAGGTGGCATGTAATCTGTACCTCTTCCTGTCGTTTGTGTATATCCTGAAACGTTATGTGAATGTGTACCTGAACCGTTTGAAGTATACGTTTCATTCCATCTATTTTTATTACCGTACCAATATTTACCCCTGCTAGCGTCTCTATCAGACCATCCATCAGGAAATCCATTATTTCCATCAGGATATTCAAACGAATTAGTATAAGTATGACTATGCCAGCCCGAGTCTTGAGTGTTTAAATTAACATAATGACTATGAGCAGGTAAATTTTCGCCAGTAATCTTTTTACTTCCACCGGTTTGTTTTGAACTATTAGCACAGTAGAGGAAACGATCGGTTATTTGTTGCCATGTACCAAAACCGAATACATCAGCTGGATTTGTTGAATTCATTGATGTATATATTGAACCAATGGGGTAAATCATCTCAAGAATTGTATTTAATCCATTATGAATATTGAATTTATTATATAATATTGAAACTGGGTAAGAAATTAAAATTGGTCTTGTCATCAATATTAACGTATTATTTTTGAAAATTGCTTTTCTAACATCTTGAAATTTTGTGATTTCAGACCAGTTTCTTCCATCACTACTGATATTTACTAAATCACCACATCCTAAAGCAATGAAATACCAATCAATATAAAATAAATTAGTAAATCTATAATTTCGAGTAAGTTTTGGAGTGAATGAATAAACCAATTCCCAACTTGGTGTTTTCTCTGGATCCTGTGAAAAATCTTGTGATAAATAAATATGTCTGTTATAACTTACAGGATATGAATAGACCATACCACCTGAAACAAGAACACAAACATTTGAAGCATAACATAAAGCTTCAATGTCTCCATCAGCTTGAAAAATTTGTTCAAAATGACCAAATGGTATTGAATATGATCTATAAATTTTATCATTCTGTAGGATAAAATACATGTTGTTAATGTAATACCACTTACTTGTATAATCAATTTCCAAATCTGATGACATCATACTAAACATATAATAATTTACCCCATCCTCACTAATGAAAATTTGATTGACTTCATAAATTAGTACCCATTTATTATTAACGCATCTAATAGGATTATTTGGATATTTAAATTTAGCATCTTGATTTAAATTACATTTGAACCATTGGATACAATCGAATGAATAACAAGGGCAAAAATCATCTCCAACCGTTATCATTCCCATAAATTTACCGTTATTATATTCAACATATAAAATTCTTGGATTAATGATTGGCTCTCGTGTATCAGGATTCCAAACAGATGGAGTAAATGATTCATAGTTTTTAAAATCATTTGTTTTAAAATAATAAAGCACTCCAGCTGTATAAAATAAATACATGGTCACTCCATCGAAACATATCCATTCAATAGATTGAAATGTTTTATCTGATGATTTCGTAAAATTTAAAAATGGTGGAGTAAAATAGACCTCTGATTGTTTTATTTCTTCATTAACAAATGATATATCAGCTTTCTTTGCTAACTCAGTATTAATGAATGAAATAATTTTTTCCTTATCTGCTTTCTTCTCTAACTCATCGTTAACATAAGTTTTATCTGCTTTCTTCTCTAACTCATCGTTAACATAAGTTTTATCTGCTTTAAGGTCTAAACATCCTGAAACCCATTCTGTATCAGCTTTAACTTTAAAAGTCTCTAATGTCCATTCATGATACCCTTCAACCTTTTCTTTAATTTCATTATCTTTTTCATCAACATAAACCAAATTTGCCTTCTTATTTAATTCCTGGTCAACATAACTTTTAAATGCTTTTTGATTAATTACTCTTGAATTTTCATTAACTCTGAAATTTAAATTATCATAATTACTTTTAACTGTTGCATTTGTTTGATTAATTCTGTTATTTAATTCATCGAATTGAACATGTGTATGATCAACATCTGCTTTCTTATTTAACTCGGTATTTACATAAACTAAATCTGCTTTCTTATTTAATTCATTATTAACATAAACTAAATCTGCTTTCTTCATTAATTCAGTATTAACGTATTCCTTATCTACCTTCTTCATTAATTCAGTATTAACGTATTCCTTATCCGCCTTCTTATTTAATTCAGTATTAACGTATTCCTTATCTGCTTTCTTCATTAACTCACTATCCACATATTCCTTATCCACCTTCTTCATTATGTCATTTAGGAAACCTTCTATGAATTCCTCATTTAAATTAAATCTTCCAATCTTCAAAACTTTAGGAAATGCATTTAATGCGTAATATCTCTGTTCTTCTGGTGGAATTGATGTTATATCATCCGTTATTCCTTTAATTTTTGAATTCATAAATAAAATTTCTTTTATATTTGATATCACTGCACCACCTTTGCAAACGAATTCGAAATGGTCATTTTTCAATACTATCTCCAAATCTCCATATTTCAACCTTTGCGTTTGTTCTGCCGTCTTTGAATTATATGCATATGTGGCGTATGTAATAAGTTGCTGTTGTTTAATCATTTATTACGATTTAAAAATAAATATTTAATCCGTTATCTCATCAGCTATTTTCTCTATTTGAAATTGCCATAATATTTCATTCATAAATTCTAAATCACAATCAAATAGGTCAGTTATTCTAAATTTAATATTTGATAAATCTTTTGAATGAAGAATAAATGAATTCCCGGATAATTGAAACGGATATGATAAAGAAAATGTGTTTAAGTTGATGGATAAAATGTTTTGTATTGATGGGTAAGAGTTAGGGTCTAATGTTTGGTGTGAAAATTTCATTGGGGTATTAACTTTATCACATTTGATTAAAATGAAATTGGAACCGGTGTCAGAATACAAAACATCCCCAACATCTTTTTCAAAATTTAATATCCCCAACAATGAACGAAGATGAGGAGTACAAAATTTAATTTTCAGCGGAAATTTAATAAGGTTATTTATTTCATCAAGTTCAAAAAGTTTATCAGGTTTTGATTTAAAATTTTCTTCATACCATACGATAAATGATTCATTTAAATAACTTAAAATCATGTTAATATCCCATTTCGCTATCACATTATTTATATACATATCATACGTTTTTTCAAGGTCTACGACCTCGCCGCTATGCGGCTCATGGTCATCTTTAATAAATGATATATAATCTGAAGGGTCTAAAAGAATGGGATTAAATTTACCACTCACAGAAACGAGAGTAACATTATAAATTCCGCTAACTGTTAAATTTAATTCACAGTTATTATTCGAAATAATATTGATAATTGACATTTTTTATTACGATTAAAAATACGGTAAAGCGTTATTTTCCAGTGATAAATAAAACTAGAATAAGATTACCTCAAGAATTCATAAATTCAACGAATAAGAAATTCATTCATGTTATAAATTTTAGTGTTTTCAGAAAATATGAGTCAGTGTCATATTCATCAACAGGTTATATTTCACTTCATTCAAATTTAGTTCAATCAAACCCATATAATGACCATTTCATAAGATTTTCAGATGGTATTAAAAATGTAATTGATAGATTAAAATATGAACAGATTAACAATATCGAATTTTTGGAATTTTGGTTTAAATATCCCGATGGAAAAAAGATTGAAGTTAAAGATAAAGCTGATACTATAACAAAAACAATTACAATGACCGATCCGGATAGTGGGGAACAAAAAGAAATAAAACAAACGATAGAAACTGGTGAAAGGTCAATTATTATTGATTATGATTCAAAGGATTATTATTCGATAATGTTAATGCTTGAATATTAAATAGCCTTAACAAAGAATTTTTCAAGTGATATTTTATATTCATCAACTATTTTATTATAAATATCATTATATGTTAAATGAAGTTCAGTTGTTGTTCCGTTCTTTGATATCTTAATTGTGCTAATATTCTTTATAGGATTTATTTTTGCAACTGTTCCGCAGCATGAAACCTCATCATCTATGAAAAATTGAATCTTAACGTCTGAATCTTGAACATCACAAAGAATGGCAATAATGTGAATTAATGATTCATAAGGTAAAATAATTAAACCAGATTGATCAATTAAATTTATTATTGAATCATAATTATTAGTTATTATATTCACGGTAAATTTTCATTAATTCAGAATTAATGTCTATTTTATATGGGTTATCAAGTGGTGCTGGGTATGTTGGATAAGTGGGAATTTCAACAGGTTCTTTACCGGGTTCAGATAAAATGATTGGGTCTCCATCTTCTTTATTTTGCTCCTCCTCCTTTTTCGGTAAGTCACGAGTTAATAAATTTGGTTGAGTTGCTGACCTTGTTAATTCAGGGCTAACATTAACTTTAACATTTTGAATAATTCGTGATTTATCATCATTTACGTTATAACCAACCGTAATCTCTGCTTTTGCGTTAGTGTTCTTTTGACTAGTGAAACGTCTTCTCATTTATAATCGAATAAAAAAATATATTTAAACTTTTATTTTGCTGGAAGTTTTGAATCTATTATTCCCTGTATTTGTTCTTGAAGTTGATTTTTAGCTGTTCATTGTAATTAATAGACCTAATATATTCATTAATTGCATTCTTATAATCATCTGATTTCTCAAATTTTCTTTTATCTGATTCCTTAACTAAATCATAAGTTAAACCTCGTTGCTGATATAATGGTTTCTTAATTAAATCTTTGAATGCTTGAGATAAAGCACCTGATGCAATTCTTGCTACTATAATTGGTTGGAACTGCTGTTTAAGTTCATCTTTAACATTTGCGAAAACTGGATCGAATAAAGCAACTTTAAAGAATTTCTTAGCTGAAATTTCAGGTCTAATATTTGCATATTGACCATCAAACTTGTTAGAATATCGTGGTAATTCATCCGGTCCCTCTTCAATAGCATTTAATTCTTCATTGAAATAAGAATATGGATTATAACGGTATGAATTAATTGGACCATCTTCACCTTCTCCAATGTATTGTTTAACAGCTTTTCCATTTTCATCAAATTGCATAGGATAACGTTCATTATATGCTTTACGTTTAGGATAATCAGTTATAGTTAATTTGTAACCATTTATGACTTTAATATTTCCTTGACCATCAGTAACGAAAACTTCATTTATACCATCAGGTTTTCCATTTGGACCTGTAATGTCTGCTTCGTGTGCTTCCCAATTTGGACCTTGACGTTTGGCATATGCTTGAGCTTCTGGTAATGTTAAAACGTTTCTCATTTGTTTAACATCTTTTTGAAGACCAGCAACAATATGAACTAATTCTTTCATTCCATCAGGAACCTCCTGGAGTACTTACCAAAATCAATTTCCATTAAAAATGATGATTATTTATTAACATCAATTTCATTTAATGGTGTTTGGTCCAGAGAAGCGGCAATCATTAAATCAAGTATAAGTGAATTCGCTGAAGATTCTATTTTATGTTTATCAAACTGTTTATATTCTCCGCCGAAGCATTATTCAATAACTAATTATGTTAATAAATTTAATATAAAATTAGTTGAACCATCGAGCCTAAAAGATATTGTCCTTCCTGATGACAGAAAAGATAGTATTATTATCGAACTCATATTAATCGCTTATTAAAATTTAATTATATATAAATGAGTTCAACGACTGAAAGCGCATGGGCTAGTTTTGATGAAGATCCTAAACCGCGGAATTATAATAGAATTGTAATTCCTGTAGGTCTTTTATTAGCTGCTGGTGCTGTAGCGGGACCATATTTATATAGAAATTTATATAGAACACCGATTAATTCAACTGCCGGGGCTGATCTTATTCCAACAGGTCTGAAAAATCTACACCTATTCAAACAAGCCCGACACAGGAAAGGAACCGCGAACCACTCACACGTATTAGGTCTTTTATTAATTATTTAAAGAATAGAAGAAATTAATTTGTAATAAATGACGTCGTTAAATGTAAAAATAATTTGTGATGATATTACTATCATTGATGATGTAAGTGAGTGTGCTAATATAATTGATAGAATTAATGAACTAATAAAGAGGTTCAGTGTGAAAAAGTCAGAGTTTCATTAACGTTTAGCTCCGATGAAAAATTTTATGAGTTAATCATTATGAGAAATGATTTTAATAAGCATTAAATGGTATTTTCAACACTATCAGCTTTGTATGGAGGTTATAAAGCTATTGACGGTTTAACTGGTGGAGCTGTATCAAAAGCTTTAAAAAATAATGCTGGAATGCTTGTGGGAGCTGCTGCCAGAAAATTAAAATCTGAAAAGTTAAAGAAATTAGGTAACTGGGTGCTGACCAGTCGCAAAACCTTTTAGGTGAAGATAATGAAATATCTAAGCAGCTAAAAGATTTTAAAGGTCGGTTGAATGGTGAAGAGTTTAAATTAAATTCACTTAAAGAAAAGGAGAAACAGCCAGAATATCCACCAATCGAGGCACCGCCGATTAATTCAGCACCTGCGCCATCACCAGCACCAGCGCCAGTAACTGCAGTCGCAGCATATGACCCTGGCGGTTATGGAAGACCTTTTGACCCTAAAACAGGAGGTTCTAATTGGTTCCATTACGGTCGAAGATATATTTTAGCTAAAATTGCAAAAGCAAAGAAACTGTTAAAAACTAAAAAGAAACCAAGAGTTTTAAAGTAATTAAATGGTTAAAGATGTTCTCGAATACCCCGCACCACCTGAAACGCCTAACAATAATGATTTATATAATCGATTGAAAGCTTTAGGTAAAGTGTATTTATGGTTTAATTATCCTTATCATATGGCGGCTTATAAACTTTATAAGCACTATAAAGAAAGTAATAGACCTTCAACCGACCTAGTTGATCCACAGGAATTAAGGAAAAGACGACGATAAAAAAATAAAGTTAATTTTAAAAATATTTTTTATTTTTTACTTTTAATAAAATGAGTACTAAAATTACTGAAGCAACAAACAAAAATTTTTAGTTGAATACATTAAATCAGGAACTATTCCAGAAGGTTTTTATGTTCATCAAATGAAAGATGGTAGAGTTCAATTTATAAAAATTAAGCAGCCATTAAATAAAGATGGAATTTTAAGAAAGATTAAATTATATGAAGATAACATAACAGAACTGAAGAAAAATTAGAAGAAGAAAAATCAGATTAGATATAAAATTTTATTTTTATATAAAATGAATTTTACTAATAAATTATTAATTATTGTTTCATTACTTCTCATCTCCCGTGAAGCTCGTTTATGGTATGAATCTATAAAAGAGTTTGAAGACAGCAGCGATGACATTCCTGAATCATGCCAGCATATTTACTGTTGAAAATTCATGAGACCCAAAGGGTCTGAGCCGCTAAGCGGCGAGGTTAGAAATGAGGTTAGATATCGGGTTAGATATACCCTAAAATTAATTTTATCATTTATGAAAAATTTAGTATATACAGAAATTAAAAAATTTTTGAGTTAATTTATTTTTTAAAAATTATTTTTTTTACTCTGGGTGTTAAAATCTATGATAAAAAAAATAAATAAAAAAATTTTAACGTTAATTTTTTAAAGTTTATTTTTAAAAAATTATTTTTTTATTTTGTGAAGTGTCAAAAATTTTAACGTTAATTTTTAAGTTTATTTTTTTAAAAATTATTTTTTTATTTTGTAAAGTGTCAAAAATTTTAACGTTAATTTTTAAGTTTATTTTTTTAAAAATTTTTTTTATTTTTTGTAAATGTCAAATGTGTTTTACGTGTCAAACGGTTTTTGTAAATTTTAGTAATTTGGGGTCCGAGGGGCGTAGACCCGTGGTACCCAATTACTAGATACTAACTACTTTTTAAAGAATCCTGCCGCCATTTCTGATTTAATATTAATTAAAAAAATATAATTCATCACTTATATTCAAATTTTTATTTAATGATAAATGAAACCGATTTTAAAAATAACTGAAACAGAGGAGGAAGAAATAAATGAAAGTGAAGATGTTCAACAAAAAATAAACGTTGTTAAACCCATTACTGAAACAAAAATTTTTTCATCTGTTGAAGAATTTAATGACTATTATGCTAATAATAAAATATACATGGCACGGCGGGCGCAAAAAGTGACAAAATAGAATACCTATGGTGGCAAGACAAAGGAAACATTTTTGTAAGGCAAACATTATATCAAATACCTTTACTTTGTAATAAGAAATATAATTATCACGAAATTACAAATAAATATTGTTTAATATAATTAATAGCAAAATTGTTTTTTATTATTTCCCTTAAGACCTTACTTATTAAGTATACGTATAACAAGCTTGTACTGCATGTATTAGTTAATAGAACAAAAGAAAATGAGCTCAAATGAAAAAAATTTTCATGCTATTTTGGAAATATGCATATTCGAAGTATGAGAGTTGTAAACACTGAGAATTTTAAGCTTTGGGTGATGATAGTCTTTAATTTTTCTTGAAGTAGTAAATTATTTGATATGAAAAGTTAATGGCCAGCATAATCAATCGTGCGTTTCGTTTCTTGATTGAGAAATGATGATTGTGTGCTAATGAATTATTGCGTCTGACAGGTTATGATTATGGATACCTGAAATTAAGCTTTTATGGGAAACATCACCGAGCGCCATTTGGCGCCCCTAATGCTGTTTCTATCGGTATGATTAAGGAGCTTTCTTATGCACTTTCATCACTTGAACTTGAACGCTACAAGATATATGCCCCCCTCCCAATGGGAGGTGGGAGCAAAAATTGAAATGTTTACATTGATTTTTAAATACTTTACAAGCGCCCCTCCCAGTGGGCGCGGGCGCAAGTGATCGGGTCAAAAAAAATCATAAAAATATTCAAAATTGCGATTTTAATAGATGTTTAAGAAGCAAATTTATTAATAACGATATTTCATAGTACAAAATGTGTTCAATCTCTTCGTAAATCATTCAAAAAAATCAAAAGAATTTCCAAAATTCAATTTTTTTAGTAAAATTTATATCTTTTTCTATCGTCTCCTCCCCACCAGTGGGAGCCACCGGAGTCGCGGGCGGCGCCGCTGGCGCCAAAAAAGTAGCGCCCATCGTGCCATGTATAATTTATTACTAATTTATTTAATAATGTCGCGCTTTCTTACGAATTCATGACTTAAAAAACATAAGAAAAAATTTTTATATCATCTATATATAGAAGATGTGAAAATATACCTTCATCTATATAGACGTAACAAAAAAAGTCACTAAACCCTTCAACATATACTACTTAGGGACACAAATTGAGACGCGAAAAATTAATTGAGGGTGGTCCCCCGCTTAAAATAATGTAAACATCTGAATTTTATCCATAAAAATATTTTCGGAAAACATGCCATTTTTTTGAATGAAAAATCGATTACAAAATCGATTTTTATTCAAAAATGTTCACCTTTTCCTAGAATGCTGATTTTACTAAAAAATTACGCATTTGAATTTCATTCAAATGCGTCACTTTTTCCTAAAATCGCAAATTTTTAACACTTTCAATATAGAAAATGGTTTAAACAAAGGATGCCATAAGTAAAGGGAGTATTCAAACATGTTATTTTGGAGCAAGTTCGATAGTCAGTCATGTATTGCTTACAATGATTCTATTTAATGTGTTGAGACCTGTATTTGAATAAAATATATTCGACTGTATGATATATGCTTACTAGTGACCTGCCAATGTAATGATTTATTAAAGTATTTTAACTTAAAAGACTCTCTTTTCTGAATTTTTGTTTAAACTATCATTCGATTCACAATCTGATATAAAATTTTGCATTGTCTTATTAAGGGATATCATAATGCATAAAATAAACGAAAGTGATTGCATTTTTTACATTTTATGTAACTTTTTGTAATCTAACGATATGTGTTATTTGGCCAAGATCGAAATATTCAAAATTAAGTCATAAAAAATATAAACATAAGATGCCAATTGTAAATAAGATTCTTCTTTCATGAACGTTAAAAGTTCTGAAATTCAAAATGGTTCAATTAGATTTCCTTATTTTAATGATAGTTAGCTCAAAGTTCTTAAATTCAACATCAAGGCATAACTTCAAATAAATTTCAAACTCGTCTAAGATCACATTGTTACAACAAAATCCATTCCTTTCATTTTCTGCAATTCAAATCTTACAATTCATCCAAGAGGCTACAAATCACAATACTATATAATCAATAATTGCTATTACAAATTCCTTTGTTTTGTTTTTTTTTAAAGAATATAACTAATTCACAAGCACGTTTTTTCTAATTTCCTGCATTGACTATATTTATTAATGATATATAATTTTAAAAAATAAAGATATACACATTCGAGTTCGTATTTAAGAATTTATAAAAAAGATAATCTTCACTAGCTTTGTTTTGTTTTCTACTTTCAGAAAGTTCTGCTACTAGTGTTTTTCAATATAAAGATGCAAGTAATGAAACTATTATTGGTTGTGAAGGGTCATCTGATGACATTGTTATCCCTAAATATGTCAAAGAAATATCTTCTGAATACCCCGAAACCTCAGCATTTGGTGGCTGTATATGGGACATTCTATCAATTAGTTTCGAAGAAGATAGTCAAATCATGAGTATTTATAACGGTAGCTTTAGTATGTCAGTGTCAATCAGATCAGCAGATCTCAGTAATTGCAATAAACTGACATTTCTCAATGGATCGTTATTTAGTGATTGCAGTTTGGAAACAGTTTTACTTCCTAAAAACATTATTGGAATAGGGAATGGATGCTTTTATCAATGCCCTCTAAAAACTATAAATTTCCCAAAAAGTTTGACAGTTATTGAATCTGGTGCATTTTATAAATGTCAACTAACAAACATCACTCTACCAGAAAATTTAACTTATATAGGACACGTTTCATTTTCTAAATGTCCTCTAACAAACATCATTTTTCCAGAAAATTTAACTTATATAGGAGATAATTCATTTGTTGATTGCTCACTTAGTAATATCATAATTCCAAAAAAAGTTAAATATCTTGGGTATTATGCATTTGCAGGATGTCCACTTACGAATTGCACAATCTTAGCAAATATAACATCTATTGGAAATGGTACATTTGCATGGTGTTCATTCATAAATCTCACAATTCCATCTATGATAACTAAAATCGGAAATAATGCATTTAAAGGATGCTCATTGTTAACAAGTATCACAATTCTAGGAAGCGAGGCATATATTGGAAATAGTGCATTTGAAGGATGCACATCATTAACAAGTATCACAATTCTAGGAAATTTAGTATCCCTTGGAGATCATGCATTTTATTTATGCACAAACTTAACAAATATTCCAATCACTGGTAGTTTAACATATATTGGAATAGAAGCAATTCCATATTTGAGAACAATCAAAGATATAACATTTCGAGTGAGTTCTGCAACTATTGTAGATGAAGTATTTCGCGACTACACAAACTTAACAAGTGTCACATTGCTAGGAGATGTAAAATCTATTGGCAATAGAGCATTTTATAATTGCACATCATTAATAAATTTCACAATAACAGGAATTGTGAAATCAATTGGCTATTGGTCATTTTCTTATTGCACATCACTCACAAATTTATCATTCACATCGAATTATGCACCTATTGGATACGCTGCATTTTATAATTGTACTTCATTAAAATATATTTCACCAATATGGAGTGCAACATCTATTGGAGGATATGCATTTGCATATTGCAGAAACATAACAAATCTCACATTCACTGGATGTTTAACATACATTGGAGAACGTGCATTTGATTCTTGTCGATTGTTATCATGTATTACATTCCTAAACAATATCAATACAATTACAGTTGGAGACATAATATTTTTTGATGAACGTGGCGATGTTGCTTATATGGATCCGAAAAATATTTCCATTCCTGGAAAGTTTTTAATTAATTGTAGTTATCAATACAATTATCAATTTAAATACGGAAGTCACCTATTTGTAACACGCCGAACAATTTTAACAGATGATATAAAAAAACTTTTTCGTAGGAAATCAACTTATGTTCATTATGATAACAGAACAGGTCTTTCGGATCAAAAAACGATTGAAATTCTTCAATACATCTCTATTGAAGACATCACAATTCCATATGTTCCTAATACAATCAATAACAATGTATATTATAAATCTAATTATATCCGTCTCTCTCTTACTATTACTCTTAACCCACGTCCTGTTAATTGAATAAAACATATTTTTTTTATCCATATTTCTATTTCTCACACATTAAACTCTTAGATCAATGACAAATATTTCAAAGATTATTTCATATCTTGTGTTATTCATATCATGATTATATATTTTAAGATATTTATCTTAAGATATTTATTGGTTATTCAAATTAATCTATCGATATCTATTGTCACTGTATGGTATGTTCTAACTCATATGAGGAAACATTAAGTTTCAAATATCATTATTTTATCAAAATTTCCTGTTTATTTGCTTTAATGATACAATTACACCAAAATTTGAAAATAAATGGAATTGAAAGTACATCCTTTTATTATAAAAAAAGTTGTGAAATTTATAGAGATTATATAATAAGAAAAACACATAAATAAAAGTTTTATTATAAAAAAATATTAAGGTCTATTGATTTCTGTTGACCATTTAAGAGGATTTCCGACAAAAGGAACTCCAATGTCCATGATTGCTGGGTTTGCACACAATGCACATTCTTTACGCTGAACTGAACACTCTTTATGGTATTTGTGACCGCAAGGAAAGACTAAGAATGGCTTTCCGATAAGAGTCTGCTTGCAGAATGGACATGTTTCGTCTCGGGATATTTCAACACTGAATTTAGGTGCTTTGTTCAGAACATGAGCACGTGAGATTTTATCTTGTGTAATTTTAGATTCCTTAGTGATGTATTGTTGATCAGAACACATCTTTGCTATGTATGATTGCATTGATGTTGTTAAATCACTAACTTTAGCATCGTTTGGGAGGTATTCCAACGCAATGGACTGATCAATGCAGTTTTTCGACAAAAGTATGCGGCAGATCTGCTGTGCGACATCTCTTTGAACTGTGCTAAAGACTGCTTTAGTAACATTGCGCCTCAAATGAGCTCGCTCTGGAATCCTGACAATAGAATTGACACAATCTTCAATAGAAGAGTCAAGTGCAGCCAAAACACTATCAGTGTATTGTTTTGCAAAGAATAAACCATCTGAAAACTCTTTGTAGCGCTTCTGTGCGGAAAGAGATCTAATTACAGCCATTTTAGTAGGTAATGGGATGGCACTGTGCTTAAGGAACTCGAGATTACCTCTTTTGGCGCAGTATTCTGCATATAAATGCTTCAGAGCGTCTGTTGTAATTTTTGTAATCGGCGCTTCAGCGACAATGTCCTCGAATTCTGGGGCAGAGAGGATATGATTGAGTTTGTAGTTATCCCATGAAGGTAGTTTCCTGATAATCTCTTTTGTTTTATCAATATCGAAATGTAATAATCGAATTACGTAATCAACAATCAAATCTACGTCTGGGAGGAGCAATAGCTTGTCAAGAACAGCAGAATAATTACCACGATCATATAGTAAATCTAGTTTTTCTTTAATATCCATAAATTCTAACGCAAAATCAACTTCTCCGTACTGAATACAGAGCTCCTTGACATTCTTAACCGAAATAAGATTGACGCTTAGCAGGTTTTTGATGATAGGAGACGATTCCGAGTAATTTGATTCGGCATGAGCACGAATACAGAGTTCTAAGCATCGATACGCGAGGTTTGCCTGTAACTTGATGGTGGATCTTCCATTTCCGGCCGCATTTCGGAGATCCTTCAAGAGATATCTCAAAATTTTGATTCTATCTGTCGTATTGTAATGATTTAAGTGCTGTTGTAGTGATTTTCCTGAGTGTGTGAACAAGTGTAATGATAGTTTGAGGTTGTGGAGATTGAAAGATTGCGAGTAAAGCATATTGAAAAAGGATTCCGATGTATGGTTCGATCCTGGGAATGAATACCTTGTGAAACCGGTTTCTCTTAACAGATAAACGTCTTTCGTCACTGGATCTATATCGGCAAGCGTTGAAGGATCAACAGGAATACTCAAAAGTTCGTAAAGGTTGCTATCGTAGAGATAATTGATATGTACATTCATATCCATGGTAAAAACAAGTCCGTCGTTGATGGTATACCAGATCGTATTGCCTGGAATTGTAAAGAAAAATTGATTCGAAATAATATCATCGGGTTTTAGAGCTTTGTCATTGAGTTCGAAGCCAAAAATTCGCTCATTGGATACCCAAACGCCAATCATGTTTCCTTCAGTAACTAAAGGAGAATTGGCATTTCTAAGGCTTGGGAAGTGAGCGGCCTTTTGGTTCTGTATATGTTCGCATATGTAATTCAAATTCAAAATAAATGGCACGATTTGTGTTTTTGTAATGATAATCATTCCGATTTTTTGTAATTTGTCGAGATCTAGAATTAAAAGACCGACGGGTTTCTCTTGTATTTTCTTATGAACTTGTGGCATTGGGATAATTTGTGTTTGAGGATTCTTACTCGAGACGCTAACGACATATAAACTATCCGCGTTTGTTATCATGAAAAGAGTTGTCGTTGATTCTTTTTTAAGCCAAGAAACTGCTGTAATTGGATATTGAGCATCCATATGAATTGAATGTGGAATTAAATCAATATCAGAAACAAAATAAGTGCAATTTTGTGTTCTGTACATGCAATATTTGCCATCAGGAGAAACAAAAAGGAAAAGGATATTCTCTGCACCTTGTACTAGTCTGTATTTTGGTAAATCGTAAGTTAACATTCGGCAGAAAAAGAGTTTTCTGGTTTTTGTAAGAGCCCAAAGATTTCCATCCCTGATTTTAAATGAACCGTTCACTGGAGAAAACTCAGCAACATCGGAAAAATCAAAATCTTGTTGTGGAATGGAAGTCATAATAAAATTCTCTACTTTTACGATTATTATTCATTCAAATGGTTTGTTTAGTTTTCCATTCTCATAATCTATTATTTATTGATCCAGAAAATCAATAATTTGTTGTCACTTTTTCGGAATTAAAAAAATCACATTTATAGTTTTCAGTTTATTATCAACAAATGAATCATAAACTCGCTTGACAAAAGGTAGCATGGCTTGTTTCATATTGTCTGGATTCTACATATTCATTTGTAAACTTATTGCTCCACATTTTGTCTTGTTTCCTTGGATTTCTTATTTTTCTGAAAATCAACCATATTTTTTTAGAAGATTTTTTGACATTTTTTGTTTTGGATTCTAATTAAAAGATAGCTATTCTTCGCAACTTATAGCTGCAATTGATACTTTTCGGAGTGATATCATTGCATTTGGATTAAAAAATGAAATCAAAATCGATAAATCCATATTAGAGAAAAAGTTATTTTGTCTTCAAACTACAAAGGATTAGTATGATATGAATAGAACGAAAATTTCAATTAATGAAAACAATTTCATAAAATGTATTTACTTTTATCAATAAAAAATATATAAACTCTATTGGAGGTCAGAAATTGACAAATCAAGTGTATCAACGACTCGTTTGGCCTTCTTTGTCGTTGATTCGAGTGCTTCTATTGCATCTTGGTTATTCTTGAGCGCTTCAGCCAAGGACTTCAATGTTTCGCGATCGACAGACATTTGGGAGCGCTGTTTCTGGCGATCTTTCATCATTTGACTTTTAATTCTGATATTCGAAATTGCGCTGTTAAACATACCAGGGCGGTTCAAATCCAGGCTCTGTTGCTCAAGCTTATTCAACATTCGCCTTTCGTCGTCGTTTAAATTGTTTCCTTGATTACGTTTAACTTCTTCTTTTTCTACAACTTCCATCATGAGCTGGGAGATGATTGTAGTATTTTGCTTAATTCTCTCAAGGGAACCGCATAATTCTGTTGCATAAAATGAAGTCATTTCGCGTAATTTCGATTGGATAAGAGTCATTCGCTGAGACAATTCTTTTTCGATTGCTTTTTGAGCTTCAACTCTCTTGTGGAGGGCTTCGAAGCCATAAATTGCTGTAGGTACTAAATGCTCAGGATCTGGACAATCTTCCATGATCTTAACCCAATCTTTTATCTCCATGTTTGCAGGGCATTTTGGTTGTTGATCTGAAGTTCTCTTGTTGTAGAAAACATAGCAAAATTTATATCCTGGAGAAGATGGATCATAAGCTGATCTAACATTCCAAAGTCTATCGAAAAGAGGATCTTTGGCAAGCTGTGCTTGGTATGTTGGCTGTTTAGCTTGTGTTCCAAAACCGGTTGTTCCTGTTTTTCCAAACGTACTTGTGCTTGATGTACCTAATCCAGTTCCTGTGGCTGAAGTACCATAGCCTGTTGTAGTAGTTTTGTTTAAGCCGAAAGACATTTAAATCCAGAATATATATTTTAGTCGTCACTTTTTCAAAAAAAATTCGGGTATTTAGATATGTTAAAAAAAATTAAGAACTAAGTATGCTGTAACTGTCTGATTTGAAAAATTGAGTTAATGTCTATTATTGACCTCAGTAAAGAATCTTTTTTTGATATGAAATTTAGAATCCTGAGACTATCTTTAGCTCATTGATAAAGATGTGTGATCAATAAGATTAGAAATTTTATCTCATTGGTTAATTTAAATATATTCTTGAAAAATATTCAGATAATAATGGGTATTTTGGTGAAATTTATATATTTCTTATATGTGTGATAAATTTTGGAATCCCATAGCTTTAATATTTCTATAAATTTAAGATTAATGTTCAAAATTCACAGTTTGTGCCGACTGGTACGTTTCCGCATTGATAGCTGAACAATGATTGGTCAAAAGTAGAAGTCATAAATATCCAAGCATCCAACAACTTAAAGATGTATTCGAATTTTTGATGTGGAATCGCATATCTTTTATGGAGATTATTTCAACATACATATCACTGTTAATGAATTGGAAAATTACTTCTGTCAATTCGGCGAAGTTGAGATGAGTCTCACTATTAAAGGCAAAGGCTTTGAAGATTGAGTCAATTTGCATCAGACTGTTGAGTTTATGGATATTATACTAATGTTCAACCTATAAAATAATGTTGAAGCTAACTTGTGATCCAATACTATTCATAAAAAAAAAATCAAGAAATAATCTTTTGCTATTAGTAAATTTTAATGCATAAAATGAAACAAGAGATATTAGTTTTAACTAAGTTCCAGTCCAGAATGCTGTTCTATAACTCATTTTCCATAAAAAATATTGTCATAAAGATGAAAATAAAAAATAATTGATTTATGTCTTGAAAAACTAGATGTCCATGCCATATGTATATCCTTAATAACTCTTAAATTTGGTCTTGCAAAATTCTTTGAAAAATCACCCATTGAATGTCATTGAAAAAATTGAGATTTAATCGTTGGTTTCTATTCAAACTGTGAAAAATTAAGAATAAACATTTTCCTTTTGCTTTCCTCAGAGGATATCGTAGCTCAGGCTGATGACGTTGTCATTAGCCTCGATGAACTCGAAGGTCTTAAGTTCGGAGATAGAGTTGATGATTCGATCATTCATTTCTTGTGTAATTCTGAAGATCACAGATTTCAACAAGAAATGATGAATTATAAGTTTGTTTCTCCATATGTTACACAACTGTTTCAGAGAACACCAGAAGAAAATGCAATATATCTCTTTGAAGACTTCTCATTTACAAAATATGATTTAATTTTCTTTCCGATTTCCAACCTTAGAACGGATCACTTATGTCATTGGTCGTTGGTCGTTTGGTGCTCTGGAAAGAAGAATCGTTTCCTCCATTTTGATTCTTTAAAAAATAGAAACATTATACCTGCCAAAAACTTTGTACAAAAGATTATACATTGCTTAAAGATCAAGTCTTACTCGTTCAAAAATATGAAGGGACCAATTCAAGATAATACAACAGATTGTGGTATGTATTTGATGGCAATTATGGATGAAATAGCAACCACAAGAAAGGTCTCTGAAGAAATGAAGACGAAAATTACACCAGATTACATCAAAAATTTCAGAACTTTACTATCTCAATGCATTGCTAACTATAACACAACATTGAAAGGATGGGAATGCTATAGAGAAATGTTGACGAACTGATTTATCAAAGTTCTTTACTTTATATTATTATTTTTATTTATTTATTTATTTATTGTTATATACTATATTAAACTATCCATGATATTATATAAATATTTTAACCGATCCCATGAAACAAATTATCTCCATAATTTGTTTCATTAAATCTCTTTCACTGAATTCGCATACTCTCAAGAAACATACTTTCCATTATATCATTATTTTTATTCAAAAGATATTTATGGAAAGATTCCACTAAGTTATGGGAATCATACTCTGAAACGAGAGGAGAGGAGAGCGGTACATCTCACAAAAATTGACATTGTAAAGTTAAACAGTTTACAATTGTAAAATGACAAATTTGCCACTTATTTGCCAACTCCAAAAAAAAGTTTGGCGCCAAATCGCAAAAGTGTCATAATCACATGGTGGACCACAGCTTGAGTCGCCGCCGACTATTCACTTGCTGGGATGCTACGCAGCCTTTGATCTGGCCAATCATAGTGCTGCTCCATCCACATCAGCAAGTGATTTCGGCTGGAGATCTCCAATGGGTCTTCCATGAGGTTTCTGCAAGCCAGAAGCACAATATCTATGCAGCCTAGCTGCTAAGATAGCGTAGCTAGGCTGCATAATTATTGTGCTTCTGGCGATATTAGTTATTCGTTATTGCCTTCATGCATTTACACTACCGTCCCCTGGTCCCCAAAGGGCCAAGGATTCTGTAATTACTCGAGCAGAGCAAGGTTCTTCCGAGATCTCTCATTCCATCGAAAGATCTCGGAAGAACTTTGCCTTAAACTACTCAATTACTGTTCACTGGTTTTCAAAGAGCCAGGGATTCTGTAGTTGATCTAATAAGGCAGAGTTTTTTCCGAAGTCTCTCATTTGATGAGAGGCCTCGGAAAAAACTCTGTCTTAAGATAGCGTACTTGTGATCTCTAGCAATTTGTGTGTCAGAGAATGTAAATTTATTCGACTAGGACAGAGTTTTTCCGAAGTCTCTCATTTGATGAGAGGCCTCGGAAGAACTCTGCCCTAGTGTAATGTAGTTGTGGTGCTTGGCCCACAAAGAGCGAGAGAACATGTCTGTAATTCGTTTATGCTGAAGTTATCTGGATGTCTCTCAAATGAGAGAGGAAATCCAGATAACTTCAGCATAAGTTAATGCAGATGTAATTCTCTGGCTCTTTGTCGGCATTAAACTTTTTATTTGTCTCTGGCCACTCTGAAAATTATGTAAACTTCCCAAATTTGTCAAAAAAAAATTCAAATTTGAGATAAACTTTTCCCTAATATTTCATTTCTCCTTTGAATTCTTACATTTAACTCTATTATCTTGTTCATATTCATTTCTCTAAAGTTTTTCTCAAAACAATACCGCCTTTTCATATTCAATACTATTGTCCACCTTTCGTCCAACTTAAATAATTGATTTAGAAACAACAAAACAAAATAGATAAAAATAAATAATGCAGCAAGGTCCAGAAAGACCTAAAAAATCGAAATGACGGAGTGGATTTTTGATATAACTCACTAAATGGAAATTATGAGATATTATAATTAAATTTTTCACATTATCCGAGATATAAGAAAACTAGCATCCAGGTAGCTCGGATATATAGGTAGTATCTATTTTTGGAGAAAACTCCAAAAGTTAAAGTTATGATTTACTAATGAAAACAATTATAAGAGAAACAAGTAGCTGAAAAGGAGCATCATTTGATGTGACAAACAATTACTTATTCGTAAGTTTCTGCAATGTCTGTTCGAGGAGAAATGCTGCTTGATTTGGATGAACGTTTATGAGTTTTTAGAGTAAATAGTTGAAGAATTTGGAGTTCCGAGCATGAGTATGTTAAGTGGACAGTAGAGAAATTTGGTAGCAATGCATAACGGTTGCAATATTTTCGGTAGTTCAGAATAGAATCTGTTTGAGCATAAACATCAGATTGTTAGATATCCTTCAAGAGTAATTTTCGGAGCTAAAAGTTTGATTGGTCATAAATATCAAGATCATTCAGTTCGGGAACTTTTGGAGAATGTTGGTTTCGAAATTCAACCTGACGAAGATGATAATCCATTAATCGTAGTTGACGGCAAGAAATACATGCCAGAAGAAATTCTTAGTTTCTTGTTAGAACATGTAAAGGAAACATACAAGTGCGCTACAGGCCGAGAAGCTACAGACTGCGTCATTACAGTTCCAGCTAACTTCAACGACGCCCAAAGAAACGCTACCAAAACAGCTGCAAGAATCGCCAACTTAAATGTCCGCAAGTTCCTCAGCGAACCAACAGCTGCCGCCATCGCCTACTACAACATCGAACCAAAGGATAAAATCCATTTGTTAGTTTTCGACTTTGGTGTTCGTACACTCGATGTTTCCATCGTTTACATTGATGGCCAGGTATTCAATGTCAAGGCTGTCGCTGGTAACTCAAACTTAGGTGGCGCAGATATAGATAAAATCATCGCTGACTATTGCATTGAACAATTCAAGAAGAAGCAGTCTGACTTTAATCCAAAGGATCCAAACAACAAGAAAAACATGGCACTTCTTCTTAGATCAGCAGAAGAAACAAAGATAGCACTTAGCTCAATGGATAACTCACAGATTACCGTTCCAAACTTTTACAATGGCCAAGATCTTAATGTCAGGCTTAGAGTTAATAAGCTCAGCGACTTGATTGAGCTAATTCTTGACCAAATTTCAACTCCAATTCATTCTGCCCTCAAAGCAGCTGGTCTCAAACCAGCCAACATCGATGGTGTCTTGCTTGTCGGTGGTTCCAGCATGATCCCAGCTGTTAAGGATAAACTTGAAGAAATCTTCCCAGAAAAGATCAAGTACGCCTTAAATCCATTGAAGGCTGTATCTGCTGGTGCAGCCACAATTTGCCAGAAGTTCATGAATGATCAAATCAAAGACTTCGAAGATGTCAAGGATTATGTCCGTCAAAGAACTGTTTCACCACCAATGTTCGCTTCAGGAACAATAGTTGTCGTTGATGTCCAGCCAATTAGCATTGGTATCAAGACAGCAAACGACGGATTCCAGAAGTTCATACTCTCCAACAAGCCAATCCCACAGAAAGCACAAATTGCCTACAAGGTCAAAGATAATAATACTTTCACCATTGAAATCTACCAAGGCGAAAGCAACAAATGCTCAGAAAACATATTCCTCAGAGAAGTCACTTTCAAGAACATTCCAAAGCAATCTATACAAATTCTTCTTTCTATCGCTATTAACAATGAAGGTATCATCACTGTCGAAGCTTTTGATCCTGAAACAAAATATGACAAGACAATCGACTTCCACTACGATCCCATGCTTTATGATGAAAGGGTTCAGGAGATTATCAGAAAGCATAAGGCTGCAAATGAATCTGAAAGGAAGAAGGCTGAAGAAAAATTAACTCAATTATACGATGAAAGCAGGAAGTTGAAGAGCACCAATAGAGATTTATATATGCAAATTCAGCATCAAATCGATGAAGCACTTGATGAAATCGATGAAATGGAAGATTCAGGAGACTTCAAGAAATTCTTTGAACTTGCTGATCAAATCAGTAAGAAGATTCAGAGCAATATTTAGATATAACATTTTAAGTTAAAAGGTTTTTATATAAATTTTATTTAGATTTTATCTAATTACACAATCTAAATAGAGAGAAATTAATTCTTTTTATCCATTTCTTGGTACTTAAACAAAATGTTACTTATTTCTATCGCATATGGAGTATATATATATATATATTTTTTTTTTTGAAGGTAAGTGAGACGAATTCCTGAATTTATAAATAACAGGAATTAGATTTAATATGTATAGTTGCGTCGTTTCCAGTGGAAACGTAAAATCGGGAGTCGCCAAAAGAGAGGTTCATTTAGATCGCTCGTTGATATAAATGCATATAAAAAGACCCTTATTAATAAAGCATTTTAGATATTAAGTGCGGGCATATTTTTTACAGACATTTAAATTTCGAAATATATCTTATTGTCTTTGTTTTTTAATTTTTTGATTGATTTAGACATACAATCAGATTGTGCTTTTAATTTTAATAGCGATTGCAGTGGTTTCGCAGTTATTTTCTTATTGTAGCTTGCTCCAAAAAGCAAAACTTTCATCAAATTTTAAAATTTTTAGTGTCAGATTTTCCTCCCGATTTTACGTTTCCACTGGAAACGACGCAACTATATGAGGCAGATGATAGTAAGAATCACATTTCGTATGTTGCTGGTATAAGTGCTGCAGGTCAACGATTACAACCAATGCTTTTAAGCAACAGAATCCACACAGATCCTGATCTGGAGAGCACTTTTGCATTCAATTATTTTAAATTTGTCAAAACTCCAAAAGGTTATCAAACTCAAGCAAGCATGATAGAATGGATCAAACAGGTGTTGATTCCATATGTTAATATTGTTAGAACTGACAGTCAAATCGAACAAAGTCCTTTAGTACTTGTAATGGATGGTCTCTCCACACATTTCAATGATATTGTCAGAAATGCGCTTCAACCAATTGAACCTTTCATTTTGGTAGCATTGCCTCCACATTCGTCGCACAGATCCCAACCATTAGATAATGTATGCTTTGCTACAATGAAAAATGCTTTCAAAAATATCAAACCACGCAAAGACTTAACAGACTTTTCGGCAAAAATTGTCAGGATAAAAGAAGCAATTGACAGGTCATTTACCAACGAAAACATAATCAAATCTTGGGAAAATTGTGGATTCAACATAACATACTTTAAAGGTTTTATTGTCAAAGTTTCGTGGGATGAATCATTTGGCATGACATTATTGAACTATGCAAATCATACTCATGAAAATAATGAAGCAGTTTAATGACATATCAAAGAGCTTACCTATACTTTTCTATGTTCTAAACATCTTGTTTCTTTATATATCACATTATATTACTACTCATTTGGTTCAATACCAAAATATTTTTTTCAAATTATATTATGCAATCTTTTTAATCTTTGTGATTAACAATGAAATTCATTCAGATATATATCGACAACAACAAGTTAATACATTTATCATATGGTTGCAAATCAAAACAACGCATTTTTATTGCTGTAGGAGAAGAAATAAAATAAGGTTTCCGAAAATTTTTAGTGTCAGATTTTCCTCCCGATTTTACGTTTCCACTGGAAACGACGCAACTATAATGTATAATTCAATCCGATTCATTATGCATATATGGCATGTATATATCATGTTTCTTTTTGTCCGAAAAAGTTAAATAAAGTTTTATGTTGTATAGTATGAAGATATAAACGAGAAAGTACAAGAATTTCTTGTGTATGAACTGATATTGCGTTGTTCCTTTCCTTTTGAATTTGATTAAATGTTCATTAATCATTTCTTATTGGATATCAAATGCATAGTTACATTGTGATTTATGAGTTGAATAACACTGTTCGACTTAAAATAAAACCATATATTAGCCACAACGAACACAGTTCAAGATGAATTCGTTGGAAAAAAACATAAATGAAAGGATTTTTGGTCATTAAAATGTTATGCATAAGATGCAATGATCAATAAAGATAGAATTATTTGAAAATGCAGAGATTTTTGTGAAAATTTAGTAAATTTTATTGAGTTTTATGTTTTTTATTTTTCATATAATTTCAAACTTGAATTGTATGATCAAATATATGCATATTTTGATCCGAAAATTTATGGCATCAAAATTTCAATTGAATTTAAGGGTGGCTTCCGACCAAATTGTCACTTTTTACCCCAAGTGAGAAAATTTCGTAATTTATAACCAAGTTTTTTAAAATCTATATTTAATAAAGATTCTATTTTTCTTATTAAATTTCAAAAATGAGGGGGTTCGGAATCGTCCACAAATTGCCGAAAGGGTTTTTGCCAGTTTTGAATCCGCTTATTTTTATCGACCAAAATTATAATAAATATAATTTTCGATAAGTATTCTACCCAAATGATTCTTCAAAAAATTATTTTTCGGATTTTATTCCGTAAAAAAACGTTACAGAAAACGCCTAGAAAATTTCGAATTTTCCCTAAAAAATTCAGTGCAGGTCGATTTAAGAGATTTTTCAAAAATAATCATATCAGTAGATAGGGTATAATATAGAGGAGCTTTATGAATAACTCAAAATCCGGGAAACTCAATATTCAACGAGAAAAACGCTTAACGAATCTCACTTTTGGTGTAAACATCACAAAAAATTGAGAGAGCTTAAATTTTATTGTAAAGTGACAAAAATTTTAAATGCATTCAAGATATTCAACTAGAACAGCGCCCCATCGTATTTTTATTCAAGCATTGAACGAAAATGGATCAAGTAAAGACTGGAAGAAGTCGTTTCTTGAAGATCCAAACAATAAATGGCTTTGTGATATTCCAGATGATTACATTAATGAAATTAACAATGTTTACGGACTTTCAGATGAAATAGACAACTTCAACGAATGCAAAGATATCATTACGCATAAAATAAAAAGTGAAAATATTGATCCAGGAAAATATATCGAAGTTGAGAGGAATTTACCGATTGCATATGGAATGATTCATGCAAGATACATCATGTCGCCAGATGGAATGAACAATATGACAGAAAAATACAAAAGAAAAATATTCGGAACTTGCCCTAGATACTCTTGCAATAACGAACCATTATTACCTATAGGTATAAGTAGTCAAACTAAGGTTTCTACGGTTAAAGTTTTTTGTCCTTGCTGCAGAAGGATTTACGAGCCTCGCCCGCCTGTAAGCTTAGATGGAGCATTCTTTGGTCCAAATGTTGCTCATATGCTGATTGATCATTTAGATATTTTCGATCATAATTTATTATATAAACCATACATTAGAAAAGCCTGTGGTTTCAAGGTTTATGATCCTAGATTTGACGCAAAGCAACGTTTTCCATGAGATATTTTTGTAAATTTACAATTTCAACATTATTCGCGAAAAACTTCTTGAAAAAAAGAGGAACAGAATAGCATCTAACATCTCATTACAATTTAATCTTTAATTTATTGATTTTTTGATATTATTTTCTTTTATTTTTTTGTTTTTTATTTTTGTTTGTTGTTTGAATAAAAATATGTTTGAATCTATATATATAATGCATGAACATAAGTTTACGATGACAAATAAACAAATATAAAAAATTACATAATATTAGGGTTGTAAATTCCATAAGTTTCACAGAATTTTGCAGTCTGTACCTTATAGTCATTATTATATTCCATCACTGGTACTTTAATTGGTAAATCAGCAGAAGGTAAGGAATTGATTTTTGTCCATTCTTCATCCCAATCGATGTCTTTAAGAACACTTGGGTCCTTCATATATTCTTCTGTTTTCTTGAGAATATTAATCCACTCTCCTGAAATCATGAAATCACCCGGTTTCTCATCAAAAGTTTGTAATGAATACCAATTATCTTGAATCACTCTAGGAACAGCAATGAATTTGGTGCCTGGATTTGGTTCGCATTCAAATTTTATGTGATGATGTGCTGCAAACCAATATTTAGGTTGCTTTTTTTCTAGGATTTTTCGATAGTCTTGCATTCCAAAGTCATTAGAGTCATCTGAGTCAACAAGAGATTTTTTTGGGATTATATCTCTAAACATTTTAGGAATTCCTGATGGCCAATCATGCGTAACGAATATGTTCAACTGCGTAAGCCCATAAACTTGAAAGTTTGAAAAAGCTCGTGTATGATTCACAGAATAGCATTCCTTTTTTCTTACAGGGAAATGTTCATAGACTTTTTTCCAATAGTTTTTCACGTTATATACTCCACTAGTGCATGTGATCAAAAGGTCACCAAAATAAATTTGAGAAGCTCTGCCAGCAAAGTAGACATCTGGTGTAATCCACCCTCCGAATGGAAGCTGAAAAATAATATCGGTGGATTCGTTATTTCCGCCAATTACAAGCATTTTGCAGGGAAGATGTTTCTCTCCATTAGCTATTTTATGAAATGAGCCGAAACCTTGCGTTCCATTTGGTCTCTTATAAGACAGCAAATCCGATTCTGTGATAAAAGCCTCTAAATCACCCGCGACAATAATTAAATCAAGTTTGGTGCCATTCTCCACAAGCTTATTCACCTCATCAACAACTATATCCCATGAACCATGAACGCATCCGCAAACAAAAACTCTCATAGAGATTAAAACAATATAGTTAAGTTCCTATGAAAAATTTTTGACATTTTCTCAAAATTTGATCGATATGAATACAAATGCTGGTCGTGGAGTCAAAAATTCTACATTCAACATGATGAGTTCCCATTGCAATCGTGTATTTAATATTCAGACGATATTGCAAAAATTTTGACCCAACAACAGCGTTTGTATTTTTATCAATTATTTTTTCAGGAGAATTCTCTAGACAGAACGTTTTCAATGAATTACAATTGACTAGAGAGTGATTTAATACTCATGTTGGATGAAACAAGAACAAATCAAGCACAGATTTTAATCTTCAAAAAATATTTGAAATTGTTGAGGATGTACAAATTCATGAAGAATGCATCACTATCTATTTGAAAAGAAAGTTCGTGAATGCGTGCATATTAAACGGCAATCAATTTGCAGATTTTAGCTTGAATCGGAATTCTTATCATGTTTGGATGCGCGTATTCTACATCTGTAATATAACAGCCAAATCTGTTAAGTCTCATTTTCCCCTCAAAATTGAACATAAACGTGATCAATTTTTCTTCTCACAAAAAATATAATACAACTGAGATAGACAACATTTCAATAAAATTTTTCTATCAGATAAATTTTAAACGATAAAATCATTTTTTTCAAATGAATCCCAAGTCTTATAATACCCTTGTAACTGAGTACAAAGATTATATAGACACTGTAGACTCATTATACCGTCTTGACACAATAGATGAAAACGAAATTTCAGCATTATATAAACAAATAAAAGCAAATTTGATTGAAACGAAGATACTTACGCCAGAAGGAGTGCGACAAATGATTTCTAGAGCGTGCTTCATTAACAGTAGATCATTAAAAGGATATTTACAATTAGGAATGATTGTTAGAAACGAATATCACACAAAGGATGTAACGCATATACCGAAATTCTTTGATTACTTCACAAATAAAGAATACGGAGTCATTTTTAATGAAAGAAATAAAAGAAATTTGTATAAGTTTCGAGAGAAGGAAATTGTAATGGCAATAATGAACGATGACAAAGATTCTTTGGTCAGGATTACTGGAAATCAAGATTTCAATCCAAATGAAAAACATGATATGATCTTGAATCCAAATATAAAATAACCCTACACATTACTTGAATTATGTTGTCTCTTTGGTGCCTCAGATTGTTTCAAGTTTCTCAGATCGAAATACAAATTAAAAGTCACTCAAAGTTGTCTTAACATTTGTTACTTAAGCGGAAGACCAGAAATCATAAATGAATGTTTGAAACATGGAAAGACAAATCAAAAGTGCATGACACGTGCAATTGCTTCTCATAACATTTATTTTGTTATGAATTTAGCTTGAATGCAGTCAAAACTTTAATCTTCAAGCATTGTTTCTTTATGCAGACAAAGAAGGTTCGAATGTTAATCTCTTTAATTATTTCCTTGCATCAATTTCTTTTAACATTCCAAAGCTTTGCAAATACATTCTTTCCCTTGGAGTTAATCTCGCTTATCAAGGATTAGGATGTTTAGCACTTTATCAAGCATCAATTAATGGTTGTTATAATATTGCTAAGTTACTTATTAAAGAAGGTGTTTCTATTTCAGAAACATTCAAAGTTTATAAAAATATCTTGCATAATACAGTAAAATCAGGAAGCATTAAAACAGTTGAGCTCCTGATTTCTTATGGTATAGATCTCAATAAATCTGATGCTTCACATCAAAAGCCTTTATTTTACGCAATTGTTAATTGTCAACTAGAAATGGTTAAATTACTTGTCTCTCATGGTGCAAAAGTAAATGGCAACTGGTATCGTGAACCTCTTTTGAGTGTAGCCATAAGAGAATCCACAATAGAAATTGTTGATTATCTCATTGCATCAGGAGCAAGAATGAGTAGATTTTGGTTCTTTGGAACAACTCCTTTGGATGCTGCAATAAAGTTTAAGAGAAAAGATATGGAAGATCACTTCAATCCTTCACAACAAGGAAGATTTAGTCTAACTCACAACAGCTCAATAGGTAATTTAATTTTTGAAATTTTCGCGATTATTTTTATCTGTATTTTCTTCTATTATGTTAGAAAGATCTTCTTTATGTAAACAAGTAAAATCTTATTTTCTTTGTAATATCAATACAAAAGATTTTTCCAGAATAATAATTTTCTGTGCACAAACGCCCAAGTGATAGTACCTTCAATTCCGTTGATTAACTGATTACAAATTATGAACAATAATAAGAAAAAAGTATTATTCTATAAACTAATATAGTGATCCCTTAAGATTGATTTAAAGACAGAAAGATTATGATGCAGCCTTATAAGACATCACTTCATTTTGCAGTTTTTAAACACTATCATTCCTTGATCAAAGATTTGATGTCAAAATGTGGATGCTCAAATGAAATCAACTAACTAAGTCTATGAGCGATATCATGAGATCATCTTCAGTTTCAAAGTTTCATAAGATTTATTTAAATGATTGTTTTTTTTTTCGAAAAATAATATAAATTTTACAAAAAAAAATTCTAATTACAAAATGAAATATAATAATATAATATATCGTTACTCATCTAATTTGAAGACAACAATCTTCAATCCTACAGTTTGCACGAAATCAGTAATTTTCTGAATTTTTCCAGAGAAGTTTCCTTTTTCGTCATCGAGATCCTTCTCCAGATCAGCCTTGAAATTCTCAATTACGATCATGAAACTCTGTTTCCTGTCTTCAGGGAGCTGGTTCAAAATGGAATTCAACGCTTCATCAACTAATTCAGGGAACAGAACAAGGAACAGCTTCAGAGGGTCAGCTACGTAAAGTCTCTGGTCCGCTTTGAGTTTTCCTGGCCCGGAGAAGAGCAAATTCCACAAAGCCATTGTAGATCTTTGCGAAATTGTTTTCAAATTATCAGATGGTTCATTTCCGATGTAGAACTCGTCAACGATGTATCTGGCGACTGATTTGAGGATGTCGTAGCACTTATCTCTGTTTTCTGTGGCAACTTCGTCCATTAACATGTTAATCGCGAAATTCACGACAATTACGATCCAATCTGGGCAATCCGCGAGAACAGGCATTTGCTTCTGGCATATTTGGTTAAATAGCTGAGAAATGTCATTAAGATACTTAGTGAAATGAAGGAAATACATCATAAAATCTTCATCACTGAAAATTCCGAAGAAAAGTGACAATGTATCGGTAAAAGTGGTCAGACCGTAAACTTTGAAAGCATCAATGCAGACGTAGCCACCTTCGATCATTCTGTAGAAGACTCGTGCACAGTATGATACGAGTTTGATTGCTGTGTCTGTATCTTTCTTTTCGGTGCTTTCTCGCTCGGAATTCATCAAATCATTCGATAAAATTAGGACTGGGTTGATAATTTCTACGCATTTCTCGAAAAGAATGTTTCCTTTTGGTGAAAATGGTGGGAAACAGATCCTTTTTGTGGATAAATTCGGTTGTTGGACAATTATTGAGAACATCTTAAGAATTTGCATGATAACTGATGGATCATTGATATAACTATTAGCAAGGGCTACAAAAAAGTTCAAAAAGTTATTATAGAACCAATCAAATAAAATATCATAAAATTCTGCTGTTTTTGCTGCATTAAACAAGCCTCTGATATCAATAGCCAATCCTCTAGCTTCTGTGTCTGATATTCGTTGATTTTGAGGAACTCTGCTTAAAATAATATTCAATAACTCCGAAATTCCATCGAATTTCCTTGTTTCTATCAAAATAGCTAATAATTGTTGATAGAATATATACCTCTGGCGTTTCATTCTCTGTTGGAAGATGAAATTATTCTCATTTGCGTTATTTACGAATTTTACAAGCCCTTCGTGGGAATGAGCGAGTATATTCATGGCGAATACCGCGTCATTGATGAGGCTGTCGTGGCTGTCATCGCCACCAAAGCAAGATAATGTACAAAATAATCGTTCGGACAATAAGTCGGCGGCAACATTTTTGGAAGACACAGGAGATTGTAGGTCATTGCAAGCCTGGTAGAACAAAGTGTGGTCGCGGCCTTTATCCGATATGACTATAGTTCCCAGTATTATTGTTATAAAGTTGACAACGCTTTGTTCAAATTCAACAAATCTTTCTCCTTCGTTTAGCCAGTTGATTGAGTCATTAATTAATCGCATTGTATGACTAAATAAGTATACGTGGTAGTTGGCTTCTGAAAGATCATTAGGAACTGGATATTGATTTATCATCGTCCTTGCGACAACAGATATCATAATTCCGAGCTTCTTCTGTGCATTTTCTACAATAGATCTGTCTGTTATTGTACCTCTACTGTTGATAATCTCTTCCAAATGCTGCATAAGGTTTCTAATATGGGAACAAATGCCTGCAGGGTCGCTACGAATCATCATTTGAACTGGCTGTGTGATATTCGCAATTATACTTACAGGATATTGTTGAATCTCCGATGAACAAAGAAATTCAAGATATTGATGACAAATTGGAGCAATTTGAGCGGCAACGTTCTGTTTAAACTCTGCATTTCTGCATGTTGTTGCTATTGTGTTGAAAAGCTTAGCGCAAAACGAAAGACTGCTTTCTATTTTTGGAAATTCGTAATAATTAAATTTAATTGTGGACAACATTGAAACAGTTGCTTCAGAAAACTTTGTTATGAACTCAGCAAAGTTTCCTAGCTCCATTGAGACTTGTGGAGTGAATTTACTCGAAGCAGCAAACAGAATTTTCGAAATACACTCAACTAAGTCGATATTACTACCCCAATCTTCTGTAATATAGACACCAATCATATCTAGTAATGTTCCAACGATAGTTTGTAGTTGTTGTCTGAAATTATTTTCGGCAACTGAGACATAAGCTTCAATTGTTGAGAATGCTGATGCAATCATGTTTGGTTTGGTTCCTTCTGCCAATAAAACATTGCAGATGCTGAATAACTTTGAAAGATTCTCTGGATTTGAAACGATTTCTGACATTATTTGAGGAAGAGCGATTGTTTCGACTTTTACTTGTCTTGCTGATGACACTGTTTTTGTTTGTGGTGTTCTCAACGTATATCTGCATACTTTTATCGCTGCATCGAGTATTAATGCTGCATTTTCAGTATCAATCTCTTTATACGCTTCGTAACGAAGTGATTGTTCTAATGCAATCATAAAGAACTTATTACTGAAGTTAAGAACGAAGTGTGAACGGCAGCGAGGATTATTTAAATCAATTTCGGTATAAATGTTAGAAAAGATCAAAAGAGCTGAATATATTTGAATAGGTGATTGATCTAATAGCGTAGATATCTCTTCAACTATTTGAGAAATCTTATCATTGTAAGAAGCTAAAGCTGTTGTCAAAATTATAGCAACTGCGTGAGAGAATTGTCCTATGATGAAATGTGAAACCGGATATGTCGAGATTTTTGATATCATCCATGAAATTATTCCATGATTTTCATTACTGTTCCATTTCGGACAAATTACTGTTATTATATTCTTTATAGCGAGTGATGCGAACTCGGCGAGTTGAATTTTCTGCTCAGGAAGCTCAAAAAACGACTTAAACGTTTCAAGTCTTTCTGGATCTTGCGAAATTTCCATGAGCTCCTCATCAACTTGCGATGCTTTGAAGTAATCGGCTATTTTACTTTCCAAATATACAAGTTCTTCGGCTGTTGTCATGTTAATTCAAAAGACAAGATCGCTTAAAAAGTGACAAAGAATAAGGATCATATAGAAATATAATTCAGCACGTCCACATTAAGGAAATTTCACTATATATGTGTTATTAAAGAAATATTTTTGAAAAAAGCTCCAAGTGAACAAATCTTTTAGGCTCTAAAATTCCTTTTTATAAGGATACGGCATTGATTTCATTCAATGAAAATATTCTGATTATGTGTGCCAGTCAATACAGGTACATATTCCTATAAATAGTTTCCTCATAAGTTCTTATGAAAGAAAGATAGAGTCACCTCAATTCTCCTAAGTATTAGATACATAAGAAAATGTTATATCTCCACAATACCTTAATAAATTTGGTCCATTCAAAGGTAGCTAAATTTCATTGCAGGTGGCAAGTATATATCCATTAGAAAAATTGAAAACTGAATGAAGGAATTTTATAATCTCGAAGTGAAAAGAAAGTCTTCAAATTGTAATAATTAATGTTGTGTTTTGTTTTGCTTATAATTGGCAAGCACTGTTTGTAAAAATTAATGCCCAAATTTCTTATATAACCAAGATTTTCATTCATAAATTCTTTATTCAGTTGCTTGAATCAAATCACGAGGAAAAACATGGATAAATATTGAAATAAATATTATGGATAATAAAAAGAAAGAGAGAATAAACAAATTATTACATTTTTTTTATGAATAAATAAAAAAATACACTCAATACTTGATCAAGCTATGATGGAAAGTAAAACTAATAATTCTATTTCTTGTATTTGTCACCCAAAAGCTCTTGGAACGCTTCTATGCATAATTGGGCAAAATCGCTTTTGCTTAACTTCATCTCAATGCCGTTGAGAGTAATATCATAGGATGACTTATTAAAAGCTGGAATATCTTTATTGGTATAAAAAGTTTGAAAATTCTCTTTATACTGTATGTAATTTTGAATTTTTGTATCCATATATGGAAAGAATCTGCCTTGGCCGGCATCATAAAGATGATCAATAAGTTGTTCATCGGTTTGTATATTACTTAGTTTATTAATGTATGCTGATACAATATTGATGTAATTGGTTGGTACTTTGCTTTGATTGACTAAATTAATAAAGTTTGATGTGTGTTTATCTGAAAATTCAAAACCTGAAATATTCTTTCTGCTAGCTTCAAATTGAGCTGCTAATGGAGGATTTTTCGTATCCCTTAATCCGTATTGTCTCATATAAAATTTCTCCAAGTCAGTTTTCACGCCAGACATTGTATTGAACTGGAAAAAAAAATAATGTGGAAAATTTAACAAAATTCTCAATTTCATATTTTTCACGTGTAAACATCTCAATGCTCTCAATTTTTGAGAGCCAGACGTGAAGAATTTTAAAAATCATCTAATATTAGTCATAATGTCATGTTATTAGGCGTCTGGTATATTTATCAAAAAGGGAAACTCCTTACTGAAATTCATTACAAACTAATAATTATTCAAGGTATATATAAATTGGAACTAAACAAAAGTCTTATTCAAGATTGATCTTTAGTTTTTGTTAACGAAGATGTTGCAAATTATGGCAATTTTTGATTGCTATTATCAATTGTGCTATGATTAATGGCAATTGAATAACTCTTTTTTTATATACTGTGATGATCAGATAAATATCATAGCATCATAACTTTAAAGAATTAGTTACCATATTGTTAAGAGTTATCCACAATCATTACTAACATTGATATGAAATATGATTTCCATAGAGATATGGAAAACCTAAAGCTGGACGACGAAGTGATTGGCCTGGTTATGCTGTTTTCTATTTGTTATTAATTGTTATCGTAATTTTACAAAAAAAAATCAAAAATCCTAAGTCGATTTTGCAATAAACGAGTGCAAAATTATTTTTTATGACTGATCTGAATATATTTTTATATCAAAGTGATATCCATAGAATGTTAACTGCAGTGTCAAAAATCATTGAATTTGATGAATAAGTCTTTTCCACTTGTATTGGCGTGTTTATCAGGAATACTCACAACAATAGCAGGAATAGGCTTAGGTCTCTATGCTTATCAATGGTGGGATCAAGTAAACATTTTGTTTCCTGCTTGGGGTGGCAAATACGCACTTTTACCAAACCTAACAGAAATAATATGGTGCTCATGTGTTGTTTACCTTCTTCTATTAGCTTTGACATGTATTTCAGCAACATCCCACGTTTGTGGTGATACAATGCCAAAATTTACATTTGCCTTCGTTTTCATTGGCCTAACATTAAGCTTAGCTTCATCAATCACACTTGTTCTCAAAACTACAGAGAGCTCATGCAAAAAAATGAGAGAAACTGAAAAAAAGGCAGTTCCATCTGGAATTTTGACTAAATTTAATAATTGGATTAACGAATTTACTGAAGGATGGTCAGAAACTCAAATCCACGATTACAAAGAAAGCTATGAAAGCTGTGTCTGTGAAAAATACGGAACTAAAATTTGGATATGGATTGGATTTTCAATAGCAGCTCTTATTCTTGGTCTTTCATATGTTGTTGTTAACCAAGTAGAAAAGAAACGAATTCAAGATGTTCTTGAGGGAACTCCACTTTCCCAAGGAAATTACCAGTATCACTAGCTTAACATGCCGTGTTTCATGCAGCTTTATAGATATTCTAGTACTAAACTGTTATTTACATTGACTTTTTACAAAAAATTCTTTTTATATTTTTTTGGAAATTAAAAATTTCATAGCAAATGTTTATAAATCGATTTAGTAGTACATATATGTTTACCTATTTGTATAAAATACATTAGGTCCTATGTTATATTTCCATTTAAAAAGATCAATTCATAATCAAAGCATAATTTAAGATCGAAATGACAAATTTGATGATAGAAGGCTCAAATGTATTATCAATATACTATAAAACTAAGAAATACCTATCATTAAATGAATTTTCAATCCAAATCGTTTCCTTTCTTAATGCCTTTGTTTTTATCTTGAAAATGGATAAAAATTAATGATATATTAGCCCAAAAAAAATTCAAATTTATTAAAATGAATAAGAAAAATATCAAAAATTATCAAATATTAAAAATGAAAAAAATTTGGAAAAATTTCATAATTTTAAAACAATAAAGGTTATTTATTATTGTCTGTAAAATGATTGTTGATGCTAACATTGAACTTTATTCATTTCATGAAATATTAATATTTGTATTTAACTCATTATCAAATAAATTCATATCTGAATTAACATATTCCATATAGACAATCATATGTTTTCGTAGAATTCATATCTCCATGATAAAATTGAAAATAATAAATTTTGAAAAAGAAATCCTTCATACAAATATGATACTCCTTCCTAAAAAGGAAATCAACATAATTTTTTTTGAAAAACAACAAAATAAAGTCATACAAAATTTGATATCAAATTAATAATGATTTGTGAGTAAATATGTATGTATAAAATTTATCAGATAAAAGCAAAAACTTTATCTTTTTACTTGCGCATCTGAACACCTGCTCTCAAAACTTCATCGACAAGGAGGAGCTGAGTTGCGACGAGTGGGGCTGACTGAAGTTGTTGTCTCTTAACTGAGTAGTTATCCCAGATTCCCTTCTCCTTCGGGTCGAGGAGTTCACCTGTTTCGAGATCGATACCCTTAACTTCACCCTTATCAGCGGCAGCCTGGAGAGCTACGAGGCAGTCAACAGCGTCGTGGCCAGCGTTCTGAGCGAGAACACGTGGAATTTCGAGGAGAGCTTCAGCGAATGCCTCGATACCGAGTCTGTTCTTTCCAGAGACTGACTTCTTGTATTCGTGGAGATGAGCGCAGAGGGCAGCTTCGAAAGCACCAGCACCGGCGATGGCGCAGGCATCTTCGATAGCGTTGTTGACGGCACGGAGACCATCACGAACGGCATCCTGCATCTGCTTGAGTGTATGGTTGTTTGGACCGCGCATGAGAATTGTAACAGAACGTGGTGCCTTGACGTCCTCGATGAATGTCCAGTGGTCTTCGCCAACGATTGTTTCGTAGACGTGGCCAGCCCAGCCGAGGCAGTCTGGTTCGAGGTTCTCGACGGAGTTCATCTGGCGACCACCGCATGCAAGTGTAAGACGTTCCATGTTACGTAGCTTGGCACGGCGGACAGCGGAGATGCCAGCGCGCTGGAGCTTCTCGAGGGATGGAAGATCGATACCCTTCATGTTTGCAACTAAGAAATCTTCGCCATTTGTGCAAACCTTGTTCTTGAGGTCAATGATCTTCTGGACCTTGGCATCAACGAACTTGCGCTCGGCTTCGGCCATCTTCTCACGCATGTCAGCAGCGTTGGAAGCGAATTGTGTATTAACTTCGGTATTTTCGAATTCAAGAGAAACGTTGCATGTAAGAATGTAAACGTTGTGCATATCACGCTTCATTGATGGGTGGCGGAAACCGTGGTCGAGAACAAGACCGCGGATAAGAGCTGTATCAGATGCGAGCTTTGACATCATTGTGAGCTGCTCAACCATGAAGAGGTTGACCTTCTCGCCATCGCGCTTGATTGCGAGGACAGCATCTGTAACAATCTCTGTTAACTGATCAATGAGTTCTGGTGGAAGCTTTGTGCAGAGGGATGTGCGAGCAACGTTGAGGAGGAAGTCGCGATCAACCTTTGGTGTTGTCTTGAACTTCTCGATGAAGCGGAGGGCCTCATCACGTGCATCTTCAAGACCTGTTGTAAGAACACGTGGATGGACACCTTCGGCAAGACGGCGTTCGCATTGCTTGAGCATAGCATCGATTAAAATGATTGTTGATGTTGTGCCATCACCTGTATTTTCATCTTGAGCGGCAGCTGCACGAGAAATCATGATAGCTGTTGGATGAATGATTGTAAGGTTCTTGAGAAGAACTGTGCCGTCCTTTGTGAGCTGAACATCACCAGCACCACCGACGAGCATCTTTAATGTGCCGCAGGGGCCGAGATTTGTTTTAAGAATGTCAGCAAGTGAATGTGAGGCATTGAGGTTCATTGAGAGAGCCTGGTTGTGGCGGTAAAGTTCTGCCTGTGAGTTAAGCTGAGAAACAGCGGCCATTAAAAAAAAAGTGATATGTAGCCAGAATAAGCCGTTTACAAATTCGTTTCAAAATTTCATTTTTCTCTGTAACATCATTTTCATCTTCATATGAGATCTCTCTAATATAATTCTAGATAAAATTCACCTGACCACATAAAATGAGATGACAGAAAACATGAGTTTTACTTTCCGTTTTCATAAATTGTACTTTGAAATTATACATACATTCTATTTCTGAGAATATTTTTAGACAAACATTAAATTTTCTGATGGCCACTTCAAAATCCTTTTTCTTTCCAGTTCGCTTATATTGAATTTTCATATACTAGTGCATTTATGATAAATACACTCTGCAAAATTGTTGGTTCTCTTATATCAACCCAATTTTTTTTTCCTTCATTATCATATTTATAACTTACAACACTAAGAATAAATTCACATCTAGATGGGTTGCATATTGCAGGATCCTTTTTCTCGTTATACGTTTTATAGCATCAAAATCAATCTCGATTTCTATCAATTTTTGTAAATTCTGATGAAAAATAGTCATGTAACTGCAAAACTACATCCAAAACACAAATCTTCAATAATTCTTGGTAATTTCGAAAATGACACTTTTTCTTGTAAATTGAAGAAGAATATCGAGAGCTGCAAAATCTTCTTCAATCACATTTATCAAGGAGTACAACCAGTTAAACAGCCAGAACGATTTTGGTCTCTTTCAAAAACAGATTTATTATGTTTTCTAATAATGATAATCCCAACGTTACTGATATGGACAGTTACTTCATATAAAACATCAATAAAAACCATATTAAAATATTGGGATGGACCTAATTACATATATGCTGCAATAACATTATATAGAATTCCAGAAGATTATATATGGAAGAGATATTTCAATTACGATCCATCATATTTTGCATGTCACTTACCAGGATATCCAATGCTTATTAGGATTTGCTCTTTTATTTGTTTTGGAAACTACGTTTATGGAGCTTTTTTGAGTATTTTAGTATCAAACTTCTTATTATCGTATTCTTTTCGAAGGTTACTGATTGTTTTTAGATGTGTTAAAGATCCAACATGGTCAACAATCGTATTATCATTAATTCCTTTCAGACTTGTAATATATCATTCAGTACTAGCAAGCGAACCACTTTTTATTACATTTATTTGCCTTTCTTTTATATTCTACAAATTTGATCGAATATCTACGATGATCTTATTTATTTGGTGTGGATGCTTTACAAGAATCGAAGGTATGGCTGTTGGATTCATAATTGGTGTATGTTATCTCATTAGATTCGATATTTTACGAGCATTACTTATGTTTTCAACTTTTATACCAGATTTATTCCTAGTATGGTTCCACACAATAATGTTTAATGATCCTCTAGCTTATATCCACTTTAATTCCGGAAATCAGCAAATTATGTCATTACATCTGTTTTTTGATATATTTGTTACATCCAGATATGGTTCAGAACTTGTTACATCACATGTATCCACAATTTATCTACTAGGATTGATTGGAGTGTTTTATTTGCTTCCATCTGCTTCTCCTTTAAGTTTCTTTTCAGGATTCTTCTATTTGTACGTATCTCAACTGAGGCATTTAGATACTGGAAGATATTTTATCCCTTGTTCTGTTTTTTCTCTTGTTGCCGGTTTCGATTCAATTTTCGGAAATTATAGAGGTAATTTGATATCTCTTATTGCTTATCCAATATTTCTATCATTCCTAGTATGGTATGCTGTGGCTCAAATACCATCAAATATTTGTACTGATGAATTCTTTGATGAAGTCATTAATTCAAGAGATTTTAACTTGTAACATACACACACTATCTATTATGTTTGTTTGTATATCTATGTAAAAGGTATTTTGCTATGAATTATAAAGATTTTTATGATGAAATTTTTAATTTAATCAATAAAATTATTAAAATTTTGATAAAAATCAAAATAATACGCATTTTTTTTTCTATTGAGTTTCTTCATCAGCATTAAATCCATCTGAAAATCTTAGAATTCCGGTAATTCCATCAAAACCCCCAGGAACAAGTTCTATTCCGAAAACATTCTCATCTGGACAAGGGAAAGGCATTTTAATATTATATGTTGAGAGTCTTTTATATCCGAATTTTGGATAAAGCCATGAATGGCCAACTAGCACAATTGTTTTATGACCAAGTTCAATCGCCTTTTGATGAGCCGCATTGATTAAAAGCCTTCCATATCCTTTGTTTTGGAAATTTGGCAATATAGAAAATGGACCAAGGATAAGAGTTTCATATTTCTCATCGACAAATGCTTTTGTTAGAAGTATATGACCAATTATTTTCCCATCTATTTCCCCGACAAGTTCAAGGCCAGGAATGTACTCTTTAGATGCTCTGAGTTTTGTAACAATATATTGCTCTTTGTGGCTGGCATGGTCAGCATTTCTGAATGCTTCCTCTACCACATGAAATATAGGATCGAAATCCTCTTGAGATACTTCACGAATTTTCAACATTAAATAATAAGCTTCAGCTGAAAGAATTTAGCTTACTCAATGATTTTATTTATTGGTCATTTCATTATTGAAGCTCAATTCCAAATCTAATTAGAAATTATTTTAAGTTTTTTATATTTATCAATGTGATGCGTATGTACTAATGATCAAAAAACTAAATATCGTGAAGTTGAGCAAATTCGTTATTTTTTTTACATTTTCAATAACGTTTTTTTTTTCTTTCAAAAATTTTTTTCATGAGTGATATTTTCACACTTATAGCCGAAGGCAAACTGGAAAAAAGCGATGTCACATTCGCAAACGTTAACAGCATATTCACTCCAATCGAAGGTAGAGTTGATTCTGAAAAATTCTTTGGAACAAATCCGTTTCTTTTTGCTGTCATGAATAACAAGAAAGAATACTTAAAAATGCTTAAAGACAAAGGCGCCAATATCAATTTTATTCAAGTTTCTCCTATTGATAAAGACTTTATTTATACAAAACCAACTTCTCCAATTGGAACACCAGGATTTTACAACGAAGCTCAAACTGAAGCCATTGAAAACAAATGCGGCGATAATGCTATGATACTTGCTATCAAAAATAAAGATAATTTCGAAATGCTCGAATACTTACATACTGAACTTGGTTTCCCACTAGATTATGTTAACTATGAAGGAGAAACATTGGCACATATTGCCATCGACAATAATGCTGCAAATTGTATGGTCTATGTTCTCAACAATTATCCTCAAGCATATGACATTAAGGATAACGAGGGCTTAACTCCTGTAGAACGAGCTAAATACTACGACGTCAATAGCTGCAACTGGGCCTTCTATAGGGTTTCTTCTGCTAGATCAACAAGTAGTCAAAGCAGTAGAGAAGGCCAAGCTGATTCTAAAAACGCAGTCCAGATTATCGATTTACCACTTCCTGAACTTTTGGAAAGAAAAACAGACTTAAAGCTGATTTACGATAAAAAGAAGAAACCATTAGCAAAACCTCAATGGGATGATTCAATTAAAAAGCAACTTCTTAAAAAGCTCGATGATTTCGCAAATTATAAGGATGAATTCGGCAGAAATATATTACATCTCGCAATTTTGAACAGGGCTACAGATGCATTCACAGAAATCATGAAGACACATAGTTATCTTTTACTTGAACCTGATAATGCAGTTGAAAATTTTGATGAACCGACGAAACCAGGAGAAACACCTCTTGAAATGCTGTTTAAATACAGTCAAGTCAAAAATCGTGATGAAGACTTTGTTCAAACAGCAATCCACGACCTTTGGGTTCATTATCAAAACCAGTTTAATGATGATATTAAAAATCAATTCACAGAGCTTTTCGAAAAAGACAAATCCTTTGAGCAATTACTATGCCCAGGTGGAACTGCACTTTTCTCATTTTAAATGTTCTTTTTATTTAAATAAATTTTATAAAATTATATTCATTATTATTTTTTTTTATTAAATAAAGCTCCTGAATAGTATTGGAAAATTTACACAGCTTCACTCATGATTATTTATAGCTTATATTGAGTAGGTGCCAAAAGTGCTTACTCTTAAACAACCGTCGGTTTTCCGGGTGAAATCGTGACACACTTTCGTCTTTCGTAGGCAGTGGTGGTTGTTACAAAAGGTAACTTCGAATGTAGCGTGAAATCTGCAAAAAAAATTCTGAAATTTAAATGGAGAACACAAAAATTGAATAGTTTACGTCAATAAAAAAGAGAAAAATGAAGCCAATGTGTCTCGAACCTAGGACTTAGAGCAGCAATCCCACTGTTTATCAAATTACACTACATGCATCTCTCACCTAAGTGAATGAGATCAACTATATGATAACTTTTTTCCCATTATATTCTTGTGGAAAAGTGACAAATAGCAACTTTGACCCTCTCTCTAGCTTATATTTTCTACAATCATGATAATGTCAAAATAATTATCCAAACTCTCCAATTCTTAGTATTTTTCATGTAAACTCGATACTTATGAATATTTTCTGTTCAAATCCTAAGGGTTCACTATAGTTTATTGGCATTGAGATTTAATGCCGACAAAAAAGTTAGAATCCGAACCAAAACTTCGCACATATGTTTGACTCGGATAATAGGTTTAAATGCGTCATTAGGCCGAATGACGATACAAAACGGTTTGGTAGAAAAATCCCCTTAATGGAAGAACAGCATTATCAAGACTATCTAGATCTTTTTAGTGAGTACGATGATGTTTTTAGGGACCTCTTCAATCTCAATACATTAAACCTTGATGAAATCAATCAAATTTACAAAAATATCAAAGAAAAATATCTCGAAACCAAAAAAATTCTTCCGTTTCGTATGTTGTTGTTGATACAAGACTATGCGATTCATAGAAATCGTTTCTTTAAATCATACTTCGAAATTTTCAAAAACATTGCGTCTGACTTTCATATTACCGCAAATTATTTGATTCGTTCGCTTTTCAACTATTTTTATTACAAAGAAACAGGAATTCTTATAACAGAAAGGGATAAAAAATTTGATAACTATGAAAAACAAAATCTTTCATTGGAGGTCCATGCACAAAACACAATTTATAGGGCTATTATGGATGATGATATAATATCATTTATACCATTTACGGAAAAGGAAGGATTTGATCCAGATCAAGAACTAAGAAGTGATTTTTATCCTTGCTCGCTTGATTTAAATGAATTGTGCTGTTATCATGGAGCAGTCAAATGTTTTAAGTTTTTAATAACAAAATTCAACCCGAAAATCACACATACGTATGTGCCTTGGTTATTCATTTTTGGGTGGAAATGCAGAGATCATTAATGAATGTTTAAAAACTATATTATCAATAAGCACCACGACTAAAGATAATATAGTTTTAACACATAATATTGATTTTGTTACATATTTGATGAATGAACATGATATCTTCATTAATCCTTATTTCAGCAGTGTAAATTGTAATATACAAGCATTTTTTATTTATTTAGATCATACCAAAGATATTTACGAATGTATCAGAAACTCACCACTATTTGGTATACCCTCACTTTGCGAATATTTGCTTTCGCGCTGGCCTGACGTTAAGATGAAATCTGGAGAACTTGGCGGAACAGCTCTTCATAAAGCTGCTGAATATCATTTTACAGAAATACTTGATGTTTTTATTCGTCATGGCTATGATATAGATATAAAAGATATCAATAAACGCACACCACTTGATGAAGCAATATCACAAAGAGACTTTGAAACTATTAAATTCCTGATTTCACATGGTGCAGATGTCAATGCAAAAGTTCATTGTGGAAAAACACCTTTTCATGATGCAATACGGAACAATTGTTCTATTGATATAATAAAATTTCTTATTTCACATGGTGCAAATATCAATGCAAAAGACGATTGTGGAAAAACACCTCTTCATGATGCAATGTGGAAGGTTTCTATTGATCTCATAGAATTTCTTATTTCACATGGTGCAGATGTCAATGCAAAAGACGATTGTGGAAAAACACCTCTTCATGATGCAATGTGGAAGGTTTCTATTGATCTCATAGAATTTCTTATTTCACATGGTGCAGATGTCAATGCAAAAGACGATTGTGGAAAAACACCTCTTCATGATGCAATACGGAACAGTTGTTCTATTGATATAATAAAATTTCTTATTTCACATGGTGCAAATATCAATGCAAAAAGTAATAAAGGAAAAACTCCTCTTCACAAAGCAGTGTCACATTATCAATTAGGAGTAGCAAAATTTCTTATTTCACATGATGCAGATGCCAATGCAAAAGATAACAACGGGAAAACCCCTTTTGATCAGAAAAATGGTAAAAGCGTCTATGAATACATTTATTATGTTCCTAAAAGTCTTACTCAAGAGGAAATTGAATCTCTTTTCGATGACCTTTAATCTCAAGTTTCAAATACTCAGTTTGAATGAATATAGAATGATTAACATTAGTGTGAACAACGACACCTTTTTTATATGATATTCATTATTTCTTTTATCATATGAAGAACTCAATATTTCTTCTTTTTTTTATCAAACCAATATGCTTAGAGCTTCATGACTTTGTTCTAAACAGAAATCATGTAAACATTCCTTGTTAATTTAAATATATTTTCATTATAAAAACAAAAATTTTAGTGAATATTTTACCAAGAATCATCATGCTCTTCGTAATAAAATGATTCATAAGGATATCCATCTTTAACAACATCGCGACCAGGATCATACAATTTTCCAGCTGAATCAACAACAGCATAGTGGATCTTACCATCAATGTTATATCTTCTTAATTCGAACTGATCATATTGAAGTCTTCTACGTGGTTTAATTTGTCTAATTAAGGCAAATTCCTTTGCTTTTTTCCAGTCATATATGTTAGCATTTTTGTCGAAACCATGTTCATGGGACATGAATTCTTCGCATTGATTTGCATTTGATCTTGAATGTGGACCCATAAAGCAGAAGCTAAGAAGCAACGATCCATTTCGAGGAATAGCTTCTGATTGAAAGACTTGTGAGTCCATATAGAAATATTTATCCATTGTGCGTGGGCATTGATACGGAATTTTCAAAACGAGTCCGTCAAGAATTGAAAATCCTAAATTAGGATTTGCTCTTTTAATGTCTTCCAATGTAACACCGTATTTACTATATTTCTGCACTATTCCATCCAAACCAAGAGCGCTATCATGGAAATAACGGAAAAAGCAATCATCCGAATTTTTCATTGGAACATACTCAGGTGGCTGAATAACTGGTGGTCGTGGTAACTTTGAGAACCGTTCAGCAATTATCCAATTTAACATTTGTCACTTTTTATGATCATTCATATTTTTTTAATGAAAAATCATTGTTGTAAATAGAGAAAAATATTTCCCATTATGAGCAACTTTTGAATTCCAAAAAACCGCAAAAATATTGAATTTTTTTCCCAAAAATACTATCAAAGATAACAATACATTTTACGAAATAACCGATTTTGACTTGTTAGATAAATAATAAGGTTATGATCTGAAGGATGGCTATCGACCAAATCGTCTCTTTTTAGCCCAGGCGAGAAAACTTTGTAATTTATAAACAAGTTTTTTTTAAATACTTTAATAGTAACGTTCTAGTTTTAGTTAAAATCGATAATTAACTCAGTTAATCTCGACTGTAAGAAAAATTCTCCACTAGATACATTTCTAAATTCAAGTCTTGTTACCCATTTTGCACCGATACTTCTGTTTCCAGATCCTGCAAACCCAGTTGTTCCTTCAAGACCGCATCCTAATGATAGGGAATTTTCCGGACGAAACTCGGATTTACTATCTTCTTTCTTAATACTGTCTTTTATTATGTTATCACGCTCATAATCAGTAAGTTGATTAAATTTTGCAGCGATTTCTTCATCAGCTACGCAACACAAATTGTTATCACGATAGATTTCTACTAAATTAGAAAGGTCAGTATTGACATTATTCATAAAATTCTGTTAATGAATTTCACTTTTATTGTAAATATCACAAAAATTTGAGAAGGTTTTCTGGTCGGAAGCCTGAACTTTGTATGATTGATTTTATATTTTCCAAAATGTCTTTTGAGCTTGTCCCTTTTTGAGATATTAACATTTTTCTATCACATATGAGCAAATGAGATATAACTAAATAGAAAACTAAATATCAATAAAAAAAGGCAATGTGACGTATATATATATAAAAGCTGCAAACAATCTTATTTCACATGATGCACTTACAAATTGAAAAGATCAATTAGGATATTCATTTCTACTACTAATGAGTGAATGAGTTATAGTTATTGTTTCACATTATTATAAATTCAATAAAAAAATTTTTTTTGTTATCAAGCAAAGAATATAAATATATTTTGTTTAATTGAAAGCCGATGTCGCGTAAAATCCCATAGAACAAATTGGACATTGCGAGCGTTTTTCAACGAACTTTTCAAGACATTCTCTGCAAACAACAGCATGACCACACGGAATTAGTTTCAACATGTGCTTTTTAGTTCCACAAATTGAGCATTTTCCGTGTTCTGGCTTTAGCGGAGTCTTCAATCTCATTGGTTGTGACAAAGCCAATATCGATGCTTGTTGTCTTGTTCTTCTTGGAGCTCTCTTGATCTGAGCCTTTGCACCAGCAGAAACAAGTGCATTAATAATCTCTGTCATCTTCAAATCCTGTGCAAGCTTAAATGGAGAGTGGCCTTGGTTGTTTGGATCAGCTCCGGCCGCCAAAAGAGCTTCAACAATTGGAAGAGACCTCAAACCAACAGCGTTGTAAAGAGGAGTCATTCCTGCATTGTTTACATGATCCAAACCACATTCCTGGAGAATAAGGAGCTGAACAACATGAACGTTGTTAGATCTAACAGCTGGGAAGAGTGCGTTCTCATTATCTTCATTGATTGTACGTGGATCGGCGCCGTTTTGGAGGAGATATTCAACGATTTTTTCGTTGCCCATCCTTGCGGCGACAAAAAGTGGAAGTTCTTTTCCTGACGAACATTCCACGTCCGCTCCTGCATTAACAATCGCTTTGACAACTTCGAAATTACCTGTCTCGATGGATCTGATCAATGGCAATCCATCAGGCTGCTCTAGATTCAAGTTGTAACGGTTTGAAAGAATTTTTCTGATACCGCCGATATTTTTCTGTCTGATGTAATTGAAGAGCTGTTGAGGTGGTGGCGCCAAGTCCAAATTGGAGGTATTCATGGCTGCTCTTGCTAGCGATGGGTCGCTCTCTCTGATGGCCTCGCAAATGTCCTGTTCTCCCATTTCCATAGCGTGGGAGAAACAGTTTGAGCGGCCAAGAGAAGCTGTGGCTCCTGCTTGAAGGAGAAGCTTGGCAATGACGGGCTGGTGTAAGGAGATTGCAGCGAAAATCGGTGTAAGACTGTCGTGGTTGAATATATTGATGTTTACGGACTTGGAAATAAGTGTTTTGACAAGTTCGACATTTCCTGTACGGACAGCAATGAAAATTGCTGATTCTCCTTCTGCATTTTGAAGCTCTAGGTCGGCACCACTGGAAATAAGTAGGTCAATGATTTCGTGGTTGTTATTTAATATGGCCATATGCAATGGAGGTTCAAGGAATGTTTTGGTTTGGGCATTGATGTTAGCACCGTAATCTAGAAGCATGTTGACGCATTCGTATGCGTTGTTTTCAACTGCAGCGTGTAATAAAGTTTCGTTATCGAAAAATGTCTTGTTGACGTTAACTCCTTCGATGTTCTTTTCGAGTTCTTTGAAGTTGTTTGTGATGCAATATTCAAATAATAGTGTTATCGGGTCATCGTAGCCTCTTGAGTTTTTATTTCTCGCAGAAACTACTTCTGATGACAAAACTTCTGGAGTTTGAGTTGTAGATGCTCTGCTTGACATTGGCATTGACATGAGTTTCTTGATTTCCTCTTGCGAAACGCCATTTACTTTTTGATCAACATGAATGTCAAGTAATGGTTTTGTAAGAGATGTGCTCTTGAATTGGACAGCAATGGTGAAAGGAGTTTCTCCTGCCTTGTTTTTGTGGTTACCATCAGCGCCATTTTGTAATAAATATTCGAGAAATTCTGGGCGTTTAAATCTGATAGCAGTAAAAACAGGTGTTTCACCTTCGATGTTTTCTGTGTTAATATCAGCGCCTGATTTGATAAGAGCGTAAAATGCTTCGCTTTGACCTTCTTGAGTAGCAATTTGTAATGGTGTATCTTCATAGCCTTCTGTCTTGGCTTCTAAATCCATTTTTTGTTCAATTAAGTAATTTAATACGTTCATTGAATTGCATTTTGCAGCCATATGCAACAAAGTTTCACCATCGAAGTTAGCTGTATAAATATCAGTTCCAGCTTCAAGCAGTTTCTTGACCTCATCAAGATTATCAGTCTCAGCCGCTTGGAAGATCGGGATAGTCATCTTGATTGAGAACTTGAAATAACGAGCAAAATCTAAAGTCTTACGGACTTGATATTTTCATATCCCATTAGATTGTACAACACATTTATATTAAAATTATAATAAAAATTTGTTCAATTCATAAGTTTTCAGATTTTGATTGTCAAAAATAATGAAAATATTAAGCAATTTCAATCATATTTCAATTGATATTAAACGAATTTGGTGTGATCACAACAAAAATCATCAAAACAATACACTAAATTTCAAAATCATAAAATTTCACGCTAGAATTACAAAATAATGTAATAAAACGTATTACCATGAAGAAAATTTATAAGATCTTCTTAAAATAGCCGTATTGCGCTTGATAAACCAAATTTCTTATTTTTCATTTGCTGAATAAATCGATTTTAAGTACATCATTACGAACAATTGCATAAACAATCGTTACTGAATGTAATTAAGATGCGCTACGAAGAGAAATACAGGTAGTTCGAAGATTTGATTTCAATTCTTATAAAATTCAAGGGTATAACACGAGGGAGTGCATGTATGCAGCTATTTATTAAACAACAATCCGAAATAGGGATTACATTACCCCAAATTTTTTGATGGAATAAAAATTTCATCAACAAATTTTTGGCAAAAAATTTTGAATAAATTATGAAGTGGCAAAATTATCGATATCGATGAGATAATGAATTGTAGATATATAATTGACCATTTTTTTGAAAAATAACATGTCAATTAATTGGCCGGCTGAATTTTTACTCAATATCACTTCATTTCTAAAAAATGTATGATCAATTCGCTAAACCAGCAACATATGTTACACGCGGTGGTGGCGCTACCCAGGGTGCCGGCCAGAAGAAGCATGTCGATAGCCATGCTAAGAAGTTTGCTATGATTGAAAATGATAACGATCATTTCGGTGATCACAGACAGAAGGTTGGCATTGAGATGGCCAACAAGATTAAGAACCTTAGAAACGCTAAGGAGTGGACACAGAAGGATCTTGCTCTCCATGCTGGTGTCAAGATCGATGTTGTCAAAGACTACGAAAGTGGCAATGCAGAGCCAAATGCTAAAATCATTAAGAGATTTGAACAAGTACTTGAAGGTCCTCTTAGATAAGGATTTATTCGAATAATTTCGGATACTTTTCTATCCGGAACCTGTTTTTATGAGTAAACCGCTCTTTTTGTCTAATTTTATGTTAATAATTTTTCATACTTCGATTCATTTTCAAATATTTTATATTTTTAGAAAATAATTATTTCAATATCATTTTTTTTCTTTTTGTTGTGAAATCAATAACGATGTAACTACATTGGCATATAACACAAGGGTTTCGTTTTGGTTTAACCATGTTATTCATAGTTAATCCTTATAAAATCTTATGAATCTATATTCTACTCTGTTATAACTAGCATCGCAACCAAGAAAATATAGTATTTATTCATTTGATTGAATGATGATTTTCCTTAATTCATATAATGAAATCAAATTTTGTTTCCTTTCTTACGCTGCTTGCATTTTCTTTTGATATTTATTCTAATACATATAGTTTAATGCATTGATTCATTGATCATTATATTAGAACATTTCGGACCTAATGCTCAGATTCTTTCCCCTATGCTTAATAACTAATGCAAATGAAATCAATTTCAGATTCTATGGATTTCGATAGATACAACATGCCAAATTCAATGAATATAATACTACCAACATAATAATGACCAAATAATGCTGGAAAATAAGATCTGGATTTTGCCAATTAAGGGTTTCGTTTTGCTGAGTGGGGGACAAACTCGCCCATTGTCACTTTTTCATTAACCTTAAACTTGTAATTTTCATTATTTTTAATTAACCTTATTTCTTTCCCAATTCCTGATTTATTTTATTCACTTACTATTAAAAGTCACATTTTAATAAAATATAATAATTTATTTATAGCATTTTTTACTATACTGTAATAAAAAATTAATTATAATAAATTAAATGTTTATTAAATCAAATGTTTTCTTTGCAATAATATTTTTAATGTTGAGTAAACAATGTTGGGATCAAGTGTATCATTTTTCAGACCTTTCTGAACAGCTTCAAGCATACTGATGCATTCGACTTTTTTAAATTGTGTCATTTCTTCGAAATCTCTTGTGACTTTTTTGATAACTTTAACACTTCTCTCTGAATCCAGACCTTTAATTTGCAACTTAATCAGGAATGAAGGAACAACACTGGAATATAACTCGATGACAAGTTCATCGAGTCGAAGATTTGGTTGTACACCACTTGTATGTGCCGGATACCATTGTGTCAAATTTTTTCTGAAATTAACTTTAAAAGTACTAAGTAAGATCATGAGATATAGCAATATATGTTTAAACCAACTTATATTTTGGTTGTACACCACTTGTATGTGCCGGATACCATTGTGTCAAATTTTTTCTGAAATTAACTTTAAAAGTACTAAGTAAGATCATGAGATATAGCAATATATGTTTAAACCAACTTATATTTTGGTTGTACACCACTTGTATGTGCCGGATACCATTGTGTCAAATTTTTTCTGAAATTAACTTTAAAAGTACTAAGTAAGATCATGAGATATAGCAATATATGTTTAAACTAACTTATATTTTGGTTGTACACCACTTGTATGTGCCGGATACCATTGTGTCAAATTTTTTCTGAAATTAACTTTAAAAGTACTAAGTAAGATCATTTATTTTTGCATAATATAATGCCAATATGGTTTCTTTTGATTTTATTTCATTTATAAGCAAATCAGATTTACCCAAAAACTCCACTCCATAAGCGTTCATTTGCTAAATTAAAAAGTGACAATGGGCTAGTCTGTCCCTTTCTCCGTTTTGCTAAAATTGTCACTTTTATAGCATATTTGTTTTTGGATGTTTTGCGAAACCAAAAAAAAACTATGATATACAATGTGTGTGTAAAGAAAATACTTTATTTACTAGTTAAAAAATCATTTGGTATTGATCAAGTTATTTCTTCTGGATAAGATATTATATGGATAATTGGATAGAAAATACAATTATATAATTTTGTACCTGGTTTAATTAAGCTAATTGTCATCAGAAACTTGTAATTTTTATGAATTTCAGATTTTCTTTTCATTACTGCTTTTCTTAATAGGTCAAGTTCTTATTTACGTTATAAAGTATGATATTTACAAATATCAAGTTATCGTGTTTTTTGAGAAATTATGAGAAACAAACAAAAATGAAAAAGATAGGAATAGCAATGAATAGTGATGTGGGTATAGAAAATGTAAGAGATATGAATGCAAAGCAATCAGTATTTAGGACATTGACCATAGATTTCGAAAAAAAAATGCTGCATATTGAGCGAAAACTATGATTATATTATAAGGCTGTCATTTAAAGCATAATGAAACTATTCCCTTTTCATTTTAATCGAATAAGATAGTAAAGATTTTTGAATTAGCTAGAAACTGATGAGATGTTTTCACAAATCAGATTTTTAATCTCTATAATGCATAATTCACTCAATATCTCAATTTTGATATTGCGAGATATTTTTGCTATCGGTTTCGCAATTTTGACACAATAGCAAGAGGGTTCTATAAGCATTATTATCAACGTAGAATCTGAATATCATATCAGAAAATGTCGCAAATCTGACATTTATCCGACCAAATAGCAAAAATAATTGAATACTTTTCGCAAAAACTTTAAAAATCGATAAAAATATGAAATATAGATATTAAAGAGACTTTTTATATAATATTCATAAAGATTTTCCAAAAATATGATACCGCAAAATTAAAAAAGTGACGTCTTGAGTGGAGTCAAAGGTCGAAATTGCTAGCTAAATGTTTTTTAGCGAAATTGCGTATTGTACGTTTTTTTCGCAAAACGAAACCCTTATGCCAATTAGCAACAAAAGTACATGCTGTTATTCTGTCAGCAATAGATATCTAATACATACCTCAAATGAGGAAGCCTTTTGAAGAAAGGAATGAAGATAGAGGACAAATTACACGAATATGTATTTACTTGGTGAAAAACTTATATGTTCAAATATCTTGTCGTTTTCATTCAAAATCATTTTTATTTTAATTTATATAATTAAATATTAAAATTTTAAATTTTGAAATAAAATAAATTAATTTTTAAGTTTTGACAATGAAAATAAGCTCTGTGACCATGTAAATATATATCTATGCAAAACGAGAGGTTATGCCATAATTTTTTTAGTTATCAAATTTTCCTTTTTTTGAGAGAAGTCTCTCAATAATTTGAGAAGAATCTTTGATATAAAGAGATACACATTTGTAGAACGAAGTAAGTGTTTTCCAAACATTTTATATGTTCATCCTGTATAACAATATAAAGCTGCATAGTGCCATCTTGTGCGTTTGCTATTTTATGCACTTTTCATTGAGATAATCCCTCTTCTCGGGTGATTTTAACAGTCAACTCAATTTTAAAATAAAGATTTCATCAAAATGATTTCGAAATTCGGATATTGATTATATAAATAGCACTGTTAACATATTTTGGATGAGTAAAAAATACCTTGTTTTGTATGCATTTAGTACACCTTTATTTTTGATTAAAACTATAAAATTTTTATTCCTTATATAATAAATAGTATATGTTACATAAACATGAAATTCAATAGCATTCAATTTTGGATTTTTTAGATTTGGTAAATTTTAGAAGAAATAAAATCAGCAATCAAAATAAAGAAACTTTTTTTGTATCTTCTATGATTACCTTTTGGTACTAAATTTTGCATTAATAAGTAAATTATCTGTATTATTCTGTGAGCACAAGCCCTCAGTTATGCTGGTAGTGAATGATGAATCGTCATTTTGCGAAGAGAACGCGATTATTAAGGTAATTTTGAGAATTGTCTTGAATTTTTTAAAATTAAAGTTAATTGAATAGGTAGGATAACTAGCCTTTGCTAAATTTGTATAATTTGACCTTATTCTAGTTGGATCTGAGAATATTTTGCTGAAATAATAAATTATATCGCCGATTTATGAAAATTTCTCTGATGGGACCGACTCGCTGAAACGTATTAGTGTTAATGGTAACTTGTCTGAATTTTCAAATTTTTTTCGAAATCCAAAAAATCACAAACAAAAGCATCAAAATTAGATTTGCATTTAAGGTTTTCATTTTTTTTTGGAAAATAAAAATATTTTTCCCCAATAAAGTTTATTTTTACTTTTGAGAGGAATAGAAACGTTATTTTGGAATTTTGAAACGACAGAAATGTTCCATTTTTTAATTTTTGATTGAACCGTTATCCATTGAAAAACCTCGATTTTAAAATGTTATTCCAAAATATTCATCTAATGATATAGTATATATTTATTAATTATTACTTTTTATTCAATTTTCACTTTTGGCGGGATTTCATTTTTTTTTGTTGTATGGGCCATATTGTTCACCCAAAACGGAAAACAAAGGCAATGCATAACATTTTACTCCACGAACGTCGTCGACTCTCAGCGCGACAGATGCTTGGTGCTTGCATAATGACCGGAATGCCATATACAAAAGGTGCTCGCTTTCTTTCTCTTTGTGGAACTAAGCCCCCTGTGAAGAGTGGTGTCATGAGACAACAGAGATTTTGTGACGATAAGATTAGAAGACTTAAAAGTATTTCCCTAATGCTGTCGAGAAAGTCCTTCAGTGGTTACTTATCCATTGATGCAAGATGGACGCACAGGCGAAACTCGCCAAGTTGTACAGTAACTGCGCTCGATGCTGTCACAAAAAGAGTTCTTGCATGCGTGAACATCAACCATATTGGTGGAAACAGACAGCATACTCAGTATTCCGGAGCTTCCAACAATATGGAAAGTGCTGGAACTCGAATCATCTTGAAGCAATTAAAGAAATACAATATCTTGAAAGATGTTAAAGAGATTATTAAAGACCGAGATAACAAAAGTGTCTCTGTCTTTAAAGAATTTGGCGTCTCTCATCTTGAAAGATTCGATCCAGGTCATGTATCAAAAAATATCTCAAAAGATTTTACAAAGTTCTCAGCTTCTCATAAGACAGTTGAAGTTTTCAACGACAAGACTCAGAAGATTGAAAAAATAGAGAGACCTTTCTGGGGTCTGAATGCAAGCCTAAGTATGTGGCTTTGGTCATGTTTTGCCGAAGAAAATATTGACAAACGTACGAAAATGTGGGAGAATTGTGTCTACCATTACGTAGGCAATCATTCTTTTTGCGAACCGCACAATTACAAATGCTTTGAATGGCAAAAAGATGTCAATTCGATCCAACTTCAATTCATGCTCTATGACTGGGTTCACAAATGGACACCCATAGTTTCCAAAGTTTCTTCCATTGGATCTACCTGCATGAATGAAGCGTTTAACTCCAAAATTGCATGCTATTTGGACAAATCAAGAGCCTGGAAGAACATTAACATTAGAGTTAACGTTGCAATCTTAGAATGGAATGATCCAGAGCATTTTCTCGGAGATATACAAAAAGCATTACATCTTCCCCCACTTCCAGAAGATTGTGTCAAATCATTTGAAGAGAATTGTTACTCCAAAATGATATTGAAACAAAAAACTGTTACAAAAGGTTCTAAAAAACAGAACAAATACAAAAAATCCATTCAGAGTGTACCAGGAGGAGATTATCAAGTTTTCAAGTCCGAATGGGAATCAGAAGACGAAGACATTGATGACTTTGATTAACGAAAATTACATTTTATTTATTGTTTTTGTTTTTAATTAAATTATTATTATGCTCATTTTCTTATTTTGATTTTTTCTCATTATGATATAAATAATTTATTAATGCATTTATCCAATAATTATGCTATGATATTTTTATGCCGAGAAAGGGACAGACTAGCCCATTGTCACTTTTCAATTTAGCAAATGAACGCTTATGGAGTGGAGTTTTTGGGTAAATCTGATTTGCTTATAAATGAAATAAAATCAAAAGAAACCATATTGGCATTATATTATGCAAAAATAAATGATCTTACTTAGTACTTTTAAAGTTAATTTCAGAAAAAATTTGACACAATGGTATCCGGCACATACAAGTGGTGTACAACCAAAATATAAGTTGGTTTAAACATATATTGCTATATCTCATGATCTTACTTAGTACTTTTAAAGTTAATTTCAGAAAAAATTTGACACAATGGTATCCGGCACATACAAGTGGTGTACAACCAAAATATAAGTTAGTTTAAACATATATTGCTATATCTCATGATCTTACTTAGTACTTTTAAAGTTAATTTCAGAAAAAATTTGACACAATGGTATCCGGCACATACAAGTGGTGTACAACCAAAATATAAGTTGGTTTAAACATATATTGCTATATTTCATGATCTTACTTAGTACTTTTAAAGTTAATTTCAGAAAAAATTTGACACAATGGTATCCGGCACATACAAGTGGTGTACAACCAAAATTTCATATCCCTAGTTTTACATTTATGTTTAGTTTTATTTCACCTAATTTTCAAAGATCATAATTGAATTAGATGGCCAAGCTATTCAAAACACGACCAAGCTTATCAAAATAAGACCAATATATTCAAAATTCTTTATTCTTTCAAATCATTTCATTTTAATGCAGATCCAAGATCACGAACTCACATATATCGAGTTGCTTAAGTATGGAGTGCAACAAGAAATCCAAGCAGGTTGTAGTTATTCATATAAAACTAGGAAAGAAAGAAATCAAATCCAATTTAATTGTAAGTGGCCGAATTGTCCATGTCGCTTCCTTGTTGATACACTTCCCGATGACAAGTACCACATACGAAAATGTATTAACACCCACAATCATTCTGCCCCTTTTCCAAACAAATCACAACAAATTACATCATATTTTTATAGATCTTATTTAACAAGATATTTTGAATCAAATCAAGACCGTGTTTACGCACAATTAAGGTGTTTCAAAGATCTTAATATCCCATTTGATAGTGGGATCATTCCGGAAATGTTTCAACAATCTACAGATGCTTTAAAAAAGTTTTCTAAACGCCTTCATGCAATCAATACCCGTTTCTCAGCGGATGATGTTACATCTCTTGCAATTTTTGTCGACATGGTTAAGAGTCATTCTCCAGATGATCTCATCGAGTTTATTCACGAGCCAGATCGTATGATTTTCTATTACGCCCCATTCGAAGCAAATGCTTTTTCACATCAAATACAAACTTATCACATTGATTCCACTTATAAGCTCTTGCGCTCTCGCATACCATTTTATGCCGTCACTGGCAAATTCGCGGAATCAATTGTTTTTCCGTTTTTGTATTTTTTCGTTTGGCCCGACACAAGTGAAAATATACAAGTTTGTCTCACAGCATATTTTGGCTCCATCAATCGCGAACCATCTTATTTTTCAATGGACTGCGCACCTCAAATCACAAATGCTGTTGAAACAGCCATCCCCTTATGCCAGATCATTTGGTGTGGCGTTCATGTGTTGCGCGCTGTCATGAGAAAGGCTGAAAAGTTTCAAGATCGTTCCAACTTCGAAACTTTCTATAACTTAATGAAGTTATTGGTCTTTGGTTCTGAAGAGGAAGAAATTGATCCTGATGAAGTTTACAACAATTTAGAAGAAATTTTAAATGAGGAACCTGCTGCCCGTGAATACTTTGACCGACAGTGGCGCCATCATCTTGACAGGTGGATGCTTCGCTATAGAAATGAAGGAGATGGAACAAACAACATCTCGGAATCACATTTCAAGGTTTTGAAGCACCAGTACTTCCCAGAAAGGCGAAATCTTCGACTCGATGAACTTGTCATCGAGTTATATTCCAGTGTTGTTCCTTCATTCCTGATTAAGTTGCAAATTAAAGGTCTGGATTCAGAGAGAAATGTTAAAGTTATCAAAAAAGTCACAAGAGATTTCGAAGAAATGACACAATTTAAAAAAGTCGAATGCATCAGTATGCTTGAAGCTGTTCAGAAAGGTCTGAAAAATGATACACTTGATCCCAACATTGTTTACTCAACATTAAAAATATTATTGCAAAGAAAACATTTGATTTAATAAACATTTAATTTATTATAATTAATTTTTTATTACAGTATAGTAAAAAATGCTATAAATAAATTATTATATTTTATTAAAATGTGACTTTTAATAGTAAGTGAATAAAATAAATCAGGAATTGGGAAAGAAATAAGGTTAATTAAAAATAATGAAAATTACAAGTTTAAGGTTAATGAAAAAGTGACAATGGGCGAGTTTGTCCCCCACTCTTTTTATGCCTTATTTCATTTCTCTTATATTTGATAATCTGGTAAAATATAGTTCAGACTATAATCATTTTAGATTATTGATATATTTATATAGGTTAGAATAAAATTAGTTTCATTTTCTACTTTTATTTTGAATTAATAATTTATAATATCAAATATTATGGCGTAACCTCTCCTTTAAAATATAGATATATATAGGCCTATAGAGTTTATTGGCACTCTCAAAACTCTAGAATTTTGAGTTTACTATACCCTGAATCTACTACTTTTAATGAAATGTATTAATATTCAACAACAAATCTAATTTACCAAATTTACAAAATTACTTTTGAATTCAACCTCAGTAGTAGGATATGACGGGTTTAGTGACTTTTTTTGTTACATCTATATATAGACGATGCATTAAAATATATTTATTTATAAATCATTAAAAAAATTAACATTAATTTTAAAATAATTTATTTTTTTATCTTTTATAAAAGAAGCTATATATAGATGATGTCAGATATTCCGCGATTAATTAAACATTGTTTAAATCCTGAATGGGTTAAACTTCAATTTAAAAATGAAGATTGTGAATTATTAAATGAATATGAAAGCCAAAATAAGCTAATGAGGTATAAATATAATGATAAAGAATATTTAATTTCATGGAATCAATGGAGTCATAATCAAAGACCTCATAAACGAGAAGAAGAAATTGAAAATAATGAAATGGAAATCATTGATGACATTAAAGAGGATGGAATTCCTAAATTTTGTAGAAAAACCTTTAGAACTAAGTTAGGAGCATATAAACGTAGAGTATTAAATCCTGAATATCTTAAACATCAATTTAAAAAGGAAGACTGTGAATTATTAAACGCTAATGAATATGAAAATGCTAAATCAAAACTGAGATATAAATATATTGGAAGTGATGAAAGGTGTAAAGATAAAGATAAAGTTTATTCAGTTTCATATAATAACTGGCACACGTTAGGGATAAGAAAACATTTAGGAGATTATGGGAAATGTTCTGAATTCTTTAAATCTAGTATGTACGAGAGAGTAAAAGAAATTAGAAATAATTATTTTCATGAATAAAAGATTCACTACCATAATGAAATAAAAAAAATAAAAAATTTTAAAAAATAAACTTCTTACGAAAAATTAAAACTTAGTTATGTTTATTATTTTATTTTTTTATTTTGTATGAAATGAGCGTCAAAACTAACAACGTTAAAAAATTAGGATTCACAAACGAGGAAATAAAGGATATATTAGAGGAGGTGGGTTATGAAGTTGATAAATATTATTTAAGAAATTGTCAAAAATTTGCTGAGTTATTAAATGATTTAGATTATGATGGAAAAATGAATAAAGATGATGTTATAAATTTCTTATATCCCACATCTGAAGAAGAAAAACCTAAAGAACCTGATGTTTTCCCCAAATATTATGAAGAACGAATTAAAGATGATGAATACGATGAAATTGAAAGACTGAAAAAAATAAGAGATGAAATAGATGAAAAAATTAAGGAATTAAGAGAAGTTGAAAAATATAATGAAAATGAAGTAGAGGGTTTAATGAATATCCCAGCTTCAGAATCAGAAGTTCAGAAATCTCATGAAGAAAGATATAAAAATTATGTCTCAGAATCAACACAAAATTTATTAGATGGTGAAATAGACGAAACACTTTCAGAAGAAGGTACTAAATTTATTCGTAAACATAAGTTACAATTTATTGATAATGAAGAATACCCCTGTATCCTACTTTCACCACCTTTAGATTCCAAAAAATTCAAAAAAGCACTAAAAAACGTGACATATGCAACTAATACGATTAAGAAAGAAGATCATGATATTTACACAAATTATTATTTAAATAAATGCACGGGTGTTGATAAAGTTTTTGATTTATTAGATAAAATATCAAAAGAAACCATTGGAACCTATAAAATTTTGTGTGATTGTGGTTTCATTATTGAAGATACTAATAATGTTTCATATGAAAGAACAGCACCAAAGGAAGACGAAGTTGAAAGGTCTATACCATTCGTTATTAAGAATATAAAAGATATGAAAACGTATAAGCATTATATTTATTCATTTATTTCAGAAAAAATGGAAGCAACCCATAAAACATCTTCTCATCATTTTATAGCTATTCATACATTCCTTTTCAAAGTTGTGAAATTAAATAAGACAGGAATTAGATTTAATGTATCAGGGTACACATTCTTGAGTAAATTAAAATGTATTCGTCACGTCGCAGATGATAAAAATTTATGTGTTCTTAATTCATTTTATGGGCTTTAAAAAATAAACTTTATTTTTATTTATTTTTTAATTTTTTATTCTTACATAAATGAACAAAAACGGAACAGCTAAAATGAATGATAATCAAATTAGAGCAGAAGGTAGAAGGTTATTTAAACGCTTCTATAACATTCCTGATGGTGCTAATCCTAAAACTCGTAGAAGCTATTTAAATGAAGCAATAGATGCATATGAAGGGTTTGACATTTCATCAGAAAGTGAGAGATTAGCGAGAATGTTAAATGTTAATATTGATTTCTATTATTGTGATCCTCAACCAGAAGACGTGGACATAAATAAGGTAGACTTTCCATTAGTGGAATCAATAATGATAGATCCAGAATTTGAAACAGTAAATATTTTATTAACACAGAGTCCATGTGGAAAACTTCACGCTGACAGAATAACAGACGTTGAAGCACTCACCGGCTATAAAGTTTGTCCATATTGTAAAGAAGAAGTTTATTCTATCCGTGATGATCCAGAAAGGAAAAACCAAAGAAGATTTTTAAAGCATTGTGAGAAATGTAAAGAAAATAATGGAAGATTAATTCAAGACGTTCAATTGCAAAAGACACAGCAACCATATGCACCACATATTACGAAACAGAAGATATATCAGTGGTTATTAGCTCACAATTTGCAGAAATATTATAAACCGACAAGATATAGGGTGTCCAAAGGTGCGTTTAGCACAGCGCTCTATATGAGACTATTAAAGGAGATATATGCTGATTATAAATATATAATAAAAAATATGAATATATGTATATGATGAGTATGTTGTATTTTGGCGCCATGCCGGGATATAAAATGAATTTTGAGACAAGAGGCGGTTTCGCGGGAAATTTTGGCGGGATTTTTTTCATTTTTTTAATGAATCATAAAGAAAACATCCTCGCTCTTGCAAAAAAATGCAAAGACTGTAAAAAAATCTACGAGACATTGGTAAAATGCTTCGGTATGGATGCTCCTAGCTATTCCACTGTAACGTATCATGTTAGGATGTATCACTTCATGAACAAAAAGGCGCCCATCATAAAAATTGACAAAAAATCGCCGGATCAAAGAAAAATCAAAGCAATTCTTCAAGCGCTAGATGAAGACCCAAGAGCATCACTCAGAAGGATAGAGGAGATGACAAAGATACCACGTACAACAGTCAGTTATTATCTGCACAATTATTTGAACTACAAACTAGCGTATACACGTTGGGTTCCGCACAACCTTAATTCAGTTCAAAAAAAATCTAGAGTCCAATCTTCGAAAGAGCTCCTCTCTATATTGCGTGCGTATCAATCCAAGAAGTTTCGCTTTTTAGTAACAGGGGACGAGTCTTGGTTTCAATATGCAACAGAAGCCAAAATCATGTGGATCCCGAAGGATGAAAATCCGCAAACATTCCCGAAGAAAAAAATTGACACACCAATGATGATGTTGTCGGTTTTTTGGGGCGTGAATGGCATCATCGCAATTGATATTCTTCAAAAACCTAATACGATGAATGCTCAGTATCTAATTGACAATGTTCTTACTCAAATTATCAATTCTGATGAGTTTGAGAAATCCAAACAACAAAAACAAAAGTTTGCAATTCATTTTGATAATTCAAGAGTTCACAAAAGTCATAAGGTAATGAATTACTTGGTGGAAAACAATGTCAAAGTTGTTCCAAACCCAATTTATTCACCTGATATTGCACCCTCTGACTTTTATTTATTCGGCACGCTAAAAAAGAGAGCTGAAGGACGCGAATTCGCGAGTCCAGATGATCTTGAAAATTTTGTAAGAGAGCAATTTGAGCAATTTTCTCATGATGATTTAAAGCGTGTCTTTCAAGCCTGGATCGATCGCTGCAAACGCGTGATTGAATCCAATGGTGATTATATTTAAATAAACTTTATATATATGTAACTTGTTTATTTCTATTCGCAGTATTCAGGTTTGTGCTAAACACACCTTTGGACACCCTATATTATATTACTTTTGACTTTGAAACATTAGAGACTAAAGAAGAATTACAACTTTCTGAGTGTGCAACTTTGAACGCTTACTTAAAACCATTCATGGTATCATCAACGGTTAAATTAAACGATAAAACATATACGAGGAATTTTTGCTTAACTTCGAGTGATTCTTTTATTTCTGATTGGATTGAGTTTTTATTTTCAACCTGTTCATTAGTTGTTGAATCAAATATGAGTCAATACAATGAATTATTGAAGTCGCAAACGGCGGGGACTTTGTCCCATACATTAAATGAAAAACAGAAGGAAGCATTTAAAGAACTTCTAGATGAGGAATTCAATAAAGTGAATATCATAGGTTTTAATTCGGGAAAGTTTGATTTAAATTTAATTCTTCGTGATTTAAACACTGCAAAATGGAAAATAAAATCAATGCTGGGTTCATCTTCACAATTTAAGCAAATCATTGTAAAGAAAACAAACGTTCCATATGAATTGAGATTTATTGACATCAGAAATTATATAGCGGGTGGGACATTAGACCAATTCACTCAAGATTTCGGAAACAATAAATCACGTGTTAAATCCTTTTTCCCTTATCAATTCATCACGTGGGAAAATTACGAAGAAGAATTAGATAAAGAGGAACCATTCACGAAAGATTCATTTTATTCAGCATTAACCCAAGAAACTATATCAGATAGTGATTATCAAATATATCTCAATGATGCTAAAAATTTTAAAAATAGATTAGAATATTTTATTCATTATTGCAATAAAGATGTTGAAATTATGATTGACCCAATTGATAAAATTATTGAAGAAACATTTGTTTAAAATTGACACACTTCATAATCTTTCTTTATCATCGAATGCTTCAATGATTCGTTACGCTTTAGCATATAAAGACTTTAATCCTAATGAAAAATATCCTGAGGAAGAGATAGAATCAAGTTTTGAATTAACGAAAAAGTATTGGAAATATAAAATTGAATCATATAAGAAACAAGATGAAAAAGCAGAAAGGGATACTAAAAAATAATGTTTCAATGGATGATTTTCAATACTATCACGATTTAATCCTTTCATCTAAATGCAAAATGTGTGGTAAAGCGTTTACATATGCAAATAAACCAACATTAGATAGAATCGATAATGAAAAACCACATACCAAAGAAAATTGTCAGTTAATGTGTTGTTATTGTAATGTCGTAAAATCAAATAAAGATGAAGATGTTCAACGTTTAAGAATCAATTTAAGAAATTATGCATTAAAAAATAATTTACCAATGACTTTAGATTCAGTTGAAGCTTATCACATTCTCCGTAATGGAATTACTGGTGGTCTATCAAATGTTCAACATAGAGTAAATCTTAAAGGAATCACACACATTAATAAACTTTCATATAGTCCAGAAACTAAAACTGTATCAAATGAGGACACCACCAACATTATGACGCATTTCGTTGGTGTTGATTTTAATTCATTATATCCTTCATCATTTTCATCTAATCCTCATGATTTCATTCAATATACTGACCATAAAATGTATATGCCGGGAAGATTGAATGGTGTTATCATTTGTGATACAGCAACAAAGAAAGCAAAAGCGCTGGGAATTATTAGAAAGAAAAATACTTTATTCGTGGCTGAAGTAAAGGGTCACATTGATGAAAAATACATTAATGATTACATAAACTTTTTACCGATAATAAGAAACTTAGATATTATCACAGATGAAAAAACAATTGGCAGTTTTATGTATAATTACATGAAATCAAACAATCTACCAGTTGACCAGAAACAGAGGAAATTAACTCAGTTAGCATCAACACACAACCAATATCAACCATTTTCTTCTTATTATCTTTGGTATCTAATAGACAGATTTCATTTTATCATCGATGATATTCAATCAATTTTAACATTTACTAAAAACACTTGTTTTAATGAATTTGCGAACGAATTTATGAACGAAAGACAAAAGGCTGAATTAGAAGGAAATAAAGGAAAAAGTTTATTTTGCAAGATTTCGCTTAATGGATCATATGGTTACGATGCAATGAATACACAAAATTACACAAAGACTAAAATAATGAATGCACAGAAGGCACGCGTTGCATGTATGTCAAATAAGTTTAAAAACATAAGAGAAATAGGTGAAGATACATATCAAGTGATGCTTAAAGATAGATTTTATAGATGTGATACATGTTTACAAGAGGCATTCTTCACTTTAGATAACGCAAAATACTGGTATTTGGTTTTCATTTATGATTTTATGTATAAATGCATGAATGTTAATCGTTTTCATTTCATTGAAGGTGATACTGATTCATCTTATTGGGCTATTGCTGGCGATCCAAATCTTCCTAACACTCAAGCATTTCAAGCGATTGTAACCGATAAACAATTTTATGATAAAAACATTTTCAAATTCGCACCTTTTGATTTCTTTTGTTTTGATGAGAAATTTAAACAAAAATTAAAGAATAAAGCTGAAGAAAAAGCACATGAGAAGAAGTTATTGGGTTTAGCAATTGAGAAACAAGGTGATAACATGGTGGCGTTATGCCCTAAGTGTTATACATCATTCAACGGCTCAATTGATGGAAGTGATTTTAAAAAGATTGCACAAAAAATGAAAGGTGTTAGTTTACGACAAAATAAACAATTAACACCTAAAAATTATTTGGATATAATAAATGATAAAGTTATTTTCGATGGTCAGAATATTAATTTACAACTTAAAAACGGGTCAATGACTCGCTTAACAATCGGTAAGACTGCATTAACAGGAGCACACACTAAGGCTGTATGTTGTGAAAATGGATGTTGTATGCCATTTATTTAATATAATTTAAAAAACGTAGGGGTTGAGTCATGAATTTAAAATTTTATTTTTAATAAAATGCTACAGAAGAGACAAAAGGAACCGTTAATAATGTGATTCAATATGTAAATAATGGTTTTGATACTATGATTCAAAGAGGTGGGCACCCTTAAAACATTTATTTTATTTTTATATAAATGGATAATGCAGATTTAGAAAATTTAATTGATGATTTAGTATTTTATCAAAATTTTCTTAATTATTATGAATTAAAATCATATCTCCAAAAACATAATAACAATATAACGGGTGATGATATGGGTTATTATTATCGGTATTATAAAAATGAAATTTTGAAATATCATGATAAAATAATTTCTAAAATTAAAGACAAAATTAAAAATAATGAATATACAAAGGGAAAAACTAAATCACAACTTAAACAGTTGAAAGATTTCAAAAATAAAGTATTAACAGAAGAAGATATTGATGAATTATATAAATTATATAATCCTGAGCCGCAAAAGCCAAAGGAACAAAAACAAAAGAAGAAAAAGCCGAAAACAACACCAAAAGAGAAAGTAGCAAATGTTCAACAGCTAAAGGTGCAAAACGCCCGGGCCCTTCAGACCATAAATGAAGCACAAGCTTTAATTTATGATTCATTAGTTAAACCATATTCAGCCCGACTTTTAAATGAAGATCAACTTTTGGAATTCATCCTTCATCATAAACTCGAAGCGGGAAAGTATATCAAACCTTTATATACAGCATATTTAAAACAAATGAATAGAATACATCCAGAATTAATGAAGGGGGGAATGAAATCCAAAACTTCATCATCCAAAATCAAAGCAGATAAAATTAAATCACTTACAATACCAAAACCTCCAACGGTAGTACCTCCTCCTTCAGTTAATCCTTCATCATTCACTTTATTATATCCATTTCAAACATTAAAGAAGCAAAAAGATTTTAAAAAGGATTTCAAGATATTAAATAAACCAACCGACCCAAAAATTCAACCGTTAAAGGAAAAATTTAGTCGCCCTTCATTTGCACCATATCCATATTCATACGAAATCGATCATTTAGAATATTCAAAAGGAAACGTTACTTATTTATTCGCCATTAACATTAACACTAGATATTTATATTGCATTCCGGTGAAAGGGAAAACAGAACAGGAAACAAGAAGAGCTATTCAATACTTACTAGATCATGAAAGAGTAGATAATATAGGGTGTCCAAAGGTGTGTTTAGCACAAACCTGAATACTGCGAATAGAAATAAACAAGTTACATATATATAAAGTTTATTTAAATATAATCACCATTGGATTCAATCACGCGTTTGCAGCGATCGATCCAGGCTTGAAAGACACGCTTTAAATCATCATGAGAAAATTGCTCAAATTGCTCTCTTACAAAATTTTCAAGATCATCTGGACTCGCGAATTCGCGTCCTTCAGCTCTCTTTTTTAGCGTGCCGAATAAATAAAAGTCAGAGGGTGCAATATCAGGTGAATAAATTGGGTTTGGAACAACTTTGACATTGTTTCCACCAAGTAATTCATTACCTTATGACTTTTGTGAACTCTTGAATTATCAAAATGAATTGCAAACTTTTGTTTTTGTTGTTTGGATTTCTCAAAACTCATCAGAATTGATAATTTGAGTAAGAACATTGTCAATTAGATACTGAGCATTCATCGTATTAGGTTTTTGAAGAATATCAATTGCGATGATGCCATTCACGCCCCAAAAAACCGACAACATCATCATTGGTGTGTCAATTTTTTTCTTCGGAATGTTTGCGGATTTTCATCCTTCGGGATCCACATGATTTTGGCTTCTGTTGCATATTGAAACCAAGACTCGTCCCCTGTTACTAAAAAGCGAAACTTCTTGGATTGATACGCACGCAATATAGAGAGGAGCTCTTTCGAAGATTGGACTCTAGATTTTTTTTGAACTGAATTAAGGTTGTGCGGAACCCAACGTGTATACGCTAGTTTGTAGTTCAAATAATTGTGCAGATAATAACTGACTGTTGTACGTGGTATCTTTGTCATCTCCTCTATCCTTCTGAGTGATGCTCTTGGGTCTTCATCTAGCGCTTGAAGAATTGCTTTGATTTTTCTTTGATCCGGCGATTTTTTGTCAATTTTTTATGATGGGCGCTTTTTGTTCATGAAGTGATACATCCTAACATGATACGTTACAGTGGAATAGCTAGGAGCATCCATACCGAAGCATTTTACCAATGTCTCGTAGATTTTTTTACAGTCTTTGCATTTTTTTGCAAGAGCGAGGATGTTTTCTTTATGATTCATTAAAAAAATGAAAAAAATCCCGCCAAAATTTCCCGCGAAACCGCCTCTTGTCTCAAAATTCATTTTATATCCCGGCATGGCGCCAAAATACAACATACTCATCATATACATATATTCATATTTTTTATTATATATTTATAATCAGCATATATCTCCTTTAATAGTCTCATATAGAGCGCTGTGCTAAACGCACCTTTGGACACCCTATATAAGGGGTGATGGTGATAAAGGATTTCAGGCAGCTATGGCTCATTATTTCCCACAAATTAATTTTTACTTTTCATCCTCTCCATATACGTTTCATAATAAAATAGTTGATGCGGTAATGAGAACTCTTAGAGATGCGTTAGGGGTTAACGGTCAGATATACTGGGATGGAAATCATGACTCCATCATACAGCAGTTAGTATATTATTACAATAATACATGGCATAGAACTATAAACATGAAACCAGTGGAAATGAAAAATGATATTTCAAAAGAATGGGAATATATTAGAAAGCAAATGGAAAGGTTGAATGATGTTAAACGTGAACAAATTAATTCAGGGCTCATGAATTTTAAACAAGGGGATAAAGTTTTGATTCATCTCGATTATGGAAAAACTAATAAATCAATGACAAAAAGAAGACGAAGATTTGACACAATAGCTGAATTTGTTAGATATATTAACGGCAATGCATTAGTTGAGGTTAACAATAAATTAATAGAAATTCCAATTTATTTTATTACTCCATTATATTTAAATAATATTTAATTTTTTTTATTTCGTAAGAAATGAGTGACAACAAAGCATCCAAGAGTCCAGACAATGAATATAAAAAGAAACTAAACAGAATTAAATCAAAAATATGCTATTACAAAAAGAAGCCGCAATGTGGTGGGGTTGAAAACGATAAAGAGAGGAAAGAAATAATCGAAAAATTAGAAACTTACCGTTCAATCCTTAAACTGAGTGAAGCAAAAATAAAAGAATTTAATAGAATAAATAAATTGATTGGAAGAGATGAATTTAATAAAGATGAATTTTTAAACTCAATCCAAATTTAATTTTTTCAGTGCTACCATGTTACCATGTGAGTTGTTGTCTTGTCAGTAACTTTAATTTTAACTTTGGATCAAATATTGGGTTTCCATCTTTATCTCTTCCAATAACACCATATGGTAGAATCTTCATTTATACTAAAATAAAAATTTAAATTATGCCGTTCACTCTTTTGGAGCTCAGGACTTTCAGTCCGTTCTAAAGTTTGTTTCACAAACATTGAGCGTTCAATGAACGCGGTACCATGCAAATATAGTCACAAATGGTGGCATGTAATCTTTACCCAAACCCGTTGGATTTGTTGTGAAAGTATGGACATGATTTCCTCCTGGTTCAGTTTGTCGAAAAGTCTTTTTTGTTGAATCGTTATAAGCTGGAGATAAAACATCATAACCAGCTTCATACTCTGAGTTGTATAATGGGTGGTCTCTTAATGAGTGGCTATGGTCACCAGAAAAGTTTGTAGTTCCTGTATGAGTGTGCGGTGGAAGGTTTGCTTCTTTAATTTTCTTCGAACCTCCTGTTTGCTTTGAATATCTAGCACAGTATAAGAATTTATCTACCATCTGCTTCCACGTACCAAAACCTAAAACTGTTGCTGGATTTGTTGAGTTCATTGACGTATAAATAGAACCAACAGGATATAATGTTTGAAGTATTTCATTTTTCATGCTTGTAATCACATCATTTACTTCCGACTTCTTTGCATAATTTTCATCAACATAAGTTTTATCTGCTTTAAGGTCTAAACATCCTGAAACCCATCCTGTATCAGCTTTAACTTTAAAAGTCTCAAATGTCCATTCCTTATCCGCCTTCTTCTCTAACTCATCGTTAACATAAGTTTTATCTGCTTTAAGGTCTAAACATCCTGAAACCCATCCTGTATCAGCTTTAACTTTAAAAGTCTCAAATGTCCATTCCTTATCCGCCTTCTTCTCTAACTCATCGTTAACATAAGTTTTATCTGCTTTAAGGTCTAAACATCCTGAAACCCATCCTGTATCAGCTTTAACTTTAAAAGTCTCCGATGTCCATTCATGATACCATTCAACCCTTTCTTTAATTTCATTATCTTTTTCATCAACATAAACCAAATTTGCCTTCTTCATTAACTCACTATCCACATATTCCTTATCCACCTTCTTCATTATGTCGTTTAGGAAACCTTCTATGAATTCCTCATTTAAATTAAATCTTCCAATCTTCAAAACTTTAGGAAATGCATTTAATGCGTAATATCTCTGTTCTTCTGGTGGAATTGATGTTATATCATCCGTTATTCCTTTAATTTTTGAATTCATAAATAAAATTTCTTTTATATTTGATATCACTGCACCACCTTTGCAAACGAATTCGAAATGGTCATTTTTCAATACTATCTCCAAATCTCCATATTTCAACCTTTGCGTTTGTTCTGCCGTCTTTGAATTATATGCATATATGGCGTATGTAATGGTCTGAAGGACCTGGGCGCTTTGCGCCTTAAGTTGTGGTTGCTGTTGTTTAATCATTTATTACGATTTAAAAATAAATATTTAATCCGTTATCTCATCAGCTATTTTCTCTATTTGAAATTGCCATAATATTTCATTCATAAATTCTAAATCACAATCAAATAGGTCAGTTATTCTAAATTTA